GCGAAATACCTCCCATGCAGACCTCTTCTTTGTGTGACGCCGGAATGCGTTGTAATGGCCCATAACCGCCCTATGGATTCTACCTAGGCTGCTTTTGGTGAGATTGCACGAGCTCATGCCCGAAGAGTTGTGAAGGGACACTAACCGTGTTGGGCGTTATACAACGAGGCCGGTGGGTGGATTGTGGCTGGGCTCATCAGGCAGTCAGACGATCACGAGCGAACGCAATCATGGCGAGATAATTCAATAGATCAATCACCTGGACGATTCATAAGGGGTTCGATACTTGGAATCATGGTAATTACCTGGAACCCGTACTTTGAGACCCTGATATTAAATCGCTGCTCTTATTATATGTGCATGCCAGCCTCATATGCAGCCGGCGACACTGACGAAACGACGTCATTCAGACAGGACGAACGTACTTCTACAAAGTGCTCACCGGCAATGAGCTGCAGGTCAGATTTGAGATTTGGTAGGGCAGCTTGCTCATGTGCACGTCAGCGTCTTACGACGCCTCCTCTGAATTCAGCCTCAGCTGGGTCCCGAGTCTTGGCTCGCTACCTGGATGTGGCTTAGCACTTGATGTCTCTAGGCTGGAGGCCTGATAGCGCCTGTCCTCGCTGCCAGTGAGTGACCACTGGACCAGCCCTACGGCCCGCTGCGACAGGCTACGCATCCCGTCGGAATGAGAACCACCTCATCCATTTCGCTGTCCTCATCATCATCGGCACTTTTGTGTACGCCCTATTCTACCCCGCCAGTGTTTGATTTAAGAGACGACCGTTGCCACTCTCACGCTCCCGCCGCACCGGCACCCATCTTCACCACTCCGCCTCGCCATGGACGGATTCTCAGTCACGTCGCTCACATCTCTATGTGACACCATCTCACACGCTGCCGTCTCCACCAACACAGAGCTCGCTGATCTGCTGCGCGCAATTCCCAACGAGAAGGCCCAGCAATCCCTCACATCTCTCTACGGGTCGCTACAAAGTCTCGGCAACGAGATCACGCAGCTCCAGAAATCACTGACGCAGGCTTCGGTTCTTTCCGAGTCGCTGCGTGGCCAACTCCAGGAGTACCTGTCCGACTGCCAGAAAACCCTGGGCAGCCTCAACAAGCAGGTATTGCGCCTTGATTCCAGCCTGGTGGGCAGAATTAGCCATACGTACCTATCAACTCGCAAAGAGTATTTCACTGCGCACTGCCAGCTTCTCAGATTCTTCACCACTACCCATTACCTGTAAGGCGCCGGCCAGATTCCCTTTGTTTTCGAGGCCCAACCCCGCACTCGTGGTTTTTGGCACTTTCGGCTGACGCTCGACCTACAGCAACGACATTGCACAGCAGGATGCCGCGTTGAAAAGCACTGACGGCGAAAGTGCCTCATCGCTGGTCAATGATGCATCAAAGACCCTCTCTAAATTCCCCGAAATCCTCCAAGACGAGACCGGCGCAGCGCCGTCCTACGAGTCTGTATCCTCAGATTCGGCCCCTCCCCTCTCAGGCAAAGCAGGCGGAGATGAGCTGCCACCCGCCTATGAGAATGTCACCAATTCTGGCGCAGACGATCCAGAGGAGGGTGGGTTTGACCTGACCTCTCTCAAGCACTCGTGGAAGGCCTTGACCTCTGGATTTAGCTGGTTCAAGCCCGACCCGCTGGTGACTGCCTTGTGCGAGGCGAGTTTGCGAGGCGACGTGAAGCAGGTGGCCGGATTGCTACAGCAGGGCGCCAACATCGACGGCCGCAACGACAAGAGCATGACCCCGCTGGCCTGTGCCGTCAAGGCTAACCAGGCAGACGCCACTCGCTTCTTGCTCTCTGCAGGCGCAAATGACAAGACGGGCGCCAAGATCCCCCCGCTCTTCGAAGCCGCGTCGGCGGGCAGTCTCGAGGTCGCCCAGGTTTTCCTGGAGAGGGGTGCAAAGGCAAGCGAGAAGAGCGTATCCGGGCATTCTTACTTCTACGACGTGGTCAACGGCGATGGGACCAGCCTGGAAGGCGTCCGGTTTCTTCTGCAGCACGGCGCGACTGTGGACATGACCAGCACACCTGGGCGGCTGCCCATTGTGTGCGCCGTGAGAAAGAACCGCCTCGATCTGGTGAAGCTCCTGCTAGAGTATGGTGCGGCCGCCAACTCGGCCGACTACACCGGGTCGTCGGTCATTTCGCTTGCGATCGACCAGGACCCCAACTCGGAGATGGTGGATCTGCTTCTGCAACGCGGTGCGCCCGCCAACTCGAAGACGATCTCTGGACAGGCCATTCTGGCAGTGGCCGTCTCCAAGAGGAGCCTCCCGCTGACGAGAAAGCTGCTGGAAAGAGGTGCCAAGGGCGACGCCAAGGACATTTCTGGATCTCCCCTCATCATCAACGTGATCAAGGACTCGCACCTTTCCGAGACCGAGAGGACCGAGTATGTGCGTCTCCTGCTCCTCCACGGCGCTTCCGTCAAGGTCAAGGACATTGCCGGGCAGGCCCCCGTGCTGCACCACGCGATGCAGAGAGCAAACGGCGACATCGTGGCCCTACTGCTACACTACGGCGCCGACACCACCAAGAACATGTCGAATGGGGAGTCGCTGCTCTGCAACGCCATCACCAACGGGCGGCTGGACCAGGTATCGGCGCTGCTCAAGTACAAGACGAATCCCAACCTGCCCAACTCGAAGGGCCAGTCGCCGCTCATGATGGCGCTGATAAAACAGGACCTGAAGCTCATACACCTGCTGAGGAAGCACGGCGCGGATATCAACCAGGACGAGAGAGCGATAGCGACGGTCCTGGGACGGTCAGATATCCGCCAAGCTCTCGGGCTGGATGCACCTGCGGGAGGGCCGTCGTCGCCGACATCCCGGACGACGAGTACGGAGAAGAATTGACGAATTAATGTATTGAGCGGTCTATAGTTTATTTTTTGTATAAAAAGCGCTTTCTAGCTTTCCCAGCCTTAGATATACTCCTTCCTCTCCCTCTAGCTTTATTGAACTGTGAATCTTCACTCTCCCGGACGACCCGACATTTCTACCGTCGCGCCACCACCTCACTCAACCACCACTGGTGAATCCTCGCATCCTGCGTCAACTCGGGATGGAAGCTCATCCCCAGCACATTCCCCTGCCTCGCGGCGATGATGTCCCCCGAGCCCCCCCTCGTCTGCGCCTGCGACTGCCCGGCCCTCATCCGGTCCACGCGGTTCTCCAGCGTCGCCAGCACCTCGACTTCGCCGCCGCCCAGCACCTCCTCCACCACGGGCGCGCGGATGAACACCCCGCGGAAGGGCCTCCTCTCCTCTCCCTTTTCCGGTGAGGGGACGAACGGAAGGTCCAGGTCGGCCTCGAAGGACTCGATCTGCCGCCCGAAGTGGTTCCGGTGGACGCACACGTCCAGCCCGCCGATGAGCTCCTGGCCGCCCTTCTTGGTGGCGTTTGCGCGCTGGGAGAGGAGGATGAAGCCTGCGCAGGTGCCCCAGGTCGGTTTCTTCTGGACTCTTTTCTCTTGTTAGCTTATTTTGCCTTTTTTTTCCAATTTCTTTCTTTTTTCTTTTATGGGATAAGGACTCACTTGACAAAGTCGCGGAGGTTCTGGAGGAGGTCCGTCTGGGCGGCGATGAGGGAGATGGTGGTGCTCTCGCCGCCGGGGATGATGAGGGCGTCGCAGGCGGCGAGCTGGTCGGAGGTGCGGACCTGGATGAAGGAGAAGTCGGCGGTGGACCTGAGGTGCTGGGCGGCCTGGTGGAGGAGGGAGAGGTGTTCGTGGAAGCCGCCTTGGAGGGCGAGGACCCCCACGCGGATGTGCTTGCGAGGGGCCGTGTGTGGTTGTGAGGCGGTCATGGTGATGGATGAGATGTGGCACTGGAGGGAGGTTCAAGTGGGAAGACGAGGGTGAGATGTCGAGTCCGTATGAGGCAGTCAGTCAAAAGGGTACTCCTATCTTCCAGGAAATGTACCTCCCGGGTTATCGCCGCCGTTGCAGCAAACAGTCGATCACTGTGTCATTCACCCATCCCGGTCACATGAACTAGCGGCTGATGCGGAGGTACAAACTAATGCATCGACGGGGCATTTCGGATGTCGCAGATGGACAGTTGTCACAGAAGACTCGTGGAAGCAGAGAAGATGGAGAGAAGCGACGCCCGTGGGAGGGGCGAATTGAGTAGCTCCGCTGCCCGCACAGGCGCTAATGCAAGTCGCCGGCTGCACTTCAATGCTGCAGGTGCGGAGCCACAGGCGCCTCCGCTACTTGCCTCCGCACTCTACGCCGGCGGCAGATGCACCACTGCACTGGTTTGACTGACTCTACAGACTCTCCAGACGTCTGGATGCATCCATCGCTGGCCCAAAAGGGGGAAAGCCGTCGCCGACTAGACCGAACTCTGTGGCCCCCCGTGTCTACTCCGGTCACACTCCGACCTTTCTGCGCGGCCTCCATGCGCGATACATGCACCTATGCAGCCCGGGTGCCATCCGACCTGCGTTATCTCCCGCACCGGCACTCATCCACCTGCTACCAGGTACGTGTCGCCTGCATGTGCGCTGGACTGGCCTCGCAGCGGCATGGAGCTCGAACCCCGTGGCCTTGCCCCATCAGGCAATTTGTCCAGAAACACGGCAGCTCGCGTCTAGGCCAGCAGCGGGTAGCGACGGTCCTGCTGGATCAAGTTAAGCCGGTGGCCTGACTACAGACGGACTGTCTGTACTGCCGTGCTACAACCTGCTAGGCTTGGAGATCGTCTTGGAGCTGGCCAGTTTCCCCCGACGTTGCGCTCGGCTCTCGCTTCCGTTCATGTAGCCGACAGGTATCTTTCCATCTCGTTACTGTGCATGACACCGCGGAGGTATTTAAGTCGCCACCCCCAAACTCTGTTGACTAAACAGAAGAAAAAAAATCCAATTCAGTACACGATCGATCCAGATCTTCACTTTATATCAACCCCCCACGGATCCCTCTCCATCTTTATACCCAGCCATATAGACCACACCCCATCCAAGCCATCATGACCAACGACACCTCCCAGTCGGGCGCCGCCCCCGCAGACAAGACCTCCTTCGCCCTCAAGGCCGGCCTCGCCCAGATGCTCAAGGGCGGCGTCATCATGGACGTGACCAACCCCGAGCAGGCCCGCATCGCCGAGGACGCGGGCGCCTGCGCCGTCATGGCCCTCGAGCGCGTCCCAGCCGACATCCGCAAGGACGGCGGCGTCGCCCGCATGTCGGACCCCTCCGTCATCAAGGCCATCCAGGAGGCCGTCACCATCCCCGTCATGGCCAAGGCCCGCATCGGCCACGACGTCGAGTGCCAGATCCTCGAGACCCTCGGCGTCGACTACATCGACGAGAGCGAGGTCCTCACCCCGGCCGACGACGAGTCCCACGTCGAGAAGAGCCCCTTCAGCGTCCCCTTTGTCTGCGGCTGCCGCAACCTCGGCGAGGCCCTGCGCCGCATCGCCGAGGGCGCCGCCATGATCCGCACAAAGGGCGAGGCCGGCACCGGCGACGTCGTCGAGGCCGTCCGCCACATCAAGACGGTCAACAGGGAGATCGCCCACGCCAAGGCCGCCCTGGCCGAGGGCGGCGCCCTCCGCGTCCGCGAGCTGGCCCGCAAGCTCGAGGTCGACGCCGCGCTCCTCCAGCAGACGGCCGAGCTGGGCCGCCTGCCCGTCGTCAACTTCGCCGCCGGCGGCGTGGCCACACCCGCCGACGCCGCCCTCATGATGCAGCTGGGCTGCGACGGCGTCTTCGTCGGCAGCGGCATCTTCAAGTCGGGCGACCCCGCCAAGCGGGCTAAGGCCATCGTGCAGGCCGTGACGCACTACAAGGACGCCAAGGTGCTCGCCCAGGTGAGCGAGGGGCTGGGCGAGGCCATGGTCGGCATCAACTGCGACAAGATGCTGCCCGAGGAGAGGCTGGCGCACAGGTAGAGAGAGGATTAAACAAAAAAGATTATGATTAGATGAAAGCACAAAAAAGCAGATAATTTAAAGTTTCGGCCAGCACCTAGGCTGGTCTCCAGCGTCCGGATTTTCCATACACCTATCGGTCTGTTGTTTTATCACTTTGTGTGGCAGCTCACGCGCTATTTGCAATGTGGCCGTAGAGCAAGATGAGATCCCCACTGTCTCAACAGGATTTCTTCCCTTCTGAGTTGAACAGCAAGTCCCAAAAATCTGGGAACGAAGGGAGCGCGTTGGATAAGAAGCACGCCTGTAGATATTTGCTCAGTTACATGAAGCCATTTCAAAGTGGTGACATGGCTACTTGATAAGAGGTAAGGTAGGTATAGTTAACCTGAACAAAGATTCTATGTGTTTCTTCTAATATTTAGTTATCTTATTATAAGCGAATAGTAGAGTAATATGATATATATGGTTTAGATTAAAAGTTGAAAAGTGAAAGTTTATCGTAATAACTCTATGCAGGTTCAACTCCTTTAATAATTGTGTTTCTTTTCTCTAGGTATTCTTATGTACCTGGCAGCTGCCCTCACCAACGGCGTGAGAATATTCAATCCATTCAACCCAATTCCAAGTCTGCTCTCAATCAATGTAAGTCTATGTCGCAACCAGCTCTAATGATTGAGCGTTCACCCACATATTCTGGTCGTCGTAAACAGTAAAGTCTGAGATCACAATGAGTTGATACCAAGTCAAGATCGCCGAGACTATGCCCCGTCCATCACGAGTTCAAAGATTGAAGCTAGATATTCATCCTATGCCATGCATGAACACAAGATAGTTATCTTACAGGGACAATGTGATTAACAAGGGGAATATTATCCTTTTTAGGACACATTACCTACCTACCTAAGTAGTGATAAGAAGCTGTCCAGGCCTGCAAGAGAGAGAGAGGGATGATGAAAAGGTCCATTAACAATGAAATATAGCTCCTGGCTATAGTTAAGTTTAAGACCAAGTCGGTGCTTCATGAAATAACTCCAAGATCAATAGCTAAACGAAATCGTAAATATTACAAAGCCTTACATGCAAGAGACAAGGCGGTGTCACCCCAGACAAGGGGAACTGCTAAAATCCCCAGCTATAGACTAATCAGGGGACTAATCCATAGGCGTTACCATGCTATAGGTTTAGCATTGGGAAGAAACGAAAAGAATGGGATTTGAAGAAGACAAGTTAGTAAGTAAGCTAGCATTTACAAAAGCTATGTACAAATAGCAAAGGGCAATTTCTCTGTATGAATGAATGAGCCTAGAAAAAATTAGAAGCGAAGCATCTGCTCGACATACCATCTAGCTCTGCAGAATTTTCTTCTAGCAGTTCACATCCGCTCTAGGTTCCCCGGATGGGCTAAGCTACGACCAACCTGTGTAGTTTCTCAAGCACTTCAAGCAAACCTTAACTGAGACACAATATGGTTCGGCATATATCAACTCAAAGTTGAGTTTCAGTTCACTGGCGCGTATGTCTATCAAGATGGAAGCACAGAATCACACACATTACTTCTCCGCACTGAAACGTTATGTGGCTTTGATATGAAGTAGAAGGATGTTTATGTCTAACATATAATAGCAGCCTTCTCAAGGTAGCCTTTTTATACCAGTGCGACTCATAATACACGCCTTCAGAGCATTTACTGTGAAGTGGTCCTAGTAGGTAAAGAAGTGGTCGAGTCTCTGGGCTGCCCTCTCATCAATCTCGAAGTGGCCAAGCTCATCGGTCAGAGTCAATGGCTTATCTCATACTCGATCACCCAGAGCCAGGTACCATACTCTTGTACAATGAACACATCATGTTTCTTCTATATATCATACACCCGTTTTGAAATCTAATTTGACCACGTTATCTGATCAAGATGGCGCCTTGTGGATACCGAATACTTCATGTTGGGAAGGCTGTCGCGTGATCCGGGCAAGGATTGTACGAAAGACCCGATTTAATCTCCCCTATCCCTCCGCTACTCCACAGGCTTAGTTTGACGCTTCTGATTTTAATCTGAGGGAAGGGAAGGGAAGCCTTAAGGCCTCAGAGTACGTAATACTCCAGGTGGGCTGAAACGGAGTCAAGGAATGCCCAGCGTGACGCGACGGAAACGTGTTCAGGTGGAATGTTTGATAACAAGATGTGCCAGAATTGAGGGCCAACGGGTGACAAGCAGCTGAGCCTCCGAAGATATTGGGAAAATCAAGCCCCGACCTTTCTTGCTTCTTAATTTAGAGACACGCGAGCAACACGATCACACACCATCTTCGCTCTTGTGCTGCACGTTTAATTAGTTCCTTAGTCAGGTCTGATGTTACAATACAGGATCGCTTAAGGATTGGTCAATGGAAAATAGCGCAGATTATCGGCGACCTGGCCCCCCTGGTCTTCAGTTCTGGGGCTGAGCACAAGCGACCTGCCCCTCTTGGTAGCAGATCTTGGGCCTAATGGTCCAGAAACGACTGCATCTTTCTCGTAGGGCAAAATATGGCTTGTAGGATTCGGCCAGCCCTACTAGATCCACTGGAAAGCGACACCGACTTGGGCACTTGGACCTCCTGGATCTAGCAGCTGAACCCCGCTGCACGAAGGGATCACGCGGTTCACCGACTACCGGCAGCAAAAGGAAAGACATCAGTATTTCTTTTAATAAATCCTCTAATCAGGTACCATCTACACTGCCTGCATGGAAGAGAGCTCGCCAATGCCACATGCACGTATTTCGGTCCCGAGATCAGTTCATGCACGCATGGTACATAAGTTCTTAATGGCGGCACATAGCGATGATCTAATTTAGAAACACGCTCACAGGGGGAATGTTTCGTTAGATCCAGATTTAAGGCCCTTCGTAGTAAGCCGGTAGGTATCACTAATTGACCAGCTGCATGGCCAAGCTAAGCCTCAGGAGTCTGTATTACGTACTTCCGGCTTGCTTCGAAGCCTTACCATTTTGCAGCGTCAACCTTATTCGATCTTCGAATGTTCAGTGTCTCGCAATTAGTGCCACCGAAATTCGATGGGAGCACACCACTATTGAAAATTCACCATGAAGGACCATCAGGGAAACCTTTTCAATCATCACTGAGAATTTTCGGTATCTGAAAAATAAAATAAAAGCAATTAAATTTGGTTTAGCCTGAGCAGTGCGGCATCTTGGAAAGTCTACTAGCATGCCAACCTATCTAAAGTCGCAGAATGAATGATATGAACAGAAAAGAAAAAAAAGAAAAAAAAAAGAAATCGCTCCCATGTTTTCGTGGCCAACTTTCTCGCCTCACAGCAGGCCTCTAGCCTTCAATTCCCGGATCAAGGCCCTCTTCTCCTTGGCGTCCTTGATAGCATGGCTTGCATAAGTTTGACAGTTCTCACCGCTGGTGCAAGGAATGTTGGCCAACAAGTTGTAGTCAGTGCCCTTGTCTTTCAGGAATGCATCGCCGGCCTTTTGGAAGTTGTAGGCCTTCTTGACCTTGCCCTTGAATGAATAGCTGTTCTTGCTCGGGCGGTTTCCGTCCCAAGCGCCGTGAGTGACCGAGCTGACCTGTTTGCCGGTCGAATCATCGTATGTGAGATGGTGGTACTCGGTGTTGGCAAAGTCCTTTGTGACCGTGTTCTTGGCCTTGTCCTCTGTGTGGGTGACGGTTCCATCAATGACCTTGTGGTGCTTCAAGAGACCCGGGCTCTTCTCCTTCATCATGTATCTCTGGCCATCCTGGAGGGTCCTGCTTCCGGCCGCCTTCTCGAGCTTCTCGTAGCTGGCGGTTTTCTCTTCCGTTGGTGGTGGTGGCTTCTTGTCGTCCTTCTTGTCACCGGCGCCTGGGAGAGCGCATGCTCCGTCCTCATCTCGACGCCCAAAGCGGCATGATCCACCAGACTTGGCGGCTGCCTTCTTCTCACCTGACTTGGCGGTGGTCTTCGTGTTGCCAGTCTTAGTAGCAGTCTTCTTGCTGGCGGACTTGGCAGGGGTCTTTTTGGCACCAGCCTTCTTTCCAGCGGCGGATTTCTTGCCAGCAGTGGACTTCTTTCCAGCCTTGGCGGTGGCCTTTTTGTTACCAGGCTTAGCAGGAGTCTTCTTGGCACCGGCCTTCTTGCCAGCGGCGGTCTTTTTGCTACCAGACTTGGCTGTGGTCTTCTTGTTGCCAGTCTTAGCAGGAGTCTTCTTAGTCCCGGCCTTCTTTCCAGCGGCCTTGGCGGGAGCCTTTTTTCCACCGGCAGTCTTCTTGCTAGCAGCAGACTTCTTGGCACCAGCCTTCGAGGGGTTCTTCTTTCCAGCAGCAGATTTCTTAGCACCAGACTTGGCGGGAGTCTTCTTGCCGGCAGCAGCTTTCTTGGAACCAGCCTTAGCAGGGCTCTTCTTGCCAGTCGCGGCCTTCTTGCCAGCGGTCTTCTTAGCACCAGCTTTGGCGACGGATTTCTTGCCGGCAGCCTTCTTCGAACCGGCCTTAGCAGGCGTCTTCTTGCCAGCAGCAGCTTTCTTGGCTCCAGCCTTAGCAGGAGCCTTCTTGCCAGCGGTCTTCTTAGCACCAGCTTTGGCGACGGATTTCTTGCCGGCAGCCTTCTTCGAACCGGCCTTAGCAGGCGTCTTCTTGCCAGCAGCAGCTTTCTTGGCTCCAGCCTTAGCAGGAGCCTTCTTGCCAGCTGTCTTCTTGGCTCCAGCCTTAGCAGGAGCCTTCTTGCCAGCAGACTTCTTGGCACCAGCCTTCGAGGGGTTCTTCTTTCCAGCAGCAGATTTCTTAGCACCAGCCTTGGCGGGAGTCTTCTTGCCAGCCGCGGCCTTCTTGGCACCAGCCTTAGCGGGTGTCTTCTTGCCGGCGGCCTTCTTCACACCAGCCTTTGCGGGAGTCTTCTTAGAACCAGAAGCCTTCTTACCAGCAGCTGGCTTCTTGGCGCCCGCCTTGGCGGGAGTCTTCTTGCTTGAAGAGGCCTTCTTAGCACCGGCCTTAGCGGGGGCCTTCTTAGAACCAGCAGTCTTCTTGCTAGCACCAGCCTTGGTGGTAGTCTTCTTGGCGCCAGCCTTAGCAGGAGTCTTCTTGGAAGCAGCAGGCTTCTTCGAACCAGCCTTAGCAGGAGTCTTTTTACCGCCAGCTGGCTTCTTGGCACCAGTCTTAGCAGGAGTCTTCTTGGAAGCAGAAGCCTTCTTGCTAGCTCCAGCCTTGGCGGGGGTCTTCTTAGCACCAGCCTTTGCAGGAGCCTTCTTGGAAGCAGCAGGCTTCTTGGAGGCAGACTTAGCAGGGGTCTTTTTGGCGGCCGCGGCCTTCTTGGGGGTGGCCTTCTTTGAAGCGGCCTGCTTAGGACCAGCCTTAGCAGGGGTAGCTTTCTTAGTGGCGGCAGACTTCTTGGGAGCAGCAGCCTTCTTCGCAGGAGCAGCAGCCTTCTTAGCGGGAGCAGCAGCCTTCTTAGCGGGAGCAGCAGCCTTCTTAGCGGGAGCAGCAGCCTTCTTCGCAGGAGCGGCAGCCTTCTTAGCGGGAGCGGCAGCCTTCTTAGCAGGGGCAGCAGCTTTCTTTGCAGCAGCGGGACTGCGGGGGCTTAGTGCCCAGGCGAAGATGGACTGGGGGGATGGCTCAGGGGCTCTCTCCAAGATATTGGGGGAAAGAACATCTCGTTTCTCAGCCAGTTCAGGGAGGGAATCGACGTCTCGCTGGTGAACCTCTTGGGAGATCTCAGTTGCCGAGGCCAATGCCGCGGCAAAGAGGAGGGTGGCAATGGGTAGCCTCATGGCTTCGGTAGCCGAATAAGTCTCACACGGCAGATAAAGGACTTTGGAAACGAAAAGGGGTGGGAGCAGAGGAAAGAGAAGAAACAATGAATAAATCTTTGAAAGAAAAGGATGCAAAGAAAATAAAAATAAAAATAGGAAAAGGAAAAGGAGGAAAGGAAGACAAAAAGGAAACTTTCAGTGATGGTTTGTCGAGATCATGATGGACAATTCAGCTTCACGCAAGCGGGATCTGAGGCACTGTTTATGCTTCTAGAAAACCAGCCCAACCCCAATTCCGGGCTACACTTTGATCACCTGAAAATAACCGTATGCAGGGACGCTAACCATGTCTACCGAAACGAGCAGCAATATTCAATAACGGTGGCAGCCCGGTAGGGGGGTTGTAGCTAATGATAGTAACGGCACCAGGAGGGTGCTCGTAAAACAGTAATACCGCTTGTCTCGTAATGATTAGCGATGCGCGTGATACCGGATGGATTCATTGTCTGCTCGACAGATTAGGAAGTGTGGCACGTTGGGTGGGTGTTCCCAGCTCAACTTTCGGGCACCTCGCGTGGGGATTTCGTGCGCCAACCCCTGCCAGCTCGGCGATGAGCATCGGATCCAAATAGTAATCTCATTGCCGAGGGAGGGGAGGGACAGGGATCAGGGTGAAGCTTATGGATGTATAATATATTAGTGTTGTGCGGCTGATGTGGTGACAGACCTGACCAAAGTCCCTCCTCTAAGCCACGCATTTATGCACTGTGGCCTGAGGCACCCAGATTCATCATTGCGCCCGTTCATATGCCCCTCCTTCAGCATCCCACATGCAAAACACCACGTCGCGACCACACGCAAAATCATCACCATCAAACCGCAATCACACCGCTCAGCACAGCATCTCATCTTTGTTCACACATCTGCATCTGAAATCAATGGCGTTCATCAAGGACCTCCTCCACCGCGTTGCCGGTGCGAGCTCTAGCGCTTCTCACCATGGCCCCGCAAGCACCCCAGAGTTCCTTGCAGAGCGACAAAAGTGGCAGGAAACACGCACCCAGGGTCGGTATAATTCCCATTCCCTGCATGGAACATGGGCCTTTCAGCCTAGCTAGTTCAATAGACTAATAGGAGATCATTTCTTCGTGAGTATAGACGAAGTCCTTGCCGACTTCACCAAATACCTCCAGAATGGCACACCCAGCTGGGGTCCTGCTTTCAACGAGAAAGAAATCGAAACTTTGCAAAAAACTTTCGCAGCTCACGCCAAGTCAGAGAAGTGTACGTCTCCTAGTATTTGCTGTCGGGACTCTGGTAGAAAACGCACGTGCTAATGAGTCATTGTAGCCTGGGATCAGCAATCACTAGAGTCCTACCTTCTCACTCAAATCCCCGAGGGAGATGAGACCCTTCTCAAAAGCTCTATCCCCGCGCTCTGGGATTTGACTGTCTACTTTGCTCACTGGCCTTTTAACACCGCATTCAGCGCCCCAACAACCAGTCTAACACAACCTGGCTTGGTCCGCGCCGTCGCCTTCCTCAGCGGCAGACATTACAGGCTGTTCAAGTCCTGGAAGAACAGCGACATGGAATTCAACCGCAAGACTGATCAGCCAGTTCTAGAATACATCTTCCGGGCCTTGGCTGATGCCCAGCCAGCGGGACAACAGTCTGGTGCATCATCTGATCGCGATGTGCTTGATATTTTGAACGTGACCCAGCCAGTCTTGAGTGAGAATACACAAACTCTTACTCGCGAACAGCTGACTCCCACCGCTACGCGCTTGGCCCCCCCACCTGCTCCAGAGCTATCGAGCCTTGCTGTCCCAGCTCAGAAGCTAGTTCAGCTCCTTGACTTGAGCATCGCGGTCCTCCAGCAAGCTGCCAAGTTTGACGTCACCAGCCGCCCTCAATCAATCAAGGAAGGTCTGGAAGCTGCCAAGGTGGAGATTCAGAAGGGTGACAAGGTGACATTTGATACGTACTCAAAGCTGCTGGATAAGGGAGAGTGGGTGGAGAAGAACAACAATGTCGATACCATCTACGATGCCGTTGCTGTTCTGTTCAACACTTTCACGAACCCCCAGAGCTTGAAGACCGGCGAGACGGTCAACTGGTCTTCGGGGAAGAAGGAGAAGTTGTATCTTGGATCGCTGCGAAGCCTGGGGCTCACTCACAATTAGGGGTCCAGTAGCAGGAGCAGGGTAGTAGTGGTATTATTTGTCGTCTCTCGCGTCCCTGGAGGATAGATAGCGTGTATGTTTTGAATTTGATTTTTTTTTGGTTTCTAATTTCCTCTCGCTTCATCTGATGGCATGATCTTGAAATACTGGTTTCCATGACTTATTAATACCTCCCGAAGTAGCGGCCGTCCCTTTCATAATCACCGAGGCGCGTGCGCATGTGCGAGAGCTACTGTACCTGTAACAACGGCCATTACCTCCATCACGTTGTCAGCAAGTCTTGAAATCAGCGGACATTGTTGATGAATTAGTGAGGCCTCTACTTCAAAATTCTTGTCAGAGCTTGTGCGTCTTCCACTAGGTACAGAAATGAAGCCTTGATTCAACACTCAATGCTTGCCTCGCAAGTGTAAGCGAGAGGGACTTTCATACATGTACACGCCGCTTTGCCCTAAAGTCAAACGTTTTTGAAGAGCCAAGCTGGGAGACGGCCTACAATAGCAACTCCTTAGACCTTCGTATGTTTCAATATATGAGCCATGAGGGTGAAACCGGTTCCCTCGATTACACAACCACTTGCGCTGGGGTTGTGCTACACCGCTTCCACCTTGCGGATTTACTCACACGTGTTTTCTATTCTGTATATGGCGATTTTACATATAGAAGGGCCCGATTTTCTCGGGAAATATCAGATCGATATTCACGAAGGTGGTTTGTTTTTCACAGCAATGGATACATTCACTGGAACCTCCCCAGATCGGCCACTCTCCTTCTCGACGGCAAGGAGTATCCTGTAACGCAAAACCTCAAAAGTTTTCTTCGGCATGTGCAAGGCCGCCTCCACTCGATTTTTGAAATGGCGAAGGGGGAATTGCCATTAGATGAAAATTGCGGTCAGTACGGCTTGCAGGTGATTTTGGCGAACTCTCCCCGCTACCCACAGACAAGCTGCGACATCCTTCCAAAAGCCGCAGCTCTGGATGGTGTCGCGAATAACGCTGAGCGGTTTGCCACATATTTCTAGATTGACGCACTGTGCATGAATCAGAATGATATTCAGGGGAGAAATCAGGTGCAGCGAATGAGAGTACTGTGGGAGAGCTTGAGTATAAAGTAAAAAAAAAAAAAACAATAGAAGATGCCAAGCCCGACATCTCAACACAATGACTACGAAAGGCAATAATAAGGTCTGCTAGCCCAAGACTGCAGCCATCGGAATGAAAGCTCTGTAAACCTTCATACCGATGACTCAGGGTGCCGTCGGGACGAACCTCTCGTCAAATAACTATTTATTCTACCTTCTTTCACCTAGCTTCACACTCGTCTTACGCCAATCCAAACGTTTCGACCAAGCTCAAGGCTTTTCGGCAACCTAGTGAGTACCAGTAGCCCCTTGGCCAGAGCACCTACACTGACGCGTGCGTGGGTTTCGCTATTTATCTCGACGATAAGTATACACACATCATGCCAGACACCCAGATCTTAGTACCTTCTCTCAAAGGCCACAAGATCACATGGAGCAAGGTGATGAAGCCTAAGATAAGCATCAGCAATCTAAAGTAGCTTGTATGCTAGTTACGCAAATGCTATCCTAATCAGCGAGCTTGATCAGACTGATCAGGTTAATCAAACATTATTGAAAGACCTCAAGGAAGAGTAGTAGCTAGAAAACCTAGAGAATCTATTGATAGAATAGACTTTCTAGCTGCTGGTCATCCTTAAGATCTTTAAAACAATGTAGTTTAATTAAGTTGATCAGTCTGATCAAGCTGGCTAATTAGGATAGCATTTGCGTAACCAGCATACCTACTTTCGATCGCCGGTGCTTATCAGCAATCCAAAGTATAGCAGCGGGTAAGGGAAACATATAGGTCGGCATCACGCGCTTTCGTTTGGTTAGGAAGCTACCAGGATGTTCCAATGAGCAGGGTCGAAGATGCGTTCTCTCTCATTGACTATCTTGCGAAGCTGGTAGACGTCCCATACGACGATCCAGAACTGCATGGGCGGCCTTCTGTCTCCCTTAAACCAGTGACGATGCTGAAAGCGACGCTGAAGGATGGCGTTAGGTTGCCAGATTGACGCGAGAATTATATGAAAGCGGATAAATGCAAAGCAATGTCACGAGATAGGTCAAGTCAAGTTTTAGAAAGTGTTTATTTTACTAAGATGACAACTCGGCGACTTGCCGAGTTGGTGGTCCCAGAAGATATTTACTTGATCGATTACATCAAACTTTTCAGGCCAGCCTGATCCATACAAAGTCCTCGCATCTACTCTTCCGCGCCAAAAATAACTGATTGGCATCTAATTCTATTAATCTCCCCTCACCTCCTAATCTTTTGAACTTCATCTCCAAATGCTCTCCATCTAAGCCTTGGTGGCCTTGGCGCTGGCGCTCGAGGTCTTGGTGGCCTTCTTGGTGGTCTTGGTCTTGGTTGAGGTCTTGGTGGTCTTGGTAGAGCTCTTGGTAGTCTTGGTGGAGCCAGCCGAGGTCGTCTTGGTAGAGTCCTTGGTAGATGTCTTGGTGGACGTCTTGGTGCTGGCGGTGGCGGCGGCGGAGGTGGTGACGCTGGAGTTGGAGCCGCCGCTGCCAGTGCCGGAGCAAGGGCCGATCTTGGAAGGCTCGCTGCCGTCGGTCACACCCTCGTAGTCGATGCACTCGTCGCCGACGCTGGTCATGGAGACGCCGGAGATGCTGGCGGTGTCGCCCATGTTGGAGTTGATGCCGACGAGGACCTTGCCGTTGGAGGCAGAGCCGCCGGTGACGATGACGTGGCGGGCGGGCATGGACTTGCAGTTACCGCAGCTGCGGTACATCTTGCCGAAGTCCGAGACCTCGAAGTTGTTGATGGCGACGGTGCCTCCACCGTTGTGCTGGATGACCTTGTCCTCGGCGCCAGTGGCACCTCCACCGTTGATGGTGGTGGTCTCACCGTCGTCCTGCTTCTTGATGGAGAAAGCGTCCTCACAGACGGCGTCCCACCAGACGTTGGTGATGGTGCAGCCACCGTTGCAGTGGACACCCTCGATCTGGTTGGGGCCGATGATGACGTTGGAAAGGGAAGCGCCCTTCTCGAGGATGAAGACGGCGTCGGAGTCACCACCCTCTTCCTGGCCAGTGCAGGAAACACCACGGTCGTACATGACGTTGCCACCGTCGAAGGTCTCACCGGCAGCGATGGTCATGGGGGAGCTCAGGACACTGCTGCCCGCGGCGGCGGGAGCTCGGGCCTTGAGGATGGAAGGGGCCTTGGTGGGCATAGGCGCAGGGCTGGCGCTGACAGCGATGGCCATGGAGGCGGCGAGGATAAGTCTGTACTGCATTTTGAAAGATGTTTGTTTGAAAAGTGAGACTGGTCTTGTTGTTCTTGATTGTTGAAAGATTGGAGGTTCAAGCCGGCTTGAGTTATTGAGTTGGATTAAAGAGAATGTGTCAAGCGCAGCTTGATAGCAATGGAAAGAAGGTTGGTAGAGTTGAGAACGATGGTGTTTGATGGGACTGAAGATTCAAACAAGACCAGATTCTCTTGGGAGAACGAAAGAGTTTATACTCGACGCGACGCCGTGTCCCAAGCCGCTCCCGTCCCCCCTTGAGCTTAACCGCCCGTTGATGTTTTACTTGTGACATGGATAATCACTGACATGTTTTCGATTCCCCTGGATTGAAAAGCATGGGTCTGACGCTGTCCCGGAAGTGGGAGCGCACCGCAACCGCAACCCTGGTCTTGGAGATGGGGACTGAGCGTTGAATCCACAGGGTAAGGGTAATAAAACAGACTTCGGGTCAGGAGACAGCGAGGACCCCTTGATGCACCATGCTCCTTTCAATTTCATCTCTCAACAGTCGCTGTTCTCCCAACACTCGCTCACTTCACAAGTGACGATGAATGACACCAACCACATGCTGCAAATATCTTAGAAGCGATGATTAACTGTCGGCCCAAGTCCAAACTTCACCAGCCGTTATCGATGCATAGTCTAATTTCCGGTGACTGCGGTGGCCCTACACTCGTATTGCGGTAGTGTTGTCCCGACACCTGAAACCATAAAAAGCTTGTCTATAATTCCCACTCGGCGTGCTTTAGCAGTGCTCAAGCAGCTGAAACCCCCTGCCAATCCCCGCAGCTAATGGCACGTTCTCAAACAGCGTGCGCTATCTTTCAGGGGCCGAAGGGGCTGGCCGTGTTTGAAAGCTTGTTTCGCAAACGACGTCTTCTCAATTTGGTCGGAAGACCTTCTCCCACATCCCAGAACGGAAGCGTGCGGTATTTAGACGAGACGACTTCGGGTTCCCGGCATACGAGCTCTGTCAATCATTGCTCTTGCAGCCGCGGAGTCATGTTAGGCTCCGGATTTATGCTTGCTCGAGCTGATAACCGTAATTTTAAGGACCAATTTATACAATCCACCCCGTCTCGTGACCTGAATGTCTAGTGTGGCCCCATATATTGTCGCTCTTGGCCCAAGAGAATCGGCCAAACAAGCTTTTGAATTGCCCGCCTACTGATGTAAAATTGAGGTCCCGTGAGGGAGCCTACCCGCGCGAGGGATGTGGGAGTCCGGCTGGCCAGCTTCAACTCCTCAGTGGACCGCCAAGGGGCTCAAACCTGCTCTCATCTAAGGGGTGCGAATCATAACATCGTTTGATAAGATTGCGGTGAGTCCAGCCCGATAAGTCCGAATACTGGTTGCCTCTTGAACCAATATTCGGACTCAACTGACACTAGACGAGCCCAATTTCCGTAAACTCTCTTCCATCAAGTGCTTCTCCCGCCATCATGCCATCCAAGTACGATGGACCTACGAATGTATGAAATCCTTCCGGGCCACTAGACCCGGCCCGCACAATGAACGGGACATTACCGCCGCGAAGAATCCAGACTTCATCACCAACTACTAGGTCGGTTGGGCCAAATCCCAGGGATCCCTTCTCCGTCAAAAACATTGTCCGGTGGCACATATTCGCGAATATGCTCCTGCAAACAGGAGTCTGAGCCCCAGTTCTCATAAAATTCTCCGCCTCTTCCAGATCTCTCGACGTAGCGGACCGCAACGGGCAAAATTCCTCATCCAAGACGAGGTTGGCAAGCAGACTTCCCCAGAAAGACTCCGGCCACGCCAAGGGTCCCGCCAAGTCTCCAGGCCACTCCCGCCCCTGATAAAACTCCTCTGCCAGAGCGTACCACTCCCGGAGCTTGGCGATGGCTCCGGGAAGCGAGAGGGCCATGCTACCCGGCTCGTCGCTGTCAGGTTGAGGTTTCAAACCGACCAGCGCTACCTTGTCCACCATGCACCCGGTCAGTGTCAGCGCATTTGTCTGCTGGTCGTAATGAAAGCTGGCCATGTCAACCTCGAGCTCGCCAGAGGCCGAGTACATCTGATATGTGTGCATGAGATACCACGCCGCACAGTCGCCGTCGATGTTGAGGGCGCGCCCGTGATAGTCGACACCCATATCGAGGGCCCAGCGTGGAATTCCCTGAGTGGTGACCGGTAGCACCTCGTGCCGTCGCAGGGCCAGGGCATGTAAACTCCTGTCGTGTTGGATAAGATCCGCGGTGAACATGGCATATAGCGTTCCTGGTGACAATCTATAGTTGCAGTCCTCCACTCGTTTCAAAGTCCCCGGTGGGAAGAGTCCCAGAAACCCATACACTTTGTCCAGCGGGTCGGATGCATGGCGAAAATTCCACCGAAATGCCGTGTCAAGAGGACCATGTGTTGCCTCCTTGGCCCACTGTAGCCCGGTTGTATGTGCAAAGAGCGTGAATAAGATGTCCCTCTGGGAGTGTGTAACATTATCCAGAGCCGGAATGTAAGTTCGGAGGTGGACGAAGCCTGCATTGATGACGACATCCCAAGGAATCGATAAGGGCCCCCAGAGAGCGAGACTCTTTGATGGCAGGATGGCCTCTTGTAATGTCCAGACGCGATGCCACCACTGATTCTGACCTACTGAGATGGATCTCAGCGCCTGTATTGGCTCCTCGAATGCATCTTCGGACTCGAGTTCAGGTAGAGGGCTCATTTCAAGCGTTTCATCATCTGCACACCCATCTATGAAGTGGACAATAGTCAGAGCCGACATGGCGGTGCGTACAGAGAACTGTTTGTCGATTTCGCCAAACCAAATTAGACACTGCGTGGTTTTCGTGTATATTTGACCCATCAGGGGCACTTGCATGGCCTTTTCCTCAATGTCATCTTGATTGATACAAATCTGGTCGACCCAGAGAGTTCTCCTCTTGGTTGGAAGCCGGATCCGTCTCAGAGCTGCCGCAAGCCCCTCGGTGATGGTGACACGATCACCATCGATGGTGATTTCTGATGTGTTCACGCCATCCCCCCATACATAGGAGAGGGCTTCGTACTCTGGGTCCTCGGAGAGCGGGACGATCCGAGTCTGGCCCACCAACTCGGCTTTGTTATCTTTGGACGTTGTAGGAAATAGATCCAAGACGCGGATCTCGTTGTTAGAGAGCATGGCCTTGGTTATGAGTGGTTGATGGTAAGCTAGCAATGAAAGTCAAAAAATGCGCTAATTGATTTCCCAGAGATCTCAGGTCGATAATCGCTACAGGTTTTAAAGAGGGTTGAATTGGCGGGGCGTTTAATGAAGCTGCAGGGCTCAGCTTGAGACGGGCTGTTTTGATGATGTGCTTGTCTAGCCACTACCCTAGAGCAAGGTAGCATGTGTCGATATTTTATCTCGAGTTGCGATCCGTCAAGCCAAGCTCAATCACCCAGTTGCAACGGAAAAGAGACGTTACCATTTAATTTTCATTGATGCTAGCATGGCGTGGTCAGCTTGAATAGGCTAAAATCTGCCGCATCAGCTGATTCGACCTGTAATCCAGGTAAACGTCTGTCTCATTGTGAATGCTGACCGCAGGACAGGGCCGTTATCATGACTGCGTGAAATATGGAACCACTTTGACCCCGCTTACGAGGCATCTCAGGTGCAAGTCTAGTTTTGATTGGCTAGAAATGGTGGACACACTCTGTCGCGCTCCTCTCCACCCAAATTTAGAGATCAGCCAATAGGAGGGGGCTACAGTGGAGTACGCCTCGGGTCAGCCACGGCGCCACACCTTGTTGAAAGTCCTCCATGACTAATAACCAAAAAGGGATTCAGAAATTACTTCCGCCCACTCAATTGGAGATCTCGCATTTTAAGGTTCCCCGCCAATTTTTGAAGCTACGGTTGATTCTACTACATCCCGAACTCGGTTGAGTTTGTATTGATGAGTTCGACGCGAGAGGTTGAAAGATGGTTCTAGTGCTGCACTGCATTGGTGGCTGCTTCTGAATCGGCCAGCTGATTACGCGTTGGGTGAAATGTTGCGATCAGCTGGATCCACTTGCCTGTAGGCAGTTACTAATGAGCCAAGAGAAGTGGTCATGTTGTTTTTCCCTTTCTTACAAGTCCGAGGAATTCTCATCTTACTTACCTGAAAAATAATCGCTCTGTCAAAAAGAGGAGTCCAAAGTTGTCAGAATGCCCGGCGTTGTTAAATCTACGGCTTGCCAGGCGTGCAAGCTCCGTAAAATCAAGGCAAGCTATGAGACCCAGAACCTGCAACGGTTGAGCGACATGGCTAACCTTTTTTCCTTTGGCGCTGAATCTAGTGTGATCAAAATTGGCCAGCATGTACGCAGTGTACCCGGAAACACTTGACATGTTCTGGGCCAAGCTCCCTTCTCAAGTTTGTCAATAACGACCAGAACCAGGTCCAAAGAGATCTCCCAATAGAGCATGCGGAGGGCTCGGGGGTTTTGAAACTCCGTCAAAGCAGACCATATCGCTTGCCTAAGAGAAACAAAGATCCCTCGGGGGCTGAGAGCCAATCCCCACAAGCTCTTGGTCACTACAACGCCTTTCGTTTTCAAACCTCGACCCCCCGCGCGGATCTCACCACGAGGGCGGACCGTGTTGCCTCCCGCCTCGTCCACCACATTAAGGGCGAGCGAGACTGGGGTTGGGTCTTCTCGATGCAGTACCTCCAGCACTTGCCGAAACGGCTGTCAGAAAGCCCAAGCCTGCGAGACACGGTGGCCCTCTTTTGCTCTGTATTGGGAGACTACCGTCGTGGCAGGGAGGCGAGTGAGTTCCTAACTCTTCCTTCCTACGGCAAGGCTCTCAATAGCCTGCGGAGGGCGTTAAAGACAGGTCAAGGTTTGAAGATCGAGACTGTGGCATCGATTATGATGCTGGAGCGTACGGAGAGCGTATTTGATCGAGGGCGTAATAATATATGCCTGACACATACAGAGGCCATTGCGACCATGATTCAAAAGATAGGGCCTCCGAGGGCTGATAATCAACTTCACCTTGGTTTGGTTAGTGACAGCTATGGTACCTTGGTATGTCGATTATTTTCACACACGCAGACTATGTACCCTGGTGTGTGGAACATTGCTGACTGTTAAATATACAGGCCGTTCACTTTTTGAAGACAGGTCGTGATAATTTCTTGTCTCAAGACCCGTGGAAAGGGATCATTGAAGAAAACATATCTTCTTTGCTCGAGAACAAAGAGGCCCAGCCGCATCTAAAAATGCTCCTCGTTTTATGCAACGAAGGCTTTGGCAACTTGCCGAAATTTGTGCGACGCTGCCAGATGGTCCATTTCGGATCTCGAGACTCCGAATCGGCAGAGAAGGCTGCGCAATTGATGTGCAGCCTCGCAGACATGGAGAGGGCTCTTGAGTTCGCATATCTTGAATTATTTGAGAAGACCGCTGATTTGGGCCTGATATGCGACAGGACCGATCCCAACTCCATCACCGGAAGCAGCTACGAGCTCTCATCCGTCTACCTGGCTCAATTTTTGGTGTCGTCACTCGGCCTCCAGTTCTACATGCTGCGAATGCTCTATGACTGTAGCATCGTCTATGATCCAGATGAAACTCCTGGCCTCTATGTCAAGCTCACAGAATTATGCGTGAAGGTCTGGAAGTTCGCCCCATATCTGAAAAGCCTGGAGGCTTGTGTAGCTTCTAGCACAATCAGCAACCTTTTCCCGACTTTGGAATTTGCGAACGTAGAGCAAAAAGAAGTGTTGATTGACATGATTATCGAAATGGATAGATTTCGGCTGCGTTTACCAAGAGACAGATTCGCATTGGAACAGGCGGCCAACTTTTTCACGATGCAGGTGACCGGTCGACTCCCGCCTACAAGTCCGTAAATAGCCTGAAAAATTATCAATTGAAAACTGATTTATTCAAGAAATTGGCCCATACTATTACACTGATTTTGGAAGGACAATCTCACTGGCAATATGCACGATAAGCACCAAAGGAAATGGAGTGTAATCTACATGTTTTGATGGATCAGTCGGTGGTTGCCTAATTCTACCTAATTAATTTGCAAATTAGGCACACCTCAGCCAAATGAAACCACAACTCAACTTGGCTCATTGCACCAGTTGTCACCAACTCGGTCACGCTCGGCATTCTTCTCTGAGACTCACAGATGAAAACCTCTTATCACGCATACCAATTGATTCATTAAGACAATTTTCCCGATGAGCCAAGGGGATGACTTGCGACAGCTCGAGCTGGAACTCCGACGGGAGGGAACCCCCCTCACCAATTATTACCGTCACACCCGCATGGAGAGAGGGAACACGCCATCCAAGGCCACGCGACATGTTTCTTTTACGCGACGGACACCAGCTGAGCGCCGGGAGGAGCTCTGGATCATGGACAGGATCCTGGAGCCCCAGACAATCGCGCACTTCTTCGCCTGCGTGTTTGGTAGCCCGCTCCCCAACGGCCAGCAGACCAAGTTCCCGGTGCTGTTTGAAGCTGAGGCCCCTTGCATCAATCTGCCCTTGTCTGCGTGGGCGCCGCCCCCGTACGACGGCAGCCAGGATTCGGCGATGGATAAGATCGTGACGCACATTGGTTCGTACGAGGATCAAAACAACCTGATGCTTATTACAAAGGAGCTCAGGACCATAAAGGCGCTGGTCTGGTCGGGGATGGCGCCGGTGTCTGAGAGGCGCTGGCGGGAGCTCGACCTCGACTCGCCCGGCAACTTCCACAACGCGTGCCGGTACTTTTGTGCCGTCATTGACGTGTTCCACTACCTCAACATGCCGGCAGTGAAGGGTCTCTTGCGCAAGACGTACAACGCGATATGGGACGAACTCAAGATTCTCGAGTATTCGTTCAACCACCATAGGAGAGCTAAAGGAGAACCAAAAGTCAACCTCACTGGGATGTGGCATGAGTACATCGATGCGCTCTTCGCCTCGATAACCCAGCACGCCCATGATTGGGTGACATCCCGCATTGAGCGGCTTCGCGGGCCAGTTCTCCAGCGGTTGAACGACAGTCTAAAGAACAAATCCTCCTTGGGTGGAGTACTGGGCCAGTCACAGGAAGAGTTGGATCTCTTGAACAAGCTGCACGATATGGTGGAGAACGCAGCCCAGGCAGACACGGCCATCTTCCTGCCAATGGACGGGTACAGAGGGAGTGGGCTCGTCAGCCAGGACAACGCGCCGCTCCCAGATGCCAAGAACCCGTATCGTGAACAGCCCATATCATTTTCAGCGAACAAGCGAGTTCGAGAGTTTGACTACTACGCTCGACTCAAATACCTGACGACGTTTAAAAAATGGCAAGAGTTTGACAACATCGAGCTGGCCAGTATTGTCGACCGGCTTGACGCGGTGTCCAAGGGAGATAGCTTAAGCGCGAACCAAGTAATCGCGCAGCACCAGGCAAGAATGGAACTTCGAGGACCAACCAAACCACCATTGGATGAACAATGGGTAATTGATTCTAAACGAAAGGGAGGTAGTAGGCGGTGGGGGTTCATGGCCTACCGGCTGTGCTATGATCATACAGATGAGGAATGGGAAGAGTTTAAGGCCAAGTTCGAGGCGGATATATCAAATTGGCGAAAGGAGATGCCTGATATGGATGATATAAAGGCGAGATCTGTAGTTGAGTGGCGGGAACCGCGCACAGTTGGCCTTCCTGAGAATGATGTTGACGCCGTTCGGAAGTAAGTTCTCAACCTACTCACAGTCCTTTGTTTTGAGCCCCCACTAATAACTTTGCCAAGGCACTTCGCTTCCCTTGAGAAATTCAACTTGATCCCCGATGATGTTAATATGAATGTTATACTCGCTGCAGACAAAGCTGTCATCGACTCATATTTGAAACCAACTCCAGGTCAAGGTGGGTTTGTGCTCGCCATCGAAGCTTGGTTTGACCCCGATAACGAGTGGCGCAAGCAGCGAAACGAGTCACCAGGATACACAGGCACCATGAGAATCTTGGGAAGTGTACTTTGGGATGACGTGAGCGCATCGTTGTTTTTGCAATCGCGGCGACTGGATGACATCTGGGTCTTGGCCATGGATCATCCCCTTAAGTTGTATGAGGGGTACATGCCGCGACATGCTCCGGCCTAGATAGATTGATGAAGCAAAGTCACAGCAGGCAATGTGAAAAGAAGATTGAGCTTGGCCTACACTTTGTAAGATCCTGAAAACATCATGCAGTCGGCTATACAGCGTGCCCAGCTACTTGTGAAGGCATCTCATAGTGCTTCCCTCATCTTCTGCAGACGTTCCACCACTCCCTCCGCAAACGCCTCGCGCAGCCGCCGATTTCTCAGTGCTGCTTTCTCCCCAGGATAAGCCGGGCTTTCTATCTCGTTTGCACAAAGTAGAATCTCCACAATGTCTCTGAAGACATCGCCCGCATGCGCTGAGACAACTTCCAAACATCGTGACTTGGCTGGAACCTCGCTGTCAAGCGGCGCTTGGCTCTTATCCACAAGGATCTTGTCTTTTATAGAGCGCAGTTCATCTCCAGTGAGGCCTGATACTACCTTGTAACCGACAATACTCTCGATGGGCGACCAGCATGCGACTTCGAGGAGAACTACCCCTAAGCTGTAGAGGTCAAAGGATTTCCGGTAGGCGTCAGCATTCTCACCCCCCTGCACCAGAGGGTGTCGGTATAGATCTGCCTCGGGGTTGGGCTTTGCAACGTCAGTCAGCTCCGGCCGTCCGTCTGGCCTTGAGAGCTCTAGACCTGTGAGATATGGCTTCTGAAGATCAACGCAACCCACGTCGGGGCCAAAGAAAAGAATGTTCTGGCTCCGAAGGCCTTTATGCAGCCAGTCGACGGCGTGGAAGTTAGACAGACATTCTGCTAGCTGGCAACAGAGTGATATACGCAGGGAGAGGGAAGGCATGGGCTGGCTGGATAGAATTTCTCTGAGGCTGAAGATGTGGACTTCCAGGGGGTCGTGCCGTATTGGAACTTTGAGCACCAGTCTTAATATGGGTTGTGGGGGCGTATTGGGGCTGGCATTGCGTAGGTCGATGAAACCTCGACAAGGCGGTGTTCGAAAGTCTTCGGGTAATGCAATGCTCAGAAGCTTGGCAAGAAGGGATGCTCTATGACTAACACAGGACACATCATTGATAGCTTTATCCAAATTCTCCAAAGAGTAATCAATTGGTTCCAGCCATAGGAATTCTCCATTCATATGTATTATCTCTCTTGTCCGAGGAATACACTCTTGGGGAAAAGAGTTGGTAATGTTGAGGTATTCGAATGCCTCATCTCTGTGCGAAGGTGTAGATGTAGACTCATCAGACCGACCGATATCTAAGCGATGAAATTTTACATCGGCTAGTTCTTTCATGTATTTAATCCTCTGAGCATTTGATCTCGTCTCTATTGTGATAGATTGAGAAGTGAAGCTTCTCCGAGGTGTTACGACAGACCGAATGTCTTCCTCCTCTTGATTGGTGTTGTATGTTATGGCTTGAATCGTAGCCTCCAGGCCTTGTAGGTCGGTTTTCATCTGTATGATTTCTTGATAACTTGTTTGGATGGCCTGATTTATTCGACGACTCCTGGAAGAGTGAAGAAGGGAGATGAGGGCAGAATTAAGAACCTCCAAGTTTGCAATCAAAGATGTGAATGCCTTCTGGTCAAATGCCACCCAAACCAAACGTTTCGGCTCGACCATGATTGTACGTAGCTTCCTCGCCTTCCATATTATTTTCCGGAAAATCGAATTCGATCGCAAGGACGTTTTCGCAGTAGGCGCAACGGAGATGTCGATCTTGGCAATAGGGGCTTGTGTGGCGCAAAGTAGGTCCATCATGCTCGGCTGAGGGCTCAACTTAATCCCAGGCCCATCAGAAAGTATGATATCGACGTATTTCCCGTTTGCTTGCTGGAACTTTTCGAAGAGCATCTTGATCTCGGAAAGGGTTTCTTGGAGCAGGGTCGAGTTGATCGAAAGTGTCTCGGAGCCGGTTTCGGTGGACAACAACCCAGCTTCTTCGGCGAAGACGAGAAAGCGTTGCTGTTCTAGCTGGAGTCGAATTTGCAAGTATCGGTGCTTTTCTGGCATTTTGGACGCCTCGCTGAAGTATTTGTAGTCTATTCATAATGATCATGGTCAACGACATCGCAAGCAGGGGGTAAGAGATTGTGGCTTACACTTGACACATTCGTCTACGACTTGTAGAATCAACGACCCGGAGCCAAGGCCGGGACCGGCCATGGCTAGAGCTAGAGCCATATGTCCTTTGTTGAGGAATGCTTGTCGCTGATTTCCATGTGGAATTTAATGACTCACTTGGGATTTATGTCGGCGGGATGCAGGCTGACAAGAAACCAGGCCATATAAGGATGGGCTGGGCGGAAGCTGAGCTGAGCAAAATTACCAGCTGGTGGCATCACTGCACTTTTATAACTCAGGGAGCGCTATTGGAGGGCGAGCATTTGGCCCTATAGGCTTGTTTGGGTGGGAATACGTGCGACTCGTCGTTTTTCCACCGACGCATTGAGGCCCGGACCAATTGTGCAGTTTCGTTGGGTTGCAACGCGTATTGAGTGGTGAGATGTGAGAATTAGGCTCTGCGCTGGCCCTAATTCGTGATTGTGTTTAAAATAGATTCCATGAGAGCCTATGAAGGAGAGAGGGGGAGGCTTAAATCCATTTGGGCTTTACAGCTTTACATCCAATATCAACTCTGACTGCCGCGACCTGATAAAAAAGAGCATTGGCCTTCAAAAGAAGTCACTGTGAGACAAGAATGGCGTCTGGACTCTCACGAATTACATCCCGACAAGATGACGACCTGGTAACTGCCCACATGAAGCCACCATGGCAGGGTAGCACCCAACACGCGCGTAAAGTGAACATGATCCTCAACGCGATGAGTTCCAACAATTTCGAAACCAACCACGAGGACATTACACGGATGCTGGCTTGCGTCACCGATTACTGGTTACCCATCACGTCTTACTCCACGATGCCGCCCGCCTTGGACCCGGGCCCATGCTATAGTTTCATCGGGCAACAATCTTCGGTTCTCGATTCGGCTTTTGAATTAGATGGGCAACATTACAATCTCGACCAGCACGCCAGCTTCCCGGAAGGAAAGAAGCTACCCCGTACCCTCGAATACAAGAAAGTGCTCGGCCAAGGCCATTTCGGTTATGTCGCTCAGGTGAGTGACGAAAACGGCAGCGTGTATGCTCTGAAAGTCATGACGCGAGAAACACAACACGCCAAAGCCAGGGAGCAGATGAGGATGGTCAAACAGGAGATCGAGGTTCTGAAAAAGGTTGATCATATGCATTGCATCAAGTTTGTTGGAAGCTACACTGATGTCAGGTCAATCGGCATCGTCGTACATCCCGCTGCGGATTGCAACCTTGCCAGGTTTCTCTTCCACTTCAATCACAAGCAAGAAGATCAGTACATGGTTCTAGCCAGCTTTTTTGGGTCCTTGGCCAGCGCCCTCGAGTACCTCCACTACGACCTGCGAATCCGACATAAAGATATCAAACCACAGAATATATTGGTCAAGGGAGAGAACGTTATGCTCGCAGACTTTGGAATATCCCTTGACTGGAGCGACGATACTCACTCAAATACAAAGCAAGAGGTTAATAGAAGTCCGATCTACTGTTCCCCGGAGGCGGCAGGGGACGAGCATCGTAATTCCAGGTCGGACATTTGGTCCTTGGGCTGTGTTTTCCTGGAGATGGCGGCCGTCATCCACGCGCAGCCATCTATGTATGTTCAAAGCATACTAAAAAACCATGGATGTCGTAACTTCCGAGACTGCCCGGAGGGAATTAAAGAGGCCATCACGACATTACGAAACATCGATCCGGTAGACAGGCATCTTCCTCTCGACTGGGTGGAGCAAATGCTCAAGATGAGGAAAGAAGACCGTTGGACCTCGGCAGTGCTGCGGGATGAGATATTCAAGAGCAGAGGGCAGTCTAATCTGTCCTTTTGCGGAACATGCTGTGAAGAACACAAGCCTCAATCGCCCACGAGCTCGCCTGTGTTGGCTCCAACCATGACCGGTGATAAAATAGTTGCCGACACTGTGCGTGCGTTATCAACCGGCTCTGGAAGCGATAGAAAATGCTAACTGTTAAACTAATGACAGTCTGAAGACTTGAACAAAGGAGTACAAATCCCAGAGAAAGCAGAGTTGCACAGCGCAACAAAGAATGGGTGGCAGACGGTTACATTGATACGGCGCAAAGATATCTTAAGCAATTGGATCCCGGCCGGCCTCGTCAAATCGTGCAAGTTAGAGGTGCGGCCGAATAAGGAGCAAGGCCACTTGGCTCTGGGAAGTCAAGATTTTACTTCATCCGAATACGTCAAACTGACCTTCACCGTCGGCGGAGGCCAAGTTCTGAAACGTAACTTTTGGGTAGCGCCGGTGACGGCACCGCTCGGCTCGCTGATTTGGAACACTTCGGCGCCGTAATATCAAGGGCGTACCGTGTTTTTGTGTATAACCTCTTTTAGAATCAGGAGGACCTGAGGGGAAAATGTGGCCGTTGGGGTCACTTGTGAACAGTTGACAACATCGGATAACGCCAAACCATAAGAGGTAATAAAGTCTCGCAGAGTCTCTCTGCGAGACTTTATTACCACTTTCGGTTTGGCATCTCTCGGGCTTCGGAGGTAACCGCTCTACATGAAGTCACTATTTTCTTTGCAAATTGTTTCTGATTTTGTGAAATCATGGGAGCAAACCCTGTGACAATCAAGTCTTAAAGAAAGGGGCGAGTTTACTAAATAACATTGCCTTTCTGAAAGGCGTGAAATACTCAGACGCTGACGTCCTGTAGCAAAGTACATTTTGAATGTAGGTAGCATCAGTTATCCCTAACCGCTTTTTCTTCATGATGACTAAGTTACCAGCGCTAGGGTTGCAATAGTAGTAACATTTTTCAGTCTTTTGTTCTCCTCGCAGCCTAGCTGCTTTACTCCTAATAAGTACTTGTTTTGCAAACATTCGCTGGGAGGGAGCCGCTCGAGCCGGATGAAGCTGTCGCGACTGAACAGCCCGACCACGACAGCTTCGTCGGCTTGTATCCCTGACTGACCTGTCCTGAACAGCCCGGCCGCGACAGCTTCATCAGCTATATTCTTAACCTATAATAGCCTTACCTATAAGTTATAGTGATTTTAGAAGATGAATCTATTAAATTGATTTTTTTAAGAAAAACTAAAAACCTGAAACCCCGAAAAACCGAAGTTTAGAATTGGCGGCCATGGCAGCGATTTTCTAATATCCTGCTATACTCTCTTTCAAGAATGTTTTTGTAACAACAAATTCAAATTCTCCTTTGGATTTTGGTCTTCTATAGATTATTTTTTCGTTTTTGTCAGTCCTAACCCTTAGTTCGAGAGGATAGAATTTAGTCCGGACTCCATAGTGCCACACCATCTCAGATGCAAACAGCTCCTCGTAGTCCGGAGCACCGACGCCACGTACAGCCTCACCAACCAACGCTAGTGAGCATGGGATAATGACTTCTCGGAGTGTGGAGGCTCAGTATCACTTGGCCTTCCCCCAAGTCTGCTAAAAAATCTCTTCGGCTTTCGATACTGAGCTCACCGGCCGTTTCTCTGCGAAGTACCACCTAGTCATTGTACACTTATAGCCTCCTCACGGAGCTCAAACCACTCACACTCTCCCTACTACCCACCCACCCGTGCGTGTATTCCCACACAAGCACTCCCGTCAGCGTACTTGCTAACGGCGTGTTGGCGGTTCTAGACGCTACATAGCGTGGTGTCGATAGAAAGTTCCAGATGCCTCCCCCAACACCACCTGACAGCAGGTTTGACATCGCCTTTGATGTGTGTATCCATTGAGCTTGCTTATGTTTCCTTGCTTCCCTAGTCAACCCGGCGATGCCTAAAACACTCGGGCCACTAACTGTTCTTATCCCTTGACAGTACAAACAAGAATCCAAGTTAATCAGCGCCTTTCCGCGCGGAGCCAAAGCATGGGAAGGCCTGAGAGCACGCCAGGGCCAGCAACCTTCCCACTTCGTATCGGCTGAAGCCATGAAGAGAATGGGCCTCTCTGCACCACTGAACAGCGAGCATGAGATCACTTGGTGGTCTCAGATTCAGACTGAGCAGGCCCAGAAAGTTCGTTGCACCGTGGTGCCGTCCATCCCAGAGGGCATCGATATTGCTTTCGGTACCAGTAGTGATGACAATCGGTCGGAGGTGCTGGCGGCCACCTATGCCCAAGCCACCTTGACTCAACAGGCTGAAGCAGGTGAGTAATGCTCTCTCCCAGGTTGCATGGGGCAAACGAGTGCACCGCTGACCTGGAGGCAACCTTTAAATAGACGACACTCTCAATTCTGGCCTTCTCTTTCGTACGAAGACTGCATGTGAAATCATTCGCTGCGCTATCCACGAAGTGGTGGAGGGTGATTCGAGTCTCAAGAAGCCAAGTCTAATGGAACGCGCGCGTGTTGCTGCTGAAATTATCCGCACTCCCATGGAGGTTCTATTCAACAAGAAAGACTCCTCTGATGGCCTCAGGCGTTATGGAAATGGGCGAAACGGATGGGAATAGGATAAGACATCCTTGAGAAAGGACATTTTGTTTTTAGATTAATATCATTTGTAGTCTATTAAGCAGTCAACATTGAAATCTTTACTTACTATCCACGTCACGTTTGACGACTTGGCTCTACTGAGTCCGCGACGTGGTTCCTGGCGCTCCAATGATCTGCTGGGTCCTCTTATCGGAGAGAGTAGGGTGCAAGCACAGTGCCATTATTAAGCACTAAGCGTGGGAAGTGGCCGCGGGGAAGTTTTCGTTCTGGGATGGGATTTGGGACTCCAAAGTAGTTAGTGAGAGTTCCAACGTGATGTCAACTACTAGTGGCGTGATATTCAGCATGTCCCAGACCGTTAATATCAGCCTTTGTATCAAACTCCTCGTCTTAGAATACCGAACCAAGCTTCTTGCAATTCAGAACCAGATGGAAAGCGTAGGCGGGTTCAATTTGTCTGCTGATGGCAGCTGCGGCTCCGCTTATTGACGAGGAGTCAACAGTGCCCAGTAAAGCTGCTACAAAGCGGTCGTATATTACCATCCGTTTATATTACTTGTAAGCTTAGAAGTGTAAGTTGAGCCTTTAATAGAGAGAAAGCCTCAGAGCACAAGAGGTTATTGATAGAAGTAAGGACATTTCGCTGTGGGACTTCGGACCGTAATATGTTCAAGGAATACCCCCCAAAAACGTAGAGAAGGATAGCCATTTGGTTCAATAAACTGTTAAGAAAAGGAGCAATATGTAACCTGTATTGAAGTGTATTTAGCCCGTTGCTGCGCAAGTTTCTTGAAGAGAGATGTGTTATGATGATGTTTGTCAATGGTGATAGCGTCACGAGGAGTAAGCAACCGATGATCAAGTCGACCTTCGAAACCTAAGATTAGGTCATTTGGCAAGAGCGCATAGTCCCAGCATCTTGAGATCCACCCATCATACTGCGGGTAAGAGGCTCATTTGTTTTGGCGCCTCTGGGTTGCGTCTAGCAATTCTTCGAGGGCCCTTTGATCCCCCTCCTCGGTAGGCTTGTGCCGGTCAAGCATTGCCTGATCACTCGGTTCCATGTCACAGAAATCCATGTGTCCAAAACACGTCGGATCTTCCCAACCTGAAGATTCACAAAAAACACTGTATCGAGACCCATACAAGACTGTGGTCTGCTGCGTCGGGTTGTGGAATTCTCGAACACTGTTGAGTTCTTGAATATATCTTGGCCCAGGAAGAAATTCGAAGTCGACCAGGTTGGGTAGCCTGGTACGAATTTTCTCAAATATGAACTCCCAAGTCCCCGGAAAGAAAAATACTTCTCCGTAGTCACTGCCAAATTTACCCTCTGGACCGGGTTCCCAATCATGCATTTCCGGACTCCAAAGATCTATTCCCTCACCAAACCGTAGTGCTGTAGCAATGGTACAACTATCCAGCCGCAAGCTCTCTAATGTGGTCTGATTGAGAACCCAGTCAAAATGGTTATAGTGTGAAATGTTGAAGTATTTAAGCTTCAAGCTCTTGAGATGAGGGAATGCTAGACCACGGCCATTGAATGTGCCTGGTGCTGTCCCCCAAAATTCATCAATGCATAATGACAGTGATCTCAAGTTCGCCATTGGCATCAACCAACTGTTTTGCAGCCATGGCTCAAAAGTCACCAGCTCAGTGGCCTGGAGCTCCCATTCTGGCCGGAATTCGTTGTGTTCCTGAACGATGTGGAGGTGGAGTTCCTCCAAATCTTCAGCCACGGACTTGAAGAGGCTTGAGGATGTGAATGTGGGGATGGGCGCGTTCTGCATATTTTCAACCACGAGTGAGCGGATGCTAGTCCTTCCAGGCTGGTGCGATCGCGTCTGTATCGCATTGAACACATCCTCGAAGACGTTGACCCGTTTCTTGTACGATTCATTGCTTATCATATCATAGACCAAGGATTCCGGGCCACAGCACAGTGGAGAGAATTTGACTGTGATTTTCTCCATGTGGTGGAGATCGTGAACTTTTTGCAAGGTAATGGTAAACTCCTCCATGATTTCGTTCGTTAAGCCTTCATCCTCGTCATTGATATGGCTGTAGATGATAATCTCGCGAACTGCGTCTTTGATTCGCGCATTTTCAAGTAAGGCACCCCACGCCTTGTAGCTCTTTTTCGTCGGCCTAAGAATTATTTTTCGGAACGCGTGTGGTACCGCTAGCATATTCCACCGCTGGCATACCGATCGTGCCATGAGCGCCGTAGTGGTTGGCTCCATGAGGCCAATGATGCCTCCTAGCAATTCGGTTGGCAGTTTTTGGGCGCCCATTCTGGTAAATAGGCGAAAAGAAGTATCTCAGATGCGATTTTGTGTCGGTTCAGGAATGCTCAGTTGATGATTTGGCAATCTCTGAAGTCAATTGTCTGGGTACAAATATCTGCCTTTTATGTTCTACCGCTGCCTTTTGTCGTGGTAAGGTGAACGGAGTTTCAGCAAGATTGGCAGCGTTTCTGTTCATATATTCACTGTCACGTGCTGCTATAAGAAAACCAGCGGACATACTAAAGCCCATACAAAAGTGCCAATTCCAGCAAATATTGCTCCATAAGAACAAAAATAAATGCGGCAAGGGCCGAAAGATACTCGTAAACACGCCTACCCAGAGAGGCAGGTTATCCAACAGTTTGACCTGGGAAATTATCTTGCTCACAACTCTAGGCTTCCAACAATCGTGTGAGCGTAGCTTAGAATGATGTATGGGAATAGCTGGCTACCTTACGTATTAATAGAAAATAATAACCTCATTAATGAGTTTGCTCTGTCCTGTAACTATTTTCGAGTTTTTGGAAGACAGAAAGCATAGCTAGCGATATCATCGGGCGTTTGCGCCTTCTTCATCGCGACTCGCTGCTCGACTGATTTGTTCTAGCTGAACCGCTTTTAAAAGCAAGCCGAGCTTTGTGGAGAACGGTGCATTTATATCCCTGGCATTCGTGTCTTCTCTCAACTCCTAATTCGACGGCTGCTCCAAGAAAGCTAGCTAATTAAAGCTTGGGAGGAAGTTCGTGAGTAGTCTCTCAATTGGATAAATGATGGTAGCCATTCACAAGACCTCGATTTTCTTGAGGTAGAGAAGAGGGAATCTTGGGTATTGAATACGCATATATATCACATCGCCCATCACAATGGGTGGGCGCGTTGAAATACTGAGCAATGAATGCATAGTTTATGAATAGTCGAGAGGTGGATGCAAAGACTGAAAGAGTAGAAGACGCTTTTACTCTTTTCATCTTCATTAGTGCATACATTCTAGTCTGATGTGAACAATCTCAGTTGTGCATGCGAATATCCGGTATAGTGTGTGCCGTGATGTTCAACATCGTGATTTCAAATGATATGATGTTCGATCCGGATAGTCGATCGGGATCGGCAATGTCGGCTTGTATGCACCAGAAAATCTATGGCGCAATATGCATTGGGAATGAGCCATCCGCAGGGAAACGATAATCATAGGAACACCCAAGCGCTAGTGGATTCTTTATCCGTTGTATTCATAATCCATCCGTATGGGTTGATCTCTGAAGGTGGTACAGACTTATTCATCAACACATACACGTGATGTTCCAGATGATGACATTTGGGCTGCATATGGCGATGCTCTCAATCGTACGCCCAGCTAAAACCCCCAACAATCTCCTCACTTTCTGCCTCACGCTGCTGGCCCTTTGGAGCAATTCACACCACTTCGGCGACACCAGTAAACCAAAATGGGAGGAGAGAAGAAGACACGGACGGTGGCCGTCATAGGTGCCGGGGCATCAGGTAATGAACTGGAAGCACCAAAACCCTCCCAGCACTGTTATGGACTCCGTATGCTGACCAGTATTCTTATGTTTTATAGGCGCTATAACGGCCGCGGCGCTTAAAGCCGAGAACTACTTCACACGCATCCGGGTATTTGAAAGAAGAGAATCTCCAGGCGGCACATGGTAAATTTGCTCCATTTGCAAACCCTTACGCTTCATGCTGAGTGCCAACAATTGTCGGCTAGGATTTACGATGAGAGCACAAAGCCCCATCTACCGGTGAAGCCAGGGGATCTACCCGGCCAGAGCGATCCTCCGCTACAGATTCCCCAGGCCTTGCCAACTACAACGGCCCCAAACCACCAGAACAGATATCTGGAGACTCCTATCTATGCGGGATTGACGTGAGTTGCGGAGAATACCGAATTGATGATGGTAAATTTAACATTTTCACCAGAACCAACGTTCCGGCTATAGCCATGTCATTTTCGGACGCGCCTTTCGCTTATGGACCATTCGTACCGCATTATGTTCCTCACCAGTATTTATCCAATTACTTCTCGACTCACAAGTTGGATTCCCTTCTCGAACTGAACACCACACTCGAGGACCTGACACAAGTCAAGTCGGAGTCCAGAGAGAAGGACAATGGGTGGAAATTGACGCTCCGGAAGCGCGATTTGGTCCAGAATGTGGACATTTGGTGGGAGGAATCTTTTGATGCTGTGGTACTTGCAAATGGCCACTATACAGTACCCTATGTTAGTGTCTTTTCCCGTGTGAAAGGAATATTACAATTGCAGAAAGCTAACTAGCGAGATTTAGGTTCCTCACGTCAAGGGTCTGGATGAGTACATCAAGAAATTCCCTGGTCGTGTGATTCACTCCAAGTCATACCGTGTGCCCCATATTTGGAAGGGGAAGAAGGCAATTGTCATCGGTAACTCGGCCTCAGGGAAAGACGTCTCGACTGAGTTGGTGAAATGGGTAAGTCTCCCGCTCTACCAGTCCAGGAGGTCAAAGTCTAGATGGGACGGCGAAGAGCCACCCGCGGGGATTGAGTGGAAACCAATCATCAGCGAGTATCTATCGGATGGAGGCATTGTCTTCAGCGATGGCACTATCCTCCGGGACGTCGATGTGGTCGTTTACGCTACAGGATATAAGCCCTCCTTTCCGTTCTGGAATCTAGAGAAGAATGGCCGTCCGCTTTATGATTACGAGCAGGGCAAGCTCGCCAACAGCTACTGGCACACTTGGTTCCATGATTTCCCCACCCTGGCTATTGTCGGCCTCCCTCGAGTCCTCACCTTCCGCAGCATGGAGTATCAGGCGATTGCTATCGCGCGACTTCTGTCCGGCAGACAATGGAAATCTCTTCCTCCCCCCAAGGAGCAGACACGGTGGGAGACTGAAAGACTTGAAAAATCAAAAGCGAACCGGACCAAGTTCCATGACGTTGTGTGGGATGAGGGGGAGACCCAGGAATATCTTGGTCTCTTCTTCCGTATTGCGGGCCTGGGAACACTTCTTGGAGAGGGACGAGTGCCCCCAGTTCTCAGTAAGGAAACAATCTGGGCCATTGAGAATATTAGGAAATACCCAGAGCCAGGTAAAGACCAGAATACAAGGGAAGGATTCGCCCGCGGCGAGGATGCACAATCTGAAGAACAAGATTGGGTTGTCGCCCACCGCCCGAACAGGGGTGCCTTGTGGTTCATTTAGAATACATTTGTGGGAATATAGATACTAAGACTGGTCGCTGGATGGTCAACGGCAATTGATGAGTATGCGGGATGCATCTGAAATTCTTGATCTGACTTAGAGTCCTCGGCCCTGACCTTGGCCTGGCCTATTGACCGGTTGACTGCTTGACCGTGACCTTGGCTGTCCCGTTCGCTTGAGGGAATCAGGTGGTCCATGTTGTTTTCAGGGTTTCCAATCCACGATGCCGAATCGAGGGATCTGGTCGTGACTACTTTCCCCATGTCGAACTTTCTGTGACTGAGCTGAAGGTTTTCAGATAACGTGTAAATCTGGTCGCGATTTCAACCCTCCTTGGCAGCTCTAATCTCACAGGTGGCCGATCCACTAAACCCTTCATAATGCCTTCCATAATCTTCTCCATAACAAGTGTCTCATTATGTTACACTTCTCTACTGGGGGAATTGCTGAGAGACGTACATGATGCTTTCAACCAGCAGTGACTAACAAGATTCTAGAAAACCCTGCAAGTGCTACAGCCCTGGCCCAGCTGTCTGTGGCAGCAATGAGCGATTTTGGTAGGCAAAACCTAGCCGTCTGCTTCAACGATGAACAATCGAAGCAGGCTCGGCTTAAAGGAGGACATAGGGGGACGCAATGCATTAGCTTGAATAACAAGCTGACAACAGGGACCAAGCCTTCATAGTATAACCCTCTACTAAGAAAGGCAGACTCAAGACCCGGGATTTACTTAGAATACAGGTAATACTAGTCAAAAGGAAGAAAAACAGTTGCAAGTCCAAATTTCGGTGAGGTTCGAGGACCCTCATTGACCCCTGTCCGGAGACTTCGCCCCATGTCAGTGCCCGCGCCTTGACTGCTGTGGTTTCAATCTTTCCTATTCGGGCAGTTTCTTGCGGCAATGATTGGCCTTCCCTTCCAGTGCTTGAAAGTCCTCGATGACCGTGGGGCTGATTTGTCTCACCTGTGTCGTCATGGAGGTTGTCGTTTTCTCTTTTTAGGCTATTCTTGGCGGCCTACTAAGTACTTGTACTTTCTCATGGATCAATAATCGATTCTCATAGGTCAACAATCAAGACTGCTTCCAAGCCTCGGCGGGGCTCATTTACAGTCCCACGGGAGACCTACGCAAAGCTGCCACGCCATGGGCAACACAAGTATAAGGACAACTTGTCTATCCTCTTCATCAAGAAAGTTATTTCTCATCGAAGCATTGCAATTTCTACCCCATCTCATATCTTGCTTCTCTGTTTTTTTGTCCACCATGCATCTAAATATAGCACTTGCTTCGGCCTTTATTGTCAACGCGTCCGCCTTCATCATCGGCACAGAGCGTGCCCCCTTAATCGGTCCCTCCTTCCCAACCAACTTTGACCATTCTGCCTCGAAACACTTCGAAGATGCCAAAACCGAGTTTTCCAGCCGTCTTGAGCTGCTTTTCTCCACCGGGAAGCTGAATCAAACTGACCTTGTGTTTGCAGTGGATGTCTTCTCTGCCAATACTAATAGTTCTATTTATAGTAAACTTCATATTGGAGAAGGACAAGAGAAGATATTAACAGCGGGCGAGCTTAATTTTGATACGATCGGTCGATTAGGCAGCGTTTCGAAGCTCGTCACAGCCTATGGGCTAATTGCCGAGGCAGGAATTGAAGTCTTCAGCCACCCTGTCACAAGATACTTCCCGGAACTCCTCAATAACTCTACTGTTCCAAACCGAATCAATTGGGAGGAGATTACGGTTGGCGCCCTTGCCTCACATCAAGCCGGCACTGGTGGCGTAGGCGGTATGTTTATATTCTCAGCGCGTATCCAGGATACTTGCCCATTCATACATACTAACACTTCGACTGTAGACTATTTCCGCAAAGTCCAAAGCGGTACCGAGATGACCGTTGATTGTAAGTCAATATGCCCCTTTCAAACAAACATGTGATATTAATTTTTGTCTTCAAGCCTATATTGCCTTTCTTCGAGACGAGAAGCGCCCGGCCATGGCAGCATATCGAAATGCCCTTTATTCAGACGCAGGATACTCGCTACTTGGCCATGTGTTAGGACGAATCACCGGGAAGAGTTATCCAGAAGCTATACAAAAGACTCTCTTTCATCGCCTCGGACTGAACAGTTCCACAGCATTTCCGCCAACTGCTGGTCCTAATGTCAATGCCATGAATCGCACCCTAGTCGACAACACATCAAGCTTCAATATTGACAGCCCAATCACTGCATCGTATGTATTCCATTTAATAGACAGTTTTCATCTGAATGTTATGGACTAACTCGCTTCAAGGTCCGGAGGAGTATTTAGCTCCATTTCTGATCTTCGGAAAATCGGTCTCTCGATCTTAAACTCTGAAATCCTCTCCCCTGCCACTACCCGAGCCTGGATGAAGCCCCTGAGTGCCACAGGTAGTCTGGTCGACCTTGTTGGCGCCCCCTGGGAGATCAACCGTCTTACTATCCCAGCTACGCCTGGCTCGAATTACACTCGCGTTTCCGACCTCTACACCAAGGCTGGCGGCAATGGCGACTATACCTGCATCCTTGCCCTCTCGCCCGATCATGGAATTGGCTACTCCTTCCTCATAGCCGGCAGTACCGCCAGCAGTGCGCGCTGGCCTCTGCGTCAAGCTCTTGGTGAGGTTTTTGTCCCAGCTGCGGAGCGAGCGGCGGCCGAGAACGCAGAGAAGAACTATGCCGGAACATTTGTGGACAGGAGTTCTGAAAACAACACCACAAATATGACTATCACCTTTGACAATGATGAGCCAGGACTGGGTGTCAAGAGCTTCTACTTTGGAGGGAAAGAATTCCGCTATCTTCTCGCAGGCGCGAGTAAGCCTATTGCTGGCTCATACCGCGTGTACCCTACTGGACCTAGCGAGACTGCTCAGTCGCTGGCGGAGATGTATAGGAGCAAGGGAACCATCCGTGTGTCCCAGCGTATCGTCTACTACGGCTCCCCTCTGGAACCCCGTGCGGCAGCATTGGGTGGCGAGGGACTATTTGAGAACCAGTTTGAATGGTATAACATTGGCTTCCAGGGAGCTACAGATGAGCTTGTCTTCGAATTCACCGATGGGAAGCTCGTCAGCGTCACTGTCGTGGGCGCAGAAGTCCTCACCGGTAAGCCATTGATTTTATACCGGTTGGAGTGAAGTAGCAAAGGGGGCGTGGTAGGACGACGGACGTGTTTATACAAGTTGCCCGGGAGGCAGAGCGGCCTTTCCGTTCATCTTTTATTTCGTTGAACCTTAGTTAGACCTAACGTTCTGTTTGCAATTAGTTCATTTTAAACCCCTTGCAAACTATTACTAGATATAGATATAAGCTCCAACTGTAGTACCAGACGATTAGCTGATTCTAGATATAAAACAGCTCTTTCTAGCCCTTGAGCTTATGTTAATGCCCTCAACTATAGGTGCGCTTTGGCCTGTATCTCGCACCAATCCCAAAATACTTCTGCGACAGATCTACCCCCTTCAAATCCTCCTACGCAAGCCGTCTCTATGTCGCTTCGTGGTGGGGACAATCGACCCCATGGCTTAATGTATGAGCCGGTATGTTCCGGGGTGATGTCGCTCGACCAGCCAGCGTACAGCTCCGTATGAGCACCATGAATGGCATCATGACCGAGAATCCACTGTGAAACTCATGCGTAAGTTAGGAAGCATAGATACCAGCGTGAATGCTCCTTACCGTGATAAATCGCTCGATGGGATGAAAATGACGAAGAAGGTCCGTCCTCAAATTCCCAGGGTTCCATGCCTACAGCAGCCAAGATTGGTCAGTATTCGTTCTGAAGCTGAGGTCGGATTTTACGTACCACGCTGACAATCCCGTCAGATTTGTATCTTCGTGCAAACTCGGATGAAAGAAGAGTGTTGCCAGCCTTGGATTGACCATAATCAACTGTTGGCTTGTCATGCACCTTGGGTGAACCATCGCTCCCCAACTCGACGCCATATTCTGGAGCGGCCAAATCGGAGATCACAGATGACGCCCATGTCACTCTGACGGTGCCTTCGGGCTCAACAGCTGCCGTCCTTTGCAGGAGAGGAAGCAGCTGCATTGTAAACATTAGTGGCCCTATACAGTTTGTCCCCATCTGCAACTCATGGCCCTATATTGGATTAGCGAATGAAGGTGGAGGATAAATAGAATAGGAATAGTGGAAGAAACCTGTTTTGTCTTGGAGCCCACCGGTGGCCTCATGACTCCAGCATTATTCGTCAAGACGTGCAACCGATCCTCTTTCGACTTGAACAGATCTGCGGATAGCTTGATACTACTCAAGTCGGCCAGGTCCAAAGGGAGGAATTCCACGCGGCCGACTGAATAGGGGCAATCGGCTCGCAGCGCGGAAACTGCTTTCGCTCCCTTTTCCGGGTCTCTTCCTGCGAGATAGACCGTTCCATTTTTGCGATGGAGAATTTTCGAGAGCTCGTATCCTACGCCGGTATACCCACCGGTGACAATGAAGACCTGCAACTCGATTAGAACTTGCATCCAGACTCCTGCGGGTTTGGCAGCGCTACCTTTTTGCTCTGGTCAGGCAGATTGGCCTCGGTCAGTGTGGCTTTCGGAATCCAGATAGACTGCTCAGCCGCGGCGGCGAACACAGCAAAATTCATGATGACTTCGTCAAGTCCCTTTCCAGTCGTGTTTCTGGCTAGTGAGAATAAAATCCTGTCCCGTCGCGGGATATTTGGTGTGTTTTTACATTCCACGACCTGACTAAGGGAGGGCACGGATTTCAAGGGAAAAAGCCGATCCCTCCCTCGCTGGAGCAGCGCGAAGCCAGTGACCGATGAGTAATGTTTCGAGAGCACGCGCCTCGGCAGAGCGTCGATCGCTTAATAATTTAAGCCAGGGTCCGAGAGTAGATAGTAAATATGTATGACGTGCCCTGCTCTCCGCTAACTGGGCCAATCTGAAAGGTAAAACAATAACTGGGCGATATCAGTGGTGACTGCTGATTTGAAGGCTTGGATAAGTATGGGGAAGCGTAGCTGCATCTAGTGTTACTCGATTTCCTCGAGTATGCTTATGCATATGTTGAAGTACAGCAAGAGAGTATTCAGAATGCTCTTTCTCAGGTTTGACCTTCACAGGAGTTCACCAGAGTCGAGCTTCGGTAACTGATCATATTCTAGGTAGCTTGTGATATTCTCCACCACGATCATACCATATCCCCCGATCTATCTATTCGCTAAAGAGCTGTCGGATCCGTCCTATTATCCATATTTCAAGGAAGGTGAACACAATGAAGATATGGAGAAGGCCTATTGAACACACTTGGAAACCGGCACCAATTATCTAGCTCTTGATTACAGCCGGTTTCTTGCTCCTCATCGCCAGGCCCGCTAGAAGAACAAAGCCGGTTGATGCAAGTGCTGTCCCTCCCGAGTAGAATATCGCAGGTCTGAATGGAACGATAGAGTTTGCATTTTCCGCACCCATGGCATCCATGAGAGCACCTGCAATCGGACTACCCACCAAAAGCCCGGGAAACCACCCAGTGAGCGCAATACTGATGGCGCCGCCTCCCTTTAGATTATCTTCGGGCCAGAGCCTGCCGACGGCCGTGGGCATTGTGACGAAGAAGGCGCCGTTGGCGATGCCATTTATCACAGCGAAGACAATCAGAACGGCCAAGGTGTTGGAGACGGACCAGATAGCGAAAAATGTGACGGCGTTAAGTGCCATGGTCAAGAAGAACATGTTCATGGTGCCCAGTTTATCGCAGGCCACGCCAGATATGATACGACCCACGGCCATGCAAGCATTGAAACAGGCGACGACACCCGTGGTAGCGGCGTTACTTAGCCCAATTGCATCAGCGACATAAGGGAGGAAGAACGGAGGCGTGTAGATGGCAAAGACCCCAAGAGCCCCCGAGATGAATGAAAAGGTAAATGGCAATTGCTTGAAGATGGTCCAGTCTAGAGCGTAGCTTCGACTTGCGGTGGGCCGCTCCTTGATCAGAAAGACAACGGGAATGCCCGTGGCTAACGAAGCCAGACCGAGTATGCGAAAGGTCCAAGCGATGCCAACCTTCTCCGTCAGAAATCCCGTAGCAATGCTCATGACGGTGGCGCCGATGCCACCGCCAAGTTTGATGATACCGTTAGCAGTTCCGAGCTTGGTGGTAAACCACTGAACTGGAAGTGTGTTGCACATAGCGTACATGAGGCCGGCACTGATTCCATACATCACTCCGCCAGTGAAGAAGAGAGCACCGACATTGGAAACCGCCTGGGCGCTCGCGATGCAGCCTAGCCCGTAGCATAGTATGCCCAAGAGGCTGGTGTATCGGGCGCCAATGATGCGAGCAAGCCATACGCAAGGAGTACCAAGCCCGGGACCCATCGCGATTCCAAGAGCCCCTACAAAAGACACTGTGCTCGAGGTTGAGTGTTGTAGCGTTTGCCTGAGTAGAGCGGCCTGGAGAATACCCCAGCAGCCGGTCCATGCATTGATCCAAAAAGTGTGTACGAAGCAAGCAAATACGACGGCCCATCCATACCCACCATCTGGGACCGGATCTGGGTCTTGTGGAGGACTCGGGTTCGGCGTCTCGAGTAGCTCTATCGGCTGGTCATGGTGCTGTTGAGCATTCCCAGCCCCAGCTGTCTCTGTCGATCCCATCTTGACCGTTGAAAAGGGAATGCCTCAAGTTCGAGAAAAGGCAAATTTGAACAAACAAGAGCAAATTATATCATACGATCAAACGAAAGGTTGATCCTGAATAGTTGTATCTTGCGGTCAAGCTAAATCGAGAGGGCCACAGAGCGGGGAAGGAAGTGCTTTGAAATCAAGGGCAACAAGCGATAGCAACTCGGATAGCTTTGTAGCCAATTTAGGCTATGTGCGACTCGCAATCGGGTTGCGTCCCGGTGTGCTGACTGGGTTCAGTCCTTCGCGCGGCGCAAGATCCAGCTGTCCCCAACTCTGAGTAAATCGGTGATCAATTCGCAACTAGCTCATATAGGCATCTCTGAACAGCAAGCTTGCGTAACCTCACAGGGAGGGGAGAACCAAAGTCCCCCCATCGGGTGACATCCTAGTAGTTGACATCCTTGGCAACGAGATGCCAATGACCTGGGCCAAGCATGTCAGCTCATCTTTGCTGGCTTGACCGACTATATGTTGAGGGATAGCCCACTGAATTCTTGGCTTTGTCGGGTTACCTTCCCCAATTGAAAATCTGCGTTGTCCCCTGTTAATCTCTGTGTATACTAATGGCTCACACCAGCAGCATCCGTGAGAGCGAAAAAATGGTCTTCAGCTCATTCGACGCGGGTGGTCCTTGAAGAAAGCAGTTTGTTGATTAGGGCCAGTATGTCATGACTGGCGGGCTTTCTTCTGGGTTTTCAAGGAGGAACCCGAACCTTGAGACAGAACGCTTTTGATGACAGGAGGAAGAGCGGCTTCTGTGATCGGAGAAGACCACGCGACCTGCTATTCATCAAATAATGTCAGATTCTGGAAGAAATCAATAACGTTCCATAGGGCAAGTGTAGGCATCTACAGTACTTGCGCAAAGAAGCCAGTAGTTGTATGTATTGAGTTCATCTAATCACGTTATTCATACGATTGCTCGCATGGTTCCATGTCTCAGCGCTTACCGCCATTTACCATCTCTCTATGTATGCAATTTCGAATTTCCGAGAGGGCCACGCTTCTTACAAAAGAATTAATATATTCTTGTAAAAGTTCCACTTCCAAGCCTGCAGCTAGAGGAAGGGAAAATTCATTACGAGAAAGGCATAAACTGAATAACAAACACAGGTAATGTTCTCTTAAATGCGACCTGCTTAACTCTCAAGCGTAGAGAAAGCCTTCAGTTCCTCCTCGGTCCAGTTGCATAACCTATTCATCAAATCCTCGTCTGTCGCTTCAGGCCGTCTTTTCCCTGGCAAGCCTAATGGGTCGTAGTATTCTCCGTTTACCAACTCCTTTATCGTCGTCGCGGCCCAGACTTGATGTTTCGCCACCGTTTCCACTGGCTGATAGAGAAGGAAACGATTGAGAGTCGCATTCAGAATTCTTTCTACCAGCCCAATGCCTGTTACACCCGCCTGCAAGTCAGTGTCAGCCGCTCCCGGGTGAACCGCCACGAAAGTGACCTCGGGATGTTCCTTGGCAAGCTGGCGGGCAAGGAGAATATTGGCTAGTTTGCTTTGGGCATATCTTTGGAGAGTAGGTATTTGTTCTGCTGTAGTTTTCAGGTGTTGGAATTGAATCCCTCCTCCGGGCGCGTTCCAGTGGCTATATGAGCTGAGGATGACCACACGTACTGCGTGATCTTCATTGGCGGTCGCTTTGAGGATCGGGAGCAGAAGCTTCGTTAACAAGGCATGCCCCAAGTAGTTGATGCCGAATTGGATTTCGTAGCCGTCCTTAGTTAGACCGGGTGCAATCCCCATCACCCCCGCATTCAACATGAGGATGTCAAGACGATTGATTTGGCTCAGAAGAAGTTGCGCAGCGCTTCGTATAGATTTGAAGGAACCGAGATCGAGGGTCAAGGGCTTAATGGTTGTATCGGGAGCGTGCTCACGGATGTCTTTGCAGGTTTCCTCGGCTTCACTTCTTGTCCTTGAAGTAAACCAGATTTCAGAAGGCTTCTTCCGAGCCAAGTAAATGAGAGATTGCTTCCCTAGCCCGGAGCTACCGCCAGTGATCAGTATAACCTTTCCAGCCAGAGAGGGAATATCATTTTCGGGATCAAAAACGGCGGAATTGCTTCCAGTTATTGAACCTAGCCCAAACATGATGGTGATTTTTCAACTTCAGTTTCTAACGTATGATTTGGAGGAGTTCAATATCGTCTGCCGGAGCATGAGGCTTAGGCTCTGATTTATGTGCTTGGAGGGCTATTACTTATTTGGCGGCGCACACGCTTGGATCCGGTTTAAACCACGCAATGATCGTTGCCTGCAAGTTGACGTAAGATTGGGTGCCTTGCCAGTCAGTCTGCGACTGCTCACCTTTCTTGATTTACGGGGATCTTTTCACTATCTAAAATTACACCGTAGCCGAATGCTGGAGAAGGCATAGTAACAAGAAATATTTTCACTTATCTCCCCATTTTCAGTTGAAGGTCTGGAGATTTTATGTCTTCGTGGCCAGCCAGCAGCAAGTTCGGCCATCTACAAACCCAACTGTATCAAAGGCAGTTGAAATTTCCCCTATCTTAAAAATTATAGTTTTGTGAGGCGAAAACAGAAGGAAAAAGTTTTGGGTTTGGGTTTACACTGGTTGGCCGTTTCCTACCATTCCATCTTAGTGTGGTCGCAGCTCCGTCTTATGATATCAACCAGATTGCCGGCCTCTGATCCCGAAACTCCACCGGGCATCACGTGTCTTGGCACTCTTCCGGAATCTCATTCCGGAGTTGAGAGACTTGAAACTCTACTTTTCCAATAATCCCGAGACACTGTGCTGGAGCGCGTAACAGTGATGGAGAATGAAGGCAGCACCCAGTCACCACAATCTAATTCTATTCGATATAGAAAAAAGACCCTGAATGCGTGAGTCTTGGAATGCAAGGCCTGATAACCCAATTCCGTCACCACATGAGTTTTGGCTCGTTCTGATGCAAGGGTTTTTAGGTGCATCGGCTGCCGGAATCGAAAGACGAGATGTTCCGGTAGAAACCCGTGCGAAAGATGCATCGCTCGGAAAGAGTCCTGTATTTTTGAAGAAAAGGAAAAAAAGGCAACTGTACCTGTAGAGTAAGGCTACCTTCCCATGACCTCCCAAGCCAATGCGCAGTTGAAGCATCTTTTGGCTCACGATCAGCAAAGTTATATTGATGGATTGCTTGACCGAATAAAATCTCTGGAATCCCAGTTGGAGACTTCCCACGATCAAACAGCCCCTGGTCCTGGCTCAAGACATGACGGAGACCAACAGACATCACGAAGGTCCACCGATAATCACCAGACCCCGCGGGTCGATTTGGTTAGCACCCCTGCCCCTACGTACAATACTGTGTTCGTATAGCTTATATACTAGAAATAGAACAAGTCTCATGAGTATGATGACCTTACCAACTCTTTGGTAGCCTCAGAGCCTCAAATCAAGGTGAAGCGCTACGGACAACCCAGTCAGCAAACCCCGGCACGATATTCTCAATCCCGTTAACCTTTCGGATAGCATATCTTGGACACAGTTCGACTTTATCCTTTAGTCGAAACGTCCGTAACCTTTTGCAGCGCTCTACCACAGTGGCAGACCCGGGCAGCGTCTCGGTAGAGCGTGAAGATATCTCCTATAACACGACACTACCGGCCATTAAATTAAACTTAGCCAGCATCCCCCTTCCTCGTCTTCAATATGCCGAGTACTTGACTAGTACAGTGGTAGTACAACTCGGCTCGCTGTACTGTCTATTCGAACCGGATTCTTTCGTTAAAAGCCTTAGACAATTCTACGAGGCACGATCAAAAAAGATAAGCCAGGAACCGAGCCTGTGGCACATCCAGATGCTTCTTGTTCTAGCGTTTGGTAAGTCACTTCTGTCAAGAGAGCACTCAGACAGTGGCCCTTCAGGAATGACGTATTTTAAATTGGCAATGGGGGCTTTTCCCGATGTCAGACAACTGTGTGAAAACCCATTGCTGTCTATCGAGATCCTGTGTTTAGCATCCTTGTTTCTCCATGCGGCTGACATGCTGCAAGAATCATATATCCTTGTAAGATTCTTCTAGACTATCTCGCGTCTATTATGCTAACCGGCCCTCTCTAGATCGGTCAAGCTTTGAGGATATCTGTTACCCAAGGATTGAACCAAGCCTTCCCTGAGCCCCTTCGGCCCCCAAATGTCGAATACATGAGAAGGCTATGGTGGTCGGTTTACTGTATTGATCGAAAAAGCGCAGCATTACTTGGAAGCCCTTCAGTCATGAGAGACGAAGACATAACTATTCCGGTGCCCAGTATTCAAGAGGGTTACGAGTCGCAAAATGTGGTTTCAATTCACATCGCCCTCTCCTCCCATCTGGGCAAGATCCTGGACGGTACGTGCCACAAGCCGCGCTTGAGCTGAGAGACTAACCAAGCTAGTTATCTATGGCATGCGCGGACACAGTCGGGGCAAGTTTGTGGTCGAAGTGCAGGCCATCCTTTCACGACTTGCTGAGACCTCTTCGGTGCTCAATGAGCACTTGGACTTGGATACGGCACGATCCAATGAACCAATCTCAAGAGACGCGACCACTCTACATCTTCTATTACATCAGGTACAACATGAAGCATCAATCTCCAAAATTCAAAGCTAATTCCAAAAGTGCGTCATCCTCACCGTGAGGCCAGTCCTGTTCTCCCTTTTGAAGCCGCTTCTCAGCCCAGAGAGCGCCTCCAGGCCATCCGCATTCTCGTTTGAGTCTCTGCTGAGAATGTGTGTGGAATCTTCTATTCGTATCCTCCAGATTATGTTCACACTTCAGCAACAATCGATGTGTGGTGAGAAACACCCCTGATTTGGAATCGATGTTTTACTAATTGGTTCAAGATCTTTTTCTGCCTTATGATATCGATGCACTTTTCTCAGCCAGCTTCGCCCTGTTGCTGATTGATATCATCAGACCAGCCAAAGAGCTACTATGGGACCTTCCAAAAGTCATCAATCTCTTGGATTCTTTCATTGAGCGACAAGTAGCTCCTGCGAAGACGTACAAAATTGATCTTTTACAGCTCATTGAACTTCATAAGAAGATCCATGGTGCCAGGGGCATGGTAGAGCAAGGCTATGCGACTACTGCCGATTCCATCGAGCATGCTGGACATGGAGGCAACTACGTCCCTCACGCTATTATGACAGACGCATCGCCCGATCCCATTTGGTCACGGGTCCGAGATGGGGAGAATAGTCTCATTCCAATGCACCCAGACACTATCAATTCTGTAATTGAGGATCTCAACTTTGAGGGAGTAGAGCTGCTTGATGCTACGATGCCGGATGACAGTTGGATGTGGAACTTCAATGACTTGTCCGACCCGTCTTAGTCGTTTCCTGAATAATTCACATTGATTTTCCATTACTTAATATTTTCATATTGATGCCTCTCAGAGTTGAGCATGATGGTCTGCACTCCTAATCATGCGTCTCAAGTGATGTAACCAAGGTGCCAAAGTGTGCACAGAAACCTCAAAGAAAGGACACGATCCGTGCCGTTTGATACAGATATATGGATGATTTATACTCTGCCATTATAAAAGATGAGATCTACATAGAGCTGTGAAATAGTTTAAGCGAAAAGGATTTGAGAAAATATATATGCACGAGTGTGTGGTTGAACCGTTTGCAGATCCGCGAAGAGTAGACCGAATATATGGATTGACTATGGACACGAATTATCAAACAGATGCAACCAGGAGCTTCACTTTGTAAAGCAGTCAACAGTACGGATGATGACCTAAGTATAGTAGAAATCGGGGTTGTACTTCAACTGTCATGAAATAAGCTAGTCCATCACTGGCCATGAAAACCTGTACACTACAGGAGATCGAGTCCAGGAACACCCGAAATCAATGCCATCTTAGTTCGCTTATATTCAGTAATAACTTAGTTTTGGAGAGGCTGGCGAACAGCCGCCACATACTATGTTCGCTTCCATTAGTATCAGTTCCCTTTCGATATAGAAGGCCACGCACCGGAATAATTTGGGACTTTTCAAGATCCCAGACGCCGCTTGTAGCGTAGATATCATTCTCGATGATTTTGCGAACTTCAGCCTCGTTTTGGGCAGCGTACACCACTACGCTGCCTCGGAAGAGGGCTGGTTCTCCTTCAACAGGATGCTTTTCAAAGATAGCTCCTACTATAGTGTCAAAAACTACTATGCTCGTCGTTCAAGAATGTTTCGGTTCTACTCGTACCACCAGCTGGCAGTTTACCAGATGCAATGAGTGGCTTGATGCCTTCGTAATGTCCTCTTTTATCTGATTAGTTTTTTGACAGTGCGCTCATGGGACGATATATTCACGCTTTCACGCTCTTCCGAAGCTCTAACACTCCAGGTTTGTCGGGTAGAATACAAAGGAACTCTTTATTTTGAGTCGCGGTAGCCATCGAGCGGTAGCCAGAAGGAGGAAAACGAGCTCTGAGGCTTATGTTTCGGATGGTTGTGCTAGCCCTTAGACGAACCACGGAAGAATTCATTATGACGACACTGAAAAAAAAGAATCTCGGAATACGGGTAGATGAATGAACGTCTTGATTATGGGGCCTCAGCCACGGGCACCCTTTTATGCATCCTCTTATGGTGACTTGGCCGTTAACCTACTCCAATTATCTGCTAAGTGTAAGGCCTGATGGAGTGTGTGGTTCAAGGGGTGGAGTTCGTGGAGAGGCGGGATCTGATTCCGAAACATCGCTTCCCACGGGATCTCATTCCTGACACCGGTCCTCGCTTTCGGGGTCATCATCTAGTGCACTAACATATAAGACACTGCATTTCCTGGAGGTGACCTAATAAGGGTTAATTTCACACATTTTCACATATTTACGAAGGGCCAGAAGCAAAAATTCTATATTACCACCTCCGTATCAAATCTTCAGCCTATAAGCTCAGACATGACCTCATTCCTTCGCATTGCCCCTTTGGCCCGAAGGTCCTTGCACCCTATTCGTGTGACAGCTTCGCCCATATTCACTAAACGCTGTCTCTTGTACAACGGAATGGATCCTCGTTCGTTTTCAACTACTCTTCTTACTCGTTCCAGCATGACGCCAGTGTTCTCCCCAGACGGAGTCAAGCGTGAGCAATCCCTTTTACAGAATTTGTAGATGTGCTTATTACTCACTCAATCCACAGCCATTGGTCCTTATTCGCAGGCCATCAAGGCCAACGGACTCGTCTTTGTCTCGGGCCAGATTCCTGCCGAGACCACTGGAGCTCTCATCGAAGGGACTGTGGCTGAGAAGACACATAAGATGTGCCAGAATGCTCGCGCGGTTTTAGAAGCAGCGGGTTCCAGCCTTGAAAAAGTGGTTAAAATAACGGTGAGTTATCAAAAAGCTATTAGACCCAAACTTCTCAACTAACATCACCTGAGGTCTTCTTCCAAAATATGGATGATTTCAAGGAAATGAACGAAGTTTACGCTACTTACTTTCCTCATAAGCCGGCGAGGAGTTCATGCGAAGCTGTGAGGCTGCCTGCTGGGGCGAGCATAGAGATGGATATTATTGCTTTAGAGTAGAACCAGCGAATCTCAAATAAGATATACATTCAAAATGCCTTTCTGCTTTAAACAATCATAAATCTCACCCATTGACCTGCTCAAGTAATTTGATACATCCCAGTCACTCGCGTAATAGAAGACATAGAAGAGACGTATGAGAGTTTGAGTACAAAACCAGCAATGGAAGATGCCAGACCCGACATCGCAACACAATGAATAAGGATATAGAAGAGACATTAGACTCTTTGTATCGGGGAATTCATGCCTCACACCATCAATCTAGCGCCACGGATTCAAGTTCCACTCATCTCGCTGAATCTTTATCCACTGTATGCACCTGACATCCTTTGTGGTAGGAAGCGCCCTCCGCGTTGGGAACCGATTCCGGACCGCATCAGTCTATCAATGATGACGCAAATCCGTCTGGACTTGGCCTAAATCAAGCAAGTGGCGGAATTACATGCCGAAATGAGCCTTTTCTTTCTTGGTCAGTATTATGTTGACCTGTACGAATCCTTGGCAATAGACTCTTTCTATATCTAGCCCAAGGCCGGGTTATGATGCCATCGTGACTTGTGTTGAAGCTGCACAGCGGAATGATATGGATGTTGCTTATAATTTGCCTTCTTCGAATTCTTAAAACAATTTAGATATATCTCCTCTTGAGGGACTGATCATGACTCTCCGAAACATTGCAGCTCGGTCCATTGAGTTGCCCAACCGAGTCGCAAACAGCACAGTGGGTAAGGCACGCAATGGATTACAGACAAAAGGCACAAGCTTGTCCCGAATACCCACCACAGATTTGGTACGGTCTCTCGTCTTGACATCCATGATGTCCAAAACATGGCTGATGAGGCCCTGTCTGACATTCTTGGACGCCGTGGCAAGATCAAAGTCGGGAATCATCAATGCGGACAGAAATCCCATTCTTAACAGAGTGCTGCGATGGACCATTTACAATCAATTCTGTGCTGGTTCCAACAGCACAGAGGTCTCTCGCTCGATGGGGGAGCTAAGGCAACTTGGCTATAAAGGCGTTATTTTAGGATTTGCCAAAGAGATCGTACTTGATCCTAGTCAAGGCGCCGCTCTTGCGGACGATGCCAAGTACGGACCGGCGTGCTATCACATGATTGATGAATGGAAGGATGCCAATCTTGATACCATCCGCATGCTCTCGCCAGGGGACTTCTTGTCTGTGAAGTAAGTTAGCATATACTGACCCTTTCTTCACGATTCGGGCGACTGTTTCACACCTCAGATATAAATGCTAACCACCTCGCATAGACTCACCGGCGCAGGTCCGATTTGCGTCGCCGCATTACAAGCTCGGGAACCTATGCCGCCTGCCATTTCAGACGCACTCGACGAAATTTGCATGGCGACGAGAAAGGCCGGCGCCCGGCTTTGGATAGATGCTGAACAGCAGATACTCCAAATCGGTTTGGATGAATGGGTCATTGAGTTGATGAAGCGACACAACCAACAAGGAGAACCCCTTGTGTATAACACCATCCAGGCATACCTCAAGGGAGCGAGAGAAAATGCCCAACGCCATATTCTCCAAGCGGCACGAGAAGGATGGGCGTTGGGGGTCAAACTTGTCCGAGGCGCTTACATCGAAAATGAAGTCCGATCTTTGATTCATGATACAAAGAATGACTCAGACCAATCCTACGACGATATAGCCGACATGTTCATATCGCGCAGAGCCCCTCAGACCGACGGTCGGGAAGAGGTCTTCTTTCCCTCCACTGCTCTGATGTTAGCAACGCACAATGCCGCGAGCGCATCCAAAGCTATGACAACACACCGTGATAGGGTTGCTCAAGGATTGCCTCTCACAAAGTTGGAATGTGGTCAGATCAAGGGCATGGCTGATGAGCTTAGCTGCTCCCTCATTGAAGACTGTGAGGGAACTTTCACAGCGGACGATAAAACAAGGATAGAAACACCTGGCGTCTTCAAATACATAGCATGGGGATCTGTCTCGGAATGCATGGGCTATCTTTATCGCCGGGCAGTAGAGAACCGCGGGGCTGTTGAACGAACGCAGCATATGGTCGATGCATTAGCAAAGGAGCTTCGCCGCCGTGTCTTCGGATAGTCTAATTTCTATGCTGCACTCTATATGGATAAGCTTTGATTTGTGAGGTATTGCCAACTCGTGCCAAGATCTACGAACAATTATGATCCATGACTGCCTAGCTAAAGAATTCAATATTATTATATAGTGTCACGATTGACGAATCTCAGCCAAACCGACCCCCATTAAGTATAAGTGCATTCGTGTTTTATTATCCAAAGACGTTCTTCGTATAGACAAGTTGAATTAGTGACCTAGCATCGAAGATCTTCTTTGACTAAATATTTTCAACTACTGATTCGGTCTTTGCGCTTTTCACACAAGATAAGGCATGCACTTCAAGCTATCGTCATTCGAATTGCCTAAAAATAATAATTATGTGAAAACCTCCCATGTCTTATCCTTCTCAGGTGACTGTCGGGCTTCTGCCTTTGATCTCATCTTCTGCAAGTGCTCTGTCCCGCGCAGAAGGGCGTCTGTAAATGTCACTCTCGTATTTTCCCGCTCTACAGAAAGCAGAGTTTGAATGGTGACTCCACGGGGAGAGGAAATACTCTCCCTAAGCATTGCCGGATGACCACCATGTTTTAGCAGTACGCCTAAGCCAGCGATCCCTTGCGACATCAACTCCATGGCATCCCGCCGAGGCATGCCCTCGATAACTGATCCGTCCAGGAGCCCATCTAATGGAACAGTTAGGGTGGCTAGGCATGAAGTTACCAAAACCGAGCCTACGTCCATCAATTCAGGCTCTAATACCTTCACACTGCCGACAAAGTTGAAGATGGAGGTCACCAACTCTTCGTGGTGCTGGGGAAGTGGCGGGGATGATCTTTCGATCAGTGTCATTGACTGGCGATAACGAGCAGCGATCGTTGGAATCGCCTTCACGACATATGTTGCTGTACTTGGGGATCCCTTAACCGCAGGCAAGATCAAACCATGAACCTCGTCTACTGAAACTCCCGCCATCAGACTAATGACCAACTTTCCAGCCAGAGCTTGGCCAATCCCTGGCTTACTCAAAACCCCTTTTGCAAGGTACGGCTTCACTCCAAGTATAACTACATCAGCTTCTGCAAGAGCCTTCTCATTCTGCTCGTGCAGAACTTGAACCTGCTTCGCATGGCGGCCGAGCTTCTCAACCAGCGTAGCTGCGGATTGGTCGGTTTTGGTGCATGCGGTGAAGTTCCAGGTCGGATCATCACCGATCTTGATTTCATCGAAGGCGTCTAGCAGCCCTAATAAGATCGCCGACCCCATGTTACCTATATGTTCCTTAGTTCGTACTCCTCATACTGGTCTTTCCAACTTACCGCAGCCTAGGAAGGCAACTTTGTGTGGTGATGAATTCATAGTAGGAACCGAAAGCCGGGCGATAACTCAGAGATTTGTTCCCAGCGAAATATTTTGCATCGATATTATGACTCGACTAATTTGTGTTATTTTACAAAGTTACTCCCAGGCAGATCACTTAATGAGCACACCAGGGGTGACTGGGCGGGATGTCGTTCCGAAGGTGTAGACTAGCGATGTCGAAGTCCTGCGGAGCGACGGAATGTGAATCCGCGCCAGATCATCACATTCTTGACTACATCTTAACTTTTGATATTAATGGCTGTATTTAGTGAGTTCTTATTTTGACGGGGACCTTGGAAAGAGAACGGGAGCTTGACCCGAAGACCGAGGCCGCAAATACGAGCGGCACCCTCTTAAAGGTATCGCACTTCACATATGAATTGATCCAGTCAGGTTGGAGATCTCTCTTGATTATGCTTAATCGTTTGTAATAATCTTGAAAAGCTCTCATTTTGATCATGATCCAATTATCTCGGGCATCACGTCAGGTTCCTGCAACAGCTCGTTACAAGACGGCCAGGGCTATAATCGGACGAAGATGCTTGACATTACTGCACCCCCCAAAGTTCGAGAATGAGAAATTCGTATGGTACAATGCTACCCCTCTTTTGCCATAAGTTGCTAACCAGCTTAAACTCATAACAGCTTGACTATGCGAAGGGTTCGCCAGAGCGAGCATCCCTTCAAGATGCTCTCTCACGACTTAAGAGCAAGATGCCGGTTCAGGTTCCCATAACTGTTGATGGGCAAAACGTACGATCAGTAGCACGTATTGTGAAAGAAAATGCTAATATCTCAACCAGGTACAATCGAATCAATTCCGCTCTCAACTAAATCCATCCAAACACAGCGAGTCCGTTGCCGACTATGCATGCGCAACCCCTCAGCAGGTCAACGCAGCCATCGATGCCGCCTTGAAGGCGAAGCCTGCTTGGGAGGCCCTCGCATTTGAAGACCGGGCTGCTATATTCCTGAGAGCTTCCGAGCTTATTGCTGGAAAGTATCGGTCAGATATTGTAGCGTCAACTATGCTCGGCCAAGGCAAAAACATATGGCAGGCAGAGATTGAGGCCCCCAGTGAGACTGTCGACTTCTTCCGTTACTATGTCCAAGAAGCGTGGAAGCTCTATTCTCAACAACCCACGGAGCACCCAAATGGTAATTGGAACAAGATGGAGTACCGTCCTCTGGAGGGCTTTGTCTACTCGATCGCGCCGTTCAATTTTACTGCTCTCGGAGCAACATTGGTCGGGCCTGCAGCCCTTCTTGGTAACGTTGTCATCTGGAAGCCGTCTGATTATGCGCTGCATTCAGCCTACTTGATACACCAAATTCTCTTAGAAGCAGGCTTGCCCAAAGATGTTGTGCAGTTCCTGCCCGGAGACGCGGAGGATATTACCAATACAGTATTAAAACGCCCAGAGTTCGCTGCTATCAGCTTCATTGGTTCAACACAAGTCTTCAAAGGCATCCAAAAGAAGATTGGGGATGGCGTGGGAGAGGGTAGATATAACTCATACCCCCGAGTTGTTGGAGAGACTGGCGGGAAGAATTGGGGCGTCGTTCATAATTCCGCCGACATCAGAAGCGCAGCTTTGCACACTATCCGGGGTGCTTTTGAGTACCAGGGGCAGAAGTGCTCAGCTTGCTCCCGGATGTACGTTGCCGAGTCCGTCTGGCCGGAATTCAAGAAACATCTCCAAGAAGAGCTGCCTAAGCTCAAGGTCGGAAACGTCGAGGAATTTGAAAATTTCATCACGCCTGTTATTCACGAGCGATCATTTGACAAGCTGAACAAGGTGATTGAGGACGCAAAGAGAGACTCGGAGCTCGAGCTTGTTGCCGGAGGTGAGGCTTCCAAGGAGCATGGGTACTTCGTTAAGCCGACGGTTTACAAAACAACAAATCCAAGGCATGATATTATGTCTCGCGAGCTTTTTGGGCCTGTCTTGGGCATTTACGTCTACCCCGATGCCGAATGGGAGAAGACACTTGAACTGGTTGATACGACCTCGCGATACGGTCTGACTGGCAGCATTTTTGCCATGGATCCGTACGCATCTCGGCAGGCGCAGACCAAGCTTAAGCACGCTGCCGGAATGCTCTACATCAATACCAAGTGCACGGGATCTGTTGTTGCGCAACAACCCTTTGGTGGAAGCAGAGACTCGGGCACGAATGACAAAACGGGGACAATGGCGCACCTCCAGCGCTTCACAAGTGTCCGATCAATCAAGGAAGAATACAATCCTCTAGATAATATTCAGTATCCCTCTAATGAGGTTTGATAATTAGACACAGTTACCAAATGGTTGCAATGTTTCAATAAGAGACCCAAGATGAAATGAGAATGGAAGTCATCGATTAGTGTTGGCCTGCAAGAACTCCCGAAAGATTGTCTAGCATAGTGACGCATTGCTCTGACCCGGAAGTGATACTCGTATAGACAATTCATCTGAAACATCACGCGAGTTACTTATTTGGTTTTCTCCGTGAAAAATTCCTGTGTCCCGTCTTCTTACAACCTTTACGAGTTACCGTCTTTGGGATGGCTTACCAGCAGCCTGTCGCTATCTCATGTGTTTAGTCACCCTCCCTAAACCATTTAAATTAGGCAGAACTGCGGGACAGGCTGTAATTTATTATGAACGGCATCATGACATTCGAAGCATTTGCTTCATGCTCTTCACCCTCAACCTATTTCACATTCGACGAGTTTACCTCCAAAGTTCGCAATGGCATCGATTTTATCCGTCCCACCCGAAGTTATCATCAACATCCTCAAACTTCTCAACCCCTTCGAGATCGACGCCGTCGCCAGGACACTTAATTCACATCTCTACCACCCTGCCATGCACTTGAATGCATCTTGCCATGGATGGGTTCAGAATGCACGGGCTATGTGCAAGTTATTCCCTCCATCTGGATACCGCAGGTTGCTCCCTTCATGGCCTGGACATATCCCCGTCCTTGGTGAATGCGAACTAGGCAGCGATCAGATACCAGCAAGCCAATATGAAGACTACGGCTTGGATCCAAGCGGAGGTCCTTTTTTTCGAAGCTCGCCTCCCAATCTGCGCAGCTGGATGAAGCTAGATGGAAGCTTTGATTGGCTTGAACCGCTCGATGGGAAGATCTCAGACGAAAGCGCGAGGCATCGTGAAACTGAGGGTGGTCACCAGCCAGCTCCCAAGAGCCAGGTTGATAAGCTCATAGCCAAAGCGACAAAACTCGGCCTTACTTTGCCTGTTGGCTTCGAGACTTTCTTCAGCAGTGATCGATTGCACTATCGTATCCCAAGCACGCGCGCGTGGTATTTCTTTCTAGGAAAGCTAGTGAAGTGCCCTTGGTCAATGGACAACGGCGCTGGAGGGTACATTTTGCGCTTCTACTGCGACCAGCAGTGGTGTGCGTTTGCATACCTGTATCTCAGCCCATCTGGATACCACTGTGTTTGGTACTCTGCTCTCGATTTGTATGCAGAAATGGGCATCGAAGAGGAGGAGATGGAAGATTACGATGAAGACGAGCAGAACCACGATGACGACGAGCTTGAGGAGGAAGAGGAAGGACAGGGTGAGGATGGTGGTAACGACAATGAGGAGGATGACGACGACGACGACGACGATGACGACGATCATGAAACCTTGCCACAAATATCCAAGAAGAAGATCGCCCTGGTCGCGCTAACTTTCGAAGAGTACTTGGCAATGGTGTACTTTGAGGAGCTGCTGCAGTTCGGATCTACCGCTTTTGAAGGGCTGTGTGATTACGTCCAACATACCTACCTCTCGCCCGTCAAGATACAGCATATGAGAGAATCATGTACGTTGAGGACAACCCGATTTGGCTGAGCTTAGAAGTGTTCATCAAGACTGACTTCCACAGGCCCAGCTGTTAATTCCTTCCTCAGGGCCATCCGTTGGGGGAGCAAGGCGCGTCGCCAGAGGTTGACCTCCCCGGATCTCTGGCCGTAAGTGCCAAGAACCACCTGTTGGCATTGCATTTCCTTCATCCTTCATTGTAGCTACAACAAGACGGGATCCCTCGAAGGATCTAGCGCAAATTTCGAGAGGATGGTTAAGGCATAGGTGTAGAGATGATTCTAGGCAATACTAAACTTATTCGTTCGATTCTGCCACATCAGTGTCAACGAACAGTCTTAATTTATGGCATAACACTCAAGACTCTTCCCTTATAGATCTATCCAAAGAAGCCGGAGGTTCTCATGCGCAGGAGACCACCCGTCGAGTTTCGTACCTTGGCACGCAGGAACTTGACCTTCGACTTTAGAGCAAACTCAATGGTACTTCCATTCCAAGAGCGACATTTTGGACGTGACCAGCGTCCGAGATTCACAAGACGACTTGACCCCAGAGGCCGATGCTCCCAAATCGGATCGTAAGGCTGCTGTCGACATTGCTAGTGCTGCTTCGGACGATATCTCCAGACTGGGCGGATATTCCATTGCCACGGACGGACAAGATAAGTTCCATCTTGGGGCTCTTGACGACATAGACGCGGCGGTGTTTGGTACCCTCGACGATGGAGGAGGAGCTAAGAGAGCATGACTTGACGTAAGTGATGGGTGAGCCAATCATAAAGGGCGGGTTACGTGTGTCGCTGCCTCCCAAGGTGGTGATGCGCAGACTCCTGGCAAGGAGACTCTGCCAAAAGCTCATAGCCCTCTTGTTAATGTCATCTGCAACGCCGCCGTTCCACACCTCCATCGCATCATTGTACTTGTATTCATAGCCCAAGCTCCAGATACATTCGACACAAGCCATGTGAGGGTAATGAACTGAAACCAGACCTCCAGAGCGACGGACTTGTTGCGCAGCATCAGCGTAACTCGTGTCGTTGGGTCCATATCGCCACTCGATCGTCTGACCGTGCTCGATACCAATAGCTTCCCAATGACCAGGCCGCGAGGTAACTCCCATGCCGCGGCCGATGAGCATGTCCTTGGGGGCCTTAACACTAAACACATCGTTCCCATAGTGTGAGCTATATTCGTAAAGCCAAAAAAGTCGAGATCCTGCTTCTGCGCGTCGGCAACCTGCTCCGCGGGGGTGTACTTGAGGTCAAGAGTAGATGCTGTGGACATGGAAGTCACCGCGAAGCCAGACCTCGCCGTCGGTAGCATCAGCGCGAGCTTGACGACGCTCGTCGAGATCGAGATCGGTCAGGGCAAAAGCTGTTGAGCATCGGTCGACGACGGGCTCGTAGCCGAACGTGACTGGGATGGTGTAGGAAGCCTTTGGTAAGCGCGACGGCGCGAGAGTCGAGTACGATGTTCCAGGTTCCAGGGGCGATTGGGCCTGCTAGGCATTCGTGCCATTTTGTTGAGAGCGAGCTTGTTCGGCAAATCGAGGAATGGGCGACGACGCTCAGGGTACAGATAGCCGTCATCCATCCGCCTTTTATGCTGCCTCGTTGTTTCTTCCTATGGGAACAGGGCGAGTCGGTATGAGCCGACGACCGCTCTTGCCGGTGCCACTGCACGAGCAGTATTGAAGGACTCAGGAAGGTGAGGTTTCAAAAAGCTTGCTCTTATGTCGTAATGCTGGACAATCGTTGCATTGCTCGTGGGTCATTGCGGTGCTGATCCTTGGTTGACCTGCTTGATGCGATTTAGAGCAGATGAGAGAGGACGAGTACAAAAGCGATTTGGAGCACTTGGTGAATATTGGTGCGTGGAGAAGTCCTGCTCATTAAAATATCAGCTAATGCTCAGTTTAAGCGAATTTCCCAGTGGAAGACTGAAACGATTGCCGAAAGTCCAAATCTTCAAAGCTGAGGCCAGCCTGAGTGCGGATATTAAGAGTGAGAGGATGGAGTCGCAGTACCAATATTCAGAGGTAGTCAACTGATGTATAACGCCTTGCCTAGCCCGGAACTAATTAGGTAGTCGTCATGAAAAATGAAACTAGATATCGCAAAGCATAGTCGGCGGCGCTTCGCTTCCTGCCCTGTTCTTGTCCGGGCGAGAGTGTTTGAGTAGCAGTAAAAACCAGCAATAGAAGATACCAGACCCGACATCTCAACACAAAGGATACAAAAGGGAAAGAAGCAAGCTTTGCTAGCCCAAGGCTACAGCCATGCAGAAGGGAAACTCCGTCAACACTCATACCAACGACTCACTTGCCGTCGGGAAAACCCTACTCTTGTCCATTGCACCAAAGCTTTCGCACCACTAGTAAGCCAGACATCACATGATGTCGCCCACTGGACGATTATCCTCAAGCTCAAGGCCGTTTTTCATACGTGTCCTCCTTTCATCAATCCACGCTTTGTACACTTTATATTTCAGCTTCCGTTCCTCGACCAATGCTGGCGTTACTCCGAAATATCCCACATCCAGATGGGTCGCCCGCGCGTCAATGTCAAACACTCGAAATGGCTTCCCGTTCACCAGGAACTCAATAGTCTCCTGTATGTTCTCAAGAAGCTGAACCCCGTAATTCATGGTGTGGTAGTTCAGTCCCATGAGGATGCTGAGGAAGTCGCACATGAACTTGACCAGACGCTCCTCCAGTGGGAAGGCGCTGTTGTCGTGGTTCGCGAAGTACCCGAGGCTGCTGTGCATTTTGTGGTAGTCTCTGTTGTTGACGATGAGGCTCTTGTGCTCCACCCCGTCGGTTGGGGCCTGAACGTCGACGACGATCTTCTTGTAGATGTAGTGGCAGACCGATCCTTCTTGAGGAGAGCCTACGAAGCCCGGGCCGAGATAGAAAAGCTGTGACAACAAGAAGTGGAAGGACCAAACTCCGAGGGGCGGCCCGCGATCCGCAGCCCGAAAATCTAGAGAGTTCTCGAAGCGAGGCTCGAGCTCGCCCTCAGGCTCAAAGGGCCGAAAGGTGGCGTAGACGCAGTCAATGTACTGGGTACGGGGAAGCTGGGGGATAGACCAGGTGGTCCAGAGTCCGCGATCCTTGAGATACATGATGTCGACGTGGTAGATCTCGGGGGCATATTTGAGGATGCGTTTGACTTCGAGATTGATCTGCTTGTTGACGAGAAGCAGCGGCAACGCGGTGCTGGTTTGCCGTGGGAGCTGCCATATTCCGCGATAGTTGTCTGTGCGGTCGCGCTGGCCCTCTGAAACGTTCGCTGGCGGTGTGACGGGCGAACAGACGGCCAGAGCCAAGATCTCTGAACGAAGTTCGTGAGGGAAGTCGAGGAAGTTCATGTCGCTATCTTGCTGGGGCGTTCAAATCGACTATTGGCGGGGTCTGGGCTTAGCAGCCCTCTGGTGATGAATCTGTTCAGATGAGGTAAATGATGCAAGGCCCGAATGATCCGATCGGAGGCAGGCCCTCAGGTCTTATATGTCAGCCTGCAGCTACAGCGTCTGCCTGGCACCCCACTGTGCCGATCTTCGAAGCTTTCTAGCCGGCCAGGCATCACCTTTTCGCCGCCCAGTCGAGTATCGGGATTTGGTTGCAGGGATTCATAGGAGCGCGAGAAGAGCTCAGGCCCCTGAGCTGAAACGCCTTTTGCATCGCACTTGCGCTCAGGAGACAGAGGTGGTATCTTTGCCGCGGAGGCACTGTAATTAATGCTGGCGTCAGCATTGAGCGTCATGTTTGCTATGGGGCGGCTGACAAATTATGAAGGGTACAAGCTGACCTGCTTGGATGCAGACATATACGAATATTGAAGAGAAGGGGAAACAAACGTCATCCGCGTTGCTTACCTTCTTTCCAGCCTCATGCAGCAGTGCAACTGAGGTGTGTCGGAGGCCATGGCGTCGCACTATTTACGGCTGCGCAGCTTGTGTCTCTGGATTTCAATATCAAGGCTTCCTCGGCCCCAATAATGGTGTTTCGTGTTTCGGCATGGCGCGTACGATAATCACGATGCACCTTGGAGACGCAGATGGCCTTTTTATTGATGGCAGACCGGGAGGCAGAGGTCAGGATGTTCGACGAGAGAGATCGGGCAATGATGCGGGCGAATTCTAGAACAGTCCTCAAGCTGTCCATCGTCGGAGGCCGCCCTAGCGCTGACAGCGTGCTTTTGGTGGGACTGCTGCAGCACAACGGCCTGGACTGATCTCGGCTGGCTGTTAGTCTGCCAGTAGCGCCGCTCAGCTATCAATAATCGAGAGGACCGAGGCCATGGCACAATGGAATAAAAGCGAGAGGCTGTTGCCAGCTAGTTTTCCGTCCTTCTCGGTCGATATGTCCATTGTCACTCGTTCTTGGCGGCATGAATCTTCTGGGTGTCTTCATCGCCTTGGTGGCTGTCGGCACTGAAGCGGGCGCAACTGATCTCACTGCAACATGTGGTGATGCCCCTCGCCATTGCGCCACCCTCAACAGCCGCGATGGCTTTGAATGCCGCAGACAAGTTTGTAAGCCTTTCTACCTCATCGCCTTTCCGCTTGACACACGATATTTTGAGCTCAGTCACGTGCTAACATGGCAAACTATCCAGCTCAGCGAAAGTTGGATATCGCAACATGCCAGCCTGCCCCTCAGACCATCACATCCACACTCACAATTCGGCCGACGACCACCGTGACGGAAACTATTCATCCATTTGCCGTCACTACCAAAGAGACGTCCACCGTCACGCTACTAGGGAATCCGTGCGTACCACTGGTTGTGCTCATGGGGATCACTTGACTGAGACGATGCTGGAAGCAGTGCGGCCGAATCCACCACCACCCTTACCGCCACAGCCACAGTTCTCCTTGGTGCCACCACCGTCATCGATACAACATCGTCTACCCAATATGAAGTTTCCATTGAGACACAAACCCGGATGGAAACTGATACCGTGGTCTCAACGACGTGAGTGCACCGACTTCCTACCGCAAACGTATCCTCTAACTCAACACCGGCAGGACGTTGACAACAACGACAACTGTTCCATGGGTGGCCCAGACTTGTGCCCCTCCAACTCGACGACGTGTCTTCAAATTTGGACGTGGTGATAGCCCTTTCCCTAACAAGTGTTGTATGCTGACTGATTCCACATTCGAAATGAAATCAATCTCCTTGGCTAACGAATTTGCTTCAAGCTTGCTATCTTACCACCACACAGGGCGCTCCGTCTCTAAATACCGCCACGGAAACCACCACCGAGGGCCTCTTTACACAGACAATCTTGGAGCAGGGCTCACAAACTCCCACAATTATCCGGACGGTCATCTGGACCGCGTACTTGAATGCTGCTGCAGTGTCGGCCGCCGAGGTGACAGAGACGATTACCGAGGCACGCACGGAAACCAAACACAGTCTCACCACCGTCGTCGACACAGAAACAAAGACAGTCACCTCGACCGAAACAAGAACAACAACAGAGACCTCGATAGCCAGTACCACTGCCATGTCCACCGCCACTGCCGATCCATGCGCCGATATCCATCGTCTAAGCGTTCCCGCCGGAACTGGCCTCTCGGGGTCGAACATTGCGCTGTCGTTCAGCAACGAGGGGGGCGGAAGTGACGAGCAGATCCTGTCCTGCTGCAGGAGTTGCTTTGGTAACCCCGGATGCGTCTTTTTCAGAGTAAGTGACCATCTCTGTGAGGGCTTCGGGGTCAAGGAGAATGCCACCAACCCCTGCGCCTCAAGTCGATGTCCTCGGGGTCAACCGGCTCTGCTGCATCAAAGAGCCCAGGATGGCTACGACTACTTCCTAGGCGAGTGTGGCGTACTGATGTAATTTTCCCTGCAATTCGAGGCGTTATCTCGACACCATTGCCGGTGGTCATGAAACTGGTTGGGATCCGAGTTTCTCACTCTCGGCTTTTGTATTTACTTGGGAATAGTGACAGCGTCTGATGATACGTAGAAACGAGATTACGAAAATTAATAGATTGTATAAATATGCTTCCTTTCGGTGATTAGATTTCGAATCGGGTGGGATAAGCTTGTACTCATGGCCGGCAGGTTTCAAGATATACCGATATCAGCATTCAACACCCGCTGAGTTGCGTATGATCTTTCGAGCCCATTTCTGTTGATCTACCCACGAAGAAACCCCTAAAACCTGTTGAGCATTCCCAGAAGCGTTTAACTCCAGGCACTTACCGCGCAGGGCGACTTTCATGGAGAAGTTGGCCAGATACCTTACTTCAAGGTTCTTATCGATAGTCACTTCAGAAGCGGCGCACGTGAACCTCACCTTTCTCTCCCCATTAAGCTCTGGGTCTCTCCCATTAGCAATATCTGCGCGGAACAGTTCCGCTCACGAAAACTATGTACCCTCAACACCTTTCTACTTGGACCCCCAACTCGACGAAATTCGGCCATCAAGTCAGAGTATCAGACCGAGACGTTCACGATAAGACTCGACTTTTCCTCAAGAACCACGTACAATATCGCCAATAGACAAAGGCCAGAGCCGGTCGATCTGGCCGCTCGAATTCCGCCCCATTCCGCTGGCCAGTTTTGTGGAGACGACGGACGACGACGACGACAGCGAGGGCCGTCGGATATCTGATGTATATGGCATGCAACAATGGAGTGGTAGAAAACAATCCAAACGAGACTATTCAGCATCACTACGAGTGAGAGAGTTCGAGTATGAAGTTAAAAACAACAATGGAAGATGCCGGACCCGACATCTCACTACAAAATTTCAACATCACTACATAGCTATGTTGATTTCAAATGCGAGGTTATTTGTATCAGCGAAGATTTATTGTCCAGACTATCAACTAGCTACCTAGAAACTCGTGATCCATAGCCCAGCAGGACATCTGGGAGTTTATGACGCATAGCTTTTGATGTCCATTGATTTCAAACCGAACCGTGATCCTTAGTAGCGGGCCGATAGCTTGCGCACCCGTCTCTCTCGAAATGAAAACAAAACGCCCCTTGTGAAAATGCCATCCTATCGACCGTGATCCTCGAAGAAGTCTGGTTGCTCTCACACCATCAGTGAAGATCATGTTTCATTAGAGGACAAGCTTCGGAGAAGTTTCCGTTTCGTTCCGATCGAACTTTCCACCTCTCTTTTTTTTTGTTTTTTTTTTTGGTCTTTTGTTGTTTTTCTGTCTTTTTTTTTCTATTGTTTTATGGTTGTTTTCTCTTCTTCCTCGTGTAGCTCTCTTCGTCGAAGCTAGTAGGGCACGGGCGGCATCACGAACATGGACTCATGAGTATAATATGTCCTCCCTGCCCTCAGCTCGCTGTGACCTCCATCGCGAGGGCGCCGAAACCAATGAGGAGGCGGCGGGAGCTCATCCGGTGACGGGGTAGCCCTCGCATCCCGCCAGACAAACGGACGGTACGTGGGGTTCTCGGATCCCGCGGCGGGTGGCCGGAAGACGCGCCTCCAGTTGGCGGGGAACTGCGGGATCGGCCAAATCTCGATTGGCAGGTAGCCTCCGAGAGCCGAGAAGCCGCTGGTTATTGAGTACATGGCCTCCGGGCTGCCAAACAGGTGGTATCGGAACCGGGAGGCGCCGTGGATGGGGACGTCACCCCCGCCGACGAGGCGGATCTTGTTGTTGCGGATGCCGAGCTCGTTGCAGCAGATGGCGGCGAGAATGGCGCGCGCGTGGCTGAGGGATATCTCAGGGTTGTTCCATAGGTGCCAGGTAGGGGCGAGCAGTCCGAGCGTGCTGTTGAAATAGCTTCTGTGGATAGGAGGGAACGGGTGGACCGGGAGGGCCTCTAATTCATCCATGGAGCGAAGATCACATCCCACCAAACCTCTGATCATGATCCAAAGAGTGAAAATGGACAGAACCCCAGATGATCCCGGCCTCTCATGGTGCGCAAGATTAAGGCAGATAGCAGTAAAGCTAAACGGGAGCCCTTGGTGGAACCAAAAACTTCGCACCGAGAAACACGCAGCCTTAAATCTTTCCTCACGCAGGGGCACAAGCGTGTCAATATAGTAAAGCGTGGCCGTCTGGCGATCAAAAATGATCGTCGACCAGTGGACGCCGCTGTTGTTTTGGCCGTCATAGAATTGGATAGCCCCTACAAGAAATCGCCTTCCTGCCATGTTGAACCAGGTCCAGTTCGGGTAGGGGAGGCCGCCGATGTGGCTGCCGCGGACGAGTGTTGTCCCAGGGACGTATCGATGCTCACTGGGAGGGGATCGATAAAACGCGGGAACATAGACATCTCCCTGCTTGTACATGCAGATGCGTAGTGGCGAGGAGATTTTGCTGATGATACCTTCAAGTCCGTAGAGCATGATTGTCAAAAGGCTGTTCACTCCCGCCTGGGATAGAAATCTCTGCTCATGAATTTCAACCAGGACGTTCCGAATGTCCGTCAAGTGCTGTTTCCAGCCGGGGGCTCGTGATAACACTTGATTTTGCAGCCAAACAGGATCCTGCCATGGAGGCATGGGCGGGATACGCCCGATTTCCCCGACCGCGTCATTGGGTGAAACGTTCAAGGCGTTAGAAAGTTCAGACTCGTCGGAGCTTGGCCACTCGAATCTTGGCAGAAAAAACGAAGGCTGAGAATCACATGCTGCTTCGTCGGTATATTGCCCCTTCAAGCTTCTAGCGGTCAAAAGCCTGACTGCTTCGAAGCTGCTCAGGAAGGGCCAAGCAGTTGGCGAGTCCAGCTCTCCCTTGATGCGAGCATAGGTGAAGTGTGGCAAAGTAGGCCCTACAAGTGCCATTTTGAACGGTTTGCAAGCCTTGAGTCAAATTTGTGCTTTGTTGTGAGCTTGCGAAGGTCCGTCTAGGTATTTGCCTTTTCTGTGTGCGTGACAAGATGGGCAAAGAAAAGGGTGGCGAGATGAGTAAACAGAAACGTAAGAGGATGATCAAGAGAAAAGTGAGAGGGTGATCAAGAGAAAAGTGAGAGGATGGGAAAAGAGAAAAGTGAAAGGATGGGAAAAGAGAAACGCAAGAGGGTGGGAAAGTAGAAACGTGAGAGGATGGAGAATGGAAAGGTGAGAAAATTGGGAAAGGAAAAGGGCCAGAAAGAGGGGACCCCGAGCTGGCATTGTTGATAGGGGCAACTAGACAGCACCGTTGGGCAGTGTGACCAGCTGGTGAGGGAGGTGACTTATGCATCTCGCGCCCTAACTTCGCTGCACAACACCGCTACCGTTCAGGTACGTCACTTCTATCTTGAGCGGTAGAATGCTGCAAATATTGAACAAGAGCAATGGAAGCTGGTGCAGGTTCCCGCTGGTCTTCTTCCAATCCATCACACGATATGTACACTGGAGATTTCTCCTAACTCCATCGCCCCAGGCTCCATTTTGAGCAGTCCAACGCGCTGATATCTCTGAGCACCACCTTCAACAAGTCTCAGTACAAACCATATCTCCTCGTCTCTTTCACTATCATAAACTCCCCTCCGAAGCACTGCTTGGATGGCAACGAGGCCAGGGCCAGAGTGTTGAACGCCTTCAGTGTCAGGGATGTACTTGAAATACGTCTCCCTCGGAATCTGTGATTCCTCCGTGTTCATCACGGAGATCACTGCCTCTCCTTGGACGGAGTAACTTATCGAAATGTGAGACAATACCCCAGACAAAGTGAGAATACCTCCACTGACTTCCCCGAACTCGCCTGCTCCCATCACTAGACTACACTTGGCGTCGAGAACCACGGCCAGGTCATCCGTCGCCATGGCTTCGTCGACGACGATTTGTGCCCCTATGATCGACGCCCAAGACCAGGTAGGTATGTATGTTAATCTCTTCGACCCAGCTATTGCACTTTTCCTCTCCCAAATCAAATCTCGCAACAGCCCCGTCCGCCACATGCCTGCTAGATACTGACATTGGAAGAAACTAGAAAACTTTCGAGCTGCTCCCGAAACCGCCGGCAGCCGGTCCGTATGAAACGTCAACTCGAGCCGAGAATATTCCCTGACCAATCGATGCCACTGCGCTCTGACCTCCGCAAGCGAAAGTTTGGACAGCACCATCTCGTGCAACAGATCTTTGAGAAACGGCTCGTGTCCCGGGGACCAGAGAGAGCGAATACAGCCACACTCGCACGACGTACTTTCCATGCATTCCCACACGAGCTCTTCGGGGAGGAAGTGTATGACTCTCGGGGACAACAGTCTTTCTTGCAGAACCCAAGCGCGGCGCATGAGGGGGAGAGGACTCGGGCCGTGGCCATGTGTGAGCGTCTTTCGGACCTGCATCATGCACACTTGGGACCCGGGCTTCGCTCTTGTCTCGATGATCTGGGATCGATGGAATTCCGGAGACTTGCTAAAGAGCCCTTTATCATCTGCCGCGGCGAGAGATGCCGCAATTGTGAGGAGGCTGTTTGCATAGATGGACGCCATCTTGGCCGACTCTTTCTGCCAGTCTTCCTTGGAATCTTGTATGATACATAGAGAATCTATCCAAAGATAAGGTATTCCCAGAGAAAATGCGACCTGCGCAGCTTCCCGGAAGGTTTGGGGCATTTCTTGCCAAGGAATGTCATCCCGGTGTAATGTGAGATTCGCAGAGGTAGTTTTCATGGTTTGCTCTGTTCCCCAGCAGTGACTGAGACAAGCATATTGTCCTTCTTCACCAGGCTCAGCACAATGAAGATAGATATGGTTGAGATTTCTCACGTCGAGGATACGAGTAGGAAGAAATACAGGGGTGGTTTTGCGGCATTGATGGCTTGATGTGCACATCTCCAACCATTCTTTGATCGCCAAACTCGCTGCCTCGGAGCTTGTATCCCCAGATATTTCTATCGGTTTCTCGCCAGCTTTTGGCCGTGTCCATGGTACTCGATTTTCGCGCCCTGTGTTTAACATATAGAGATTAGAAGTGAACTCCTTGAAAGTAGTTTCAGGTCCTCGACAGGCGTGGGGGGGTGAGGCATATTGTCATCACCTGAACAAGGAGACATGTCGATGCTGTACAAAAACTGCCCCGTGTCATGTCTTCCAACAACAACACGTAGGCCTTGAATCCTGTTTGTGTCCCAGCCCAGCCTCAAACTTCGTTCTTCGGCCTCGGCCTCGCCGATAGCCTCGATGGAGCGACATAACAGGTCGCATGTATCACAGCCCTGAGCCGCGACTGAAGCGAGCTCTGGGAGCGATATACCTTGGCTGAGTGGAAGGCTTTCATCCAGGCCTTTGCAAGCATGGCACGTCTGCATTTACGCGGAGTTGGATGCCAGATGGCTGGCAGGTGACAAGGCCACTGGACAGTCAATCAGCTAATTATGCAGCACACTGCTCCGTCCAGGGTCCATGTCGCTCGATCTCCACCTCAGTGCCTGTTGTTAACCACTCCCGCATTCTCGAATAGTGTGGCTACCCTAGAGTCATGTTCCGCCATTCTTCGCCCCCGTCTCAGCATTTCAGTCAGGCCAAGTGAACAAGATTGGGGCAGAAGAGGGACTTTATTGAATAATAAGTTGAGTCTCTCTGATCTGGCTGGGTTTACATGCTTGGACATTATCAGAGGCTCATGAAGTAATTTCACAAAAAAAAAGAAGCACGAATTGTTAAGATCTTGATGCTTCCTGACTCCCATTTCCAAACACATCATCAAACCATTCCTATACAGTACGTGGGCAGCTTAGGGGAACACAGTAGAATTGATGCAAATACCCAAGATGATGTCTAGCCTTCAGGCCGCCTGTACATGTAGGTTAGGCGTGTTCTATCTACCTAGGTACCTACTCGATGTTTGTTAGATTGATTTATCTTGAGAGCAGTCGTGGTGGACCCCCAAGCCCCCTGAAACACGACGTTGTTTTGATTGGGGAAAAATAGTACACGCCCCACTGAAGCATCCAACCTATCAAAGGCTCGCTTTCGCACTTGTGGGCCGATGCACGTGAGCTTGAACCGAGGTTTTGCCTCGAGCACGTGAGAAGGCGAAGGGAGCACCTGGTTGTGGGTCCCTTTCACTGCATTGCAGGGGGCGCTGCCACAGAAGTCACGTGCACTTGGCGAAACCGGCTTCAACACCCAACTCACCAACACGCAGGCCCACCTATACCCATTGACGAATAAAATCCCTTCCTCCCATCGACCTTCTCCGTCACCAATGGCCCTCGAAAACGATCGGAAAGGGCCCCCGTGATTGTGAAATAGCCCTCGGGAACAACTCGAACCGACTATGCACCCTTATCTCGTGTTGCCAGTACATGCGACTGGCACATGATTCCGAGTCAGGATCGAACGGAGACGAGATATGGCGCTTCGTTGAGGTGCTTTGCGAAATCGAGCTCAAGGGAAGAATGATTGCTTTCCCCTCCGCCTCTAATACTGACTTTTGTTTTACGAGACGCTTAGTTGAGACCTTCGGAACAATCCCCGACGATGTTGCCATCCGGTTGCTGTCACCCTGGCTTAATTTATTTGAGACTATCAAGGGTGCTGAGAACATCATCATTCGCATTTTTAACTTGTTGTAGGCGAGTGTTCCCGGAGAGTGGTCTTCGGCTACAATGGGAAGGTACCTTTAAACTCGCCGCGCGAAGTTCGTCAGGAAACTGACCGAAGTTGACCCTTCCTGGTAGGGCACCAACTGGCAGTTGAAATTCAGCCCTGAGTTCTTTGGTGATACCTCGGGCGATGACGTAGGTAGTTGAAAGGATCGTCTGGGAGCCTGTTGTTGGAGCGCTAATCGTGAACTTCCCTGCTTCCATCGAGGTCGTAACTCCTAAATTCTCTGCTGACCAAATTGCATACGCGCTTTTACATTTTACAACCTCATCTTACACCGTGCGACGGCTTACGCAACCAGAATGACTGTAGTTGCGCGGCAGCTGCAGCTGAGGCATGCTGTACACTCCATATGTCAACTCTGTAATGGTTTGCGCCTTCAACGGCTGCATCGAGATGGGGTCTCAAATCAAATTCCAGATTCCGGAGGCCCGGCTACATGGAGTTCAGAACAATGTGACATGGCCTGTAGATGAAAGACGGAAAATTTTCCATGTCAACGGAGACTACGGTCAAAGTCGCCTGTTCTAAACCAACTCACCGCCGTAAAGGCACCGTCTGGGTCGCCAAGACAGGAACTCTTGAGGGATCAGTGAACAAACAATACGCCGGGACCAGTCGGCTTGGTGCATGAAAGTTTATCCACCCGCCACCGGTAGGAATCGATCCACACCATCCTCATAAGGTAGGTGATCGGGAACCGTCCAATTATATAAGCAACGAAGAGAGCAACTTCCATCGAAAATGCGGTAACGACAATTTGTTACAGAATACTTGAGTTATACCCTAGCTAGTTTCGTCACCTCTCATGAAATGTTTTGAAAGCACAGGCCGATATGTAGCTATATAAGAGTCCCTGTAGCCCCGAGGGAAACACCACTGAGCATGTAACATCGTCATCCATCTTCCCTCCATCTTAATAGTTCACATCAAGCTTATTCGCCCGACATGCGTTTTATTGCTGCTACAATTCCACTCTTCATGGCACTGGCTGCCGCGAATACCCAGACTGTCGAAGTCTCCGCCCTGCATATGGCCGGACAGGGTAATCTCGCTACGTCAAGCGTCCTTTTCGACACAACATCCTTTACTCTGGACAAGGGATCTGCTTATGAGGTCTCATGCAAGGCAGACTACGTCACAGCTATCCCATCGGGCAGATTCACCGGCGAATGCCTTTATCCTGGCGGTGATCGTGCTCCCTGGGCTTTCTCCTACGACAAGATCACGGAGAGTTCTAAGTTCCTCTTAACTCTTTATAACAGTGATGGGTGAGACTTTTTTTCATGCTCCACTCCGAACTAAGCCTTGAATCTAAACTGACCCCATTAAAGTGCGGCGCGTACCGGACGAGGAACGGTGCCTACCTCTTGCAGTGTGAACGGAGAGAAGTTTACCTGCGACCAGTCTGAGCTGATCTCCATTACCGTGTCAGCATAATTATCTCTGCCAAATAACTTTGAAGATATTTGATCCGCTATTATTTCGTTAGCCGACCGCTCTTGAATCAGTTCCAGAATAGTTTGACCGCCGTTATTTTGGACATTTTTGTTTATCGAGATGCTCGGCATATCAACCATACATTATCGATTTGTTACGCTACATAGATTCTCAACGATATTAATAAGACTGGGAGTCAACCAAATCAACGTTCATAATATTTGGGCCGAGAATGAAGAATCAGAGTAGCAATACCTCCATTAAATGACTGTCACGTTCCTTATCATCGCCAAACAGCTCGACAGCCCCTTCGCATACCCTTGTCGTTCATAATGGGATATCTGCTATGAGCCAGCCAACTATCATTGTCGCTGTAGCTCTCGATGCTGAATACATTTTGGTTCATATTAGTGGTCGACTAGAGTAAGTATTGCGAAGTGCCTCACTAGAGAGATACTCCGTTCTTACCGCATGAATTGTGTCGCAAGAGGATTTCCATTCGACCTAAGTAGTGACGCCAGGCCTGTTGTTATCGGTTTTGGAAGGTCTGTTTTCCGTTTCATCTCACCATGCTGGTACGCTCCGGATTCAATAGCTCCCGTCAATTATGTGTCCCACCCTTGAGCTGTTCCGATCAACAACCCCGCCCATATTGACCGAAAAAAGGCCTCGCCGGGCTGATATGGAAGGCACCTGTCGTTGTGTTGTTCATCCTTAATTCTCGTAGTGGATTGCGTGAGTTGGCTTTTCGAATGACCATCATGACGCGATTGGAGGCCCCTTTATCATTAATCCGGCATCCAATAGAGTTTCTGTGATTCCACGAGTCAAACTTTACGAATACCGATGTAATCATATTCTCATGCCCATGATTGGCGACGCTGAACACCTTAATTTGAATGCGACCCTAATTCCCAGAAAGGCCATGGGAGACAGCCTCCGTTGTTGCAGCAGCTTGAAACACGTGCGCGTCTGTGGAGAAATAACTCTATTTTTGTAATCTTGGCACCCCTTAGAAGTATGCGGAAAACCAATCGAAAGCATCTAGTGGAATACTATTCACATAGATCAGGGCACGGATGATCACTGTCCGTTTTGGGTCGCTTTGACGGTTCGAATTGCCGCCTCGCCTGCTGAAAACATGCAACTGGTGACGAAACAACAACACCAACACGGGTTTCACCATTCATCTGACTTTATGCGAATCTTGAGCAAAGTGTGGGGTAGGTATGCCTATATATATTAAGCGAGATCTTCAATGTGAGGGTTCTTTTGTTCAACTCGACATCGAACGAGCATTCCTCATTTGAAAGTATAAGAAATACAGTATCGAAGATGCGACCATTTTCAGCAATCCTTAGCCTCGGGGCTTGTATCACCCCGCTGGTATCTGCCCATGGCTTCGTTTCTGGCGTTACAGTCAACGGAGCCTGGACTGCTGGTGCCGATCCCGTCTGGTATTACTATCCCAGCGGAACCTCTCCAGCAACTGCCGGCTGGAACTCATTAAACCAAGACCTAGGCTTTGTTGAGCCTGCTAACTTTGGCACTGCCGACATTGCGTGCCACAAGAGCGCCACTGCTGGCAAGAACTTCGTCAGCGTCAATGCCGGTGACACGATCAAACTCTACTGGAACACTTGGCCCGACAGCCACAAGGGTCCCATCATCAACTATCTTGCCCCCTATAATAGTAGGTTTCCTTGAGACACATTATTACATGGTTCTTGAAGCGACTAACCAGTATACATAGGCGAGACAACCGCTGGTAGCTTGAGTTGGTCCAAATTCAGCCAGAGTGCCATCGTGAGCGGCACGACCTGGGTAACCGATACCCTGATTGCCAACAATTTCACCACATCGACGGTGATTCCCCGAAATCTTAAGGCGGGCAACTATGTCCTCCGACACGAAATCATTGCCTTGCACGGCGCCGGGAGCGACAATGGCGCTCAAAACTACCCACAGTGCCTGAACCTCAAGGTCGGTGGCAGTGGTACCGTTTTACCTTCCGGGGGTACCGTAGGATCCAGCCTGTACAAGCGAACTGACGCTGGAATTCTCTTCAACTTGTACACCTCCTACACGAGCTACCCATATCCTGGTCCAGCCCTTTGGACTGCTGCCAACTAGGTCTGTGGTGCGATACGGAGGGCTGCGTTGGGTACAGCCACTTCACTACTATTTCATTCGAGATAGTTACTTGGTGGGTTTGCGGCAACGGATAACTGTTGCTATTACCGAAGTAGTTGGAATGGGATACGATCACATACTCCAATTGTCTGCCTAGAACGATTCTACACTTGGCAAACTGGTTTATATACACATATATATCTGTGCTAGTGATATGAAATTGTATGGCAACTGTCCATATTCACAAGATATTTTTATACATGAGTGTGAACTTTGAACCGGCCGACCAAATGGGTGACTAGCGGCTTACATGACTAACATGATCTATAATTCGGGCTAAATTCGACTCCTAATCCTATACTAAGCACTATCTACGCCATTAAAGGCCTTTGGACTGTAACTTAACGAATATGGGCGAATTATGTGCAGACACTCAGAAGTATTGGAAAGGAAGCGTTGATAAAGAGGGGTAAAGTCGATGTACCGCCTCTCGAGTTTCGACGCCAATTCCACCAATAATAATCCCTCTAAGCACAAGAACCTCATAATTAGGTGCACTCTGAGGAGTAGTACCGATGCTCAGGATCACAACAACCAGGTTGGATTTACCGGGTAACGTTTCTGAAGACACAACCCGACTGGTTCGATCGTTGCTCTGCAACCGGTAAACGTGAGCTAATCGGTAGGGCTTGCGTTACAGGCCAAAACTTCATGTTTCAAGACAATGATTATGGTAAATCTAGAGACGAAGTGACCTTCATTTCCCCTTTCTATGGATTAAGATTAACTATTTTTATAGTTTCTTGCTCACACGTCCTCGCAACTGTGCTATTAACGTTGGTTCGCACCAGGTGGCTCTCTGAGAGGCTGGAGGCTGAACCCACTTTACGGCTGCCCGTGCGATTGTCCTGGGTAAGTTGCTAAACGATTAGAGGAGCACGTGAATAATATCTCTACTTTGGTTTTTTTTCTTAATTGGCTGGCCCATTGATGTGCCAATGACCTTGGAGTGGAGAAAGCATGACAACTAAATTGATTAATCGAAGGCAACAGCTGACGGATGTGTGCATCTTTGACAACTTGGTTGTATCTCTTGTTCATACTTCTTTTATCGCTTCTGTTTGGGACTGATAACATATCCGGCTTCGCCCTAATCCGGATAATGGCACTGGTTTGGACGGTAGGCACCCCTATAGCCTTAACCTCTACCTAGAGTTTAAATGGCGCAGCATGAGGCTTCTTCGCATCAAAGATATCCGATGAGTATGCGTGAAGGTGGCACATAGTTTGGCAATAGACACATAATTGATTACATGACTGAGAAAGATGAGAAGGGCCTACGAATGCTTTGCTTTATATTCGGTTATGTGGATTTATGAAGCTCTGCCTCATTCAATTTCAGTGTTGCCGCCTGACCACTGCCGGGAGCCGTTTGTATTAGTCGCTGATGGATCAGGTATCTGGAAAAGCCCTTTAGAACATGCATTTACTCCCCGAAACAACAATCCCGGCCGATGTACAAAGCAAATCTTCTTCCATGTTCAATCGGGCGATCGGAGAAGATAACGCCAGTAAGCCGTGAATCTGCAACTGCTAAAATCCAAACGGTGTCCACTCCCAGATGTCCATGATGAACTCGATGAGGTTGGCATACAATCTACCGAACGAGGAAAGTTCGGCCCACTCCATTTCAATAATCCTATCGTCATCTCCTGGGGTAGCCTCTGCTCCCACTGGCTGCTCCTCTGCTCCACCTTGCGGGATGTCTCCATTGAGTCGATGAGCATCTCTCCAAGCTTTCAGATGGGATAATCGTTGTCTGATGCTTCTTCTCTTCTCCCACACTTTACCCGTGCGTAGAGCTGCGCTCAATTCATCGAATGGGAGATCTTGCTCCGCACACTCAACTTGGGAGTTGATAAAACCCATCACGTTTGCGTCATCAATCAACTTGATGATCGCTTGGACGTCTCTGAGCGGAATGTCATTCAGAGGCAAAGCCTCATTGTCTGGGTGAGCACGTCGTTCATGTAGAAGGCGGTAAACCGTCCTCATTTCGTGACAGCTTTTCTGTTGTTTCTCACTGGCTCGCTTATATTCAATCTCTCTCGGCATATTTGCTGTTGCCATGGCTTTGTCAGTTCACTATGAATCAAGTGCCTCAATAGAAGTATGTGGGGTACGAACGATGGTGAAGTGAGTTTCGCTATATTCGCGAAAGAGTGGGCTTTGTTGATGGAAGGTCGGGGTTTTGCTTGAAATTTGATACCTGAAAATTTGCTGTTACACATCGACTGAAATGTCACACTAACCATTTCGCTGCGTTACACCGCTCAGGATAATGTCGTGTGTATTGTATTAGAAAGTGACTGGAATAGCGGACTAAAGAGAATACTGAGTGTCCCACGACCCTGACTATAGTAGGGAGCGATTCGAAAATCCCGGTGTAGATGAGCGCCAAGTTCAAGCTTGAGGTCTCAAGACAGAATAGTGTGTGATAAATTAGTGGGTCCTTCTGATTCTCTTCGCCAGGCGTAATATAATAAAAGAAATCTTATAAATCTAGGTAAATGCCCTAACTTTACTCTACAGCTAAAAGTAAGGACTTCTCAAGGCTCTGAGGTTCGCGAAGCGGCGGATATTAGCTATCCTAATCCACGCAGGGCAAAATGAGAAAACAGGCAATCTAGATGTCAAGTTCTACACCGCAGTGCTTCTCCCAGTCTACCGTCCAACCGTCAGCACCCGGTTTCTCCTCGACCCAGCTGAGAAATATCCTGAGAGAGTCCTCGTCCAGCAGTGCCAACGCAGCTGCCGGACCATCAAGATTCGATTCAGCTTTCTTCTCCAACTCTTCGAAAACAAGGCGAATAGCCTTAATTCCCTCGTGATTATGATCAATTCCCATGCGGATTAGGTTGAAATCCTTCGCGAAAGGGTCAAGGCTTAGTGCTGAGAAAAAATGGGGGTGCTCTGTCATTGCCTTGGACATTTCACAAAGCGCTCTCACAGATTTTGGATCTACCGACGGGGATTGTTCTTGTTCTTCTAATTCATCAAGTGATCAGTATCCAAAAAAAGAAATTGCCAGCAGCTGAGGAGTTCATGTGTGCCTACCGTGCGCTTTTTCTGTCTCAATCGTCCCATCATATATCTGATGCGTGGGGGTTGTAATCCATGTCCAAAGAAGGAATAGAGCCACAATGGTGATGATAAAAAGCCACATCTTCCTGCTAAAAGCATGGATCTCAGCAAGAGACCTGTGTTTTCGAGGGGAAATTTTGAGGTAAGAATGCAGAACACTATGGGCTTGTTTTGCTGAGGAAAGCAACTAGAAAAATATGACTGTTTAGCAGGTGTTACCGTGATAGTCAAGTAGGATACATTCAAGAGCTTTCGGAATTTAGTCGAATCAATCCTTGGCCGCGCCTTTAATAATTTTTGCAAGAGGAAGAGAGAGCGGTGTTTTAGGGAATTAAACAGCCATGGAATTGAATGGCTCCCAGTGAATTAGCCAAGGCAGGTTTTGTTTGTCACATCGACACCAGCCATCGTTCTCTTTGTGAGACATAAACAGTTATCACGCACTTACCATTAACATGTTTGACGGCCGGGTGAGGGTTCGGTACAGTAGAAAACAGCAAGGGGAGTTACTAGACCCGACATCTCAACACAGTGAATAATGTTTGTTGGAAACATGAAGTGAATGCCAGCCAGGTTGCGCATATTTAAATAGCCATCATCGCCAGGTAAGTCAGCCTGCTCTTATTCTGTTTCCTGCAAAATCAAAGCGCATTTTCTACCACGAACATAAACCATGCGTCTGACCGGTATCCTGGCCTCGGCACTCTCTGTCATTGGGATGGGGATTTTTCTCGCCGACAACCTCACGACAGCATGTATTGGCTTAGGTCACATGTCCGCCATGCCTACTGATCAAGTATCTCCATACGAGAGATCCACCACTAGGATGATCATATTGCAGGTTGAGGGGATCAAAATTGTCGCCGATCTTCGCCGCTTAGCGGAGCTGAAGTATGGTGACGGGGCCGTCAACATTCGAAACTTAGGTATGTAGAGCGAATGAATGTCCTTGTAGCTAAAACTTACAACAATAATCAGGTCTCCTTGAGGATTTATCCACGGATAAGGCTGTGAATGAGTCAATTTCAGTCATCGAGCCACATTACAGCTGGATGGAAGTGGAGGGGCTGGGTGCATTCGACGACTTAAGAAATCTCCGAGAATCGATCCTCAATGATCCGTCTGACTGCGCTTTGATTACCGGAGGATAGCTTTCTCGTTTATGGACTGTGTTACGTCTTGGTCGAATCACGAGAGAGCAGCTCGTTGGACGAATCGAGAGCATCACTTTGCACTTGCGTGCGCTTGAAAGGCTACAAAACACTTTCAGCATGCTTGATCAGAGTATGAATGAGCTTAAAAGCACAATTTGCCAGCAATACGTTCCCAAAATTTCCTTGCATATACAACAACTATCATATGACGAGGACCAGCCGGCAGGAGCTGTGGAACTTTTCATCCGCGCGAGGGCAGGATTGTTCCGGCTTAAGATTCTGTGTCTCGATCTCGAAACATCCCAAATCCGGCGCAATGAAGTGGGAGATCTCATAGGTGGCAAGGCCAAGACTATCGCTGAAAGTTTGAAGACGATTGCAAGTCTGGAGCGGGAGGTGAAGTACGCGTGGAGGATTGATTCATGGGCGTCTCGAAAACTTGACAAAAAGCTACTTGAAATTGTGGAAAGGGAAAATGAGTATTTTGCAGATTTCTTTACTGATTTTTAGCCGACTCCTTGCACGCAAAAAATCAATATGATGCATAACCTTCCTAATTGGATATGACACAACCTTGGAGTTGAAACAGTATTGCCGCCTATTGAGAGTGTTCTGGCTTCTCAGGCAAATTAAGTGGTTTATTATTTTATAGCACTGGAATTTCATCAAAACCCTACGGGCTTGGTCATGAACACGAATAAAACTCGCCTCGACCTCGCTTTCGTGATTTAACTAAAACATCCAGCGAGCAAGGTGATCCCACCATCCATGGCGAACATCCACAAAACTTTCAGTAATCTCCATCTCATCGACACAGGGATGGAGGAAGCAGGTATTCCCGTCGTATGCATATGCATCCAGCCTTTTGGCTTGATCAGCTGCGTGCCATCTACTAACTATTCGTACCTTGCATTGTACAGGACCTCCTTCGGAGGAACTCAATAGAGAATATAATTTTTCATATTTAAACTTAGCCACCTCAAAGGTATTGAAAAGCTCTTTTGTGAGGAACTTGTCATAGTCGCTCAGTTTTTGGACCCATCCTGCTGCTTTATTGGCATCGGCCAGCATCTTCTCTAGGGACGGGAAAACCCGTCTCCGGCTTGTGTATGGCGTCAAACCCACTATCCAATGTAACCAACCCCGCCAGGAACTCATTGGGTGAGGCGGTAAGATCCACGAGTTTGGACTTTGAAGACTATGCATAGTCTCTTGAATATGTTGGCGCTGCGAGTTGACATCCGTCACGACAAGCAAAGCTAGAACGGTCCGTTCTATTTGATCATCGAGCCTTGTCAGAGCAATCTCTTGCAGAAAGAGGAGCGTTTTGTCTAACCGAGCCAGACGGCAATCAATACGGGATCGATGATGCTCGTCCCATACTTCATGTGCTTGCTCGGCCATCTTCGTTGTGTCGAAGTAGAAGAGCACGTCTTCCATGTGTTGAATCAGCCCTCCAGTAACTCTCTTTAGCTCTTCCAAATGTGATTTGAATTCTAAAAGATAAGTTTCTGGTTCTTTCGAACCCGCTGGTGACATGTGTTGATTGGCGTCCGCTATCAATCGTATCATTCCCTGGGCTGTTAAGTTTTGTATTTGAGCTGAAGCGAAATTGACTGTGGAGGGGATGAATTTATCGCACGATTTGAATGCATCGACAAGGCGAGATGAATTGTGTCTCTTCAAGCACTCAATTCGAGGCTTGTCTGAGTTTGGCATCGCACCTTGGTTGGATCCTAGCCATAACCCGAGTTCTTCCCAGAGAGATAATCTGGTATCGAGGTCAAGGATCACCAGATTTAACACACCTCGAGCACCAAGATGCCATGCCCCCCAATACAATGGGCTATTTTTTGACCGCAGCCAATAATCCACTGCTGTCCTAACTGTTTGGTTCAGGTCGTAGAGAAGCGAATTAAACCGTATATCCTGGGTTTCGCAGGGTACAGACTGGCTGACAGAGGACCATGGAAATGCCTCGTCCATCTTCAGGCTACCATCAGTGCCAGGCTCGCAAAACTGGAAATCGCTTATCCTGTCTGTACTTTTGCTGTTGGTAGCCCGCCTCTCAGAATTGACAGCCTCTTTGAAGAGATCCGAAGTGGATGCGTCCTTCGCGAACCAGGCCAGATCGTCGGCCGTGGTTTCAAGCACCTTCGCCAAGTCTTCATGGAAACTGACCCATGGTACCATATCGAATATATTCTCCGCATAATCATGCTCGGTGGTGTTGATCAGGTATCGCCTTGGAACGGGTGAGAAGAGCCATGGGCTGCCAGTAGGGAGCAATGATGAGCGTTGTTGATATCGAGCATATTCCAATACCGAGTCGTGGATAGGGAGTTGGAAAGACTTTTGCGCTGCAAGGAGAGGTTGAAGATCATGGTAAGTCAAGATATGGGACAGGACCGACTGTGTGATAGCGGCGTTGATGAGATCGTTAATTAAAGAAATTTCGTGATATGCACCTCGTGGGAGCCGCTGACCCACGAACAGGACAATCCGCGCAAGCATCGCAACTTGGAAGCATATGAGGCTTATTTTGAAAGCTTTTCTCCAAAGATTTCGGTGATACGAGGCGTCCGAACCTGGTGCGTGAAACTGGTCGCTAGACGAAGAATCTGCTTCCGGAATATCTTGAGCTATTGGTGTTGCTGGTTCCTGAAGTGGAGGTTGGGGGGATTCTGGCGAGGCCAAGATGGTCCCGAGTGAAATGGCCTCGCGCCTGGCTGAAATGCGCGCGGAGCGCCTCAGTTGAGGAGACGCCATGGTAGTTTCCTGCCGTGACTGACCTGTATTAGTTCGACGGATGGAGGAAACGGCAGAGGAAGATTATTTTTACAGGGCCTGGAGTGTGCGTCTTCTCGTGGTACACAAAACGAAAACTTTTACTCGCCCAAAAGGAAAAGGACAGTGACACCGAAATAATTGTGTCAAGATTCAAGCGTCGCGGTCTGCATTAATATGTGCTACTATAATCCTTTGTGCTTCTAGAGCCAGACCCCTTGCAGATGCGCACACACCATGGTCAAAAGTAGACCGTCTCATTGTTGAACGCATGCCACACGGAGCTAAGAAAGGCGATCTGGTTTGTGATGAAAGAAAGTCAGTTGCCGATTAGAGGAAAGCTTACATTCTTGAATTAGATACCGAACCTCTTAAGCCTAGGGAGCGAAGATCTGTCCATTGTTATCGGAGCACCTGGTCTGATATAATAAAGCCAAAGATTAGTACGAGTAGCGCTAAGTATATAGGTCGTGCAAAAGCTATCTCGATACAGCTGCTGGGGATAGCTTCTGCATGACCTACATACTGAGGGCTACTCGTACTATTCTTAGGCTTTTTTATATCAGACCAGGTGATCTTCTCCCCTTCGACAGAAGGCACTGGGATCTCGTTGTCTCACATGATGTCGAAGGCTGTGGATGGTTAGTGTAAGTGCCCTGGCCAAGGGGCTAGTGGTACTTACTAGGTTGGCTGCCGAAAAGCCTTAAGCTCAGTGTGTTGAAGTGCTTGGATTGGTGTACGGACGAAGGAAGCCAGGTGAAAGAAGGTTGCTTTAATAGTAATTCGACGAGCCGCTCGTCCTGACGGCAAGTGAGTTATCGGTATAAAGGTTTGCAGACTTTTCTTTCCGCATGACTGCAGCCTTGGGCTAACAAAGGCTTTTTTTTTAAGCTTTCGTATTCATTGTGTTGAGTTGTCGGGCTCTGGCAGCTTCCATTGCTGTTGAACTTTGTTCTCTTTCTCTTACGTTATCGGAGTACAAATATTGCAACGGCGGTGGGATCGTAATTCAGATAGACAAGATCAGTCAATCTAGCCAGGCTATATTGATTTGAATCGTGATTCTTCTCACTAGCGGGATAGGGGGCTTGTTGAGTCGAGCTTGCTTTGGGCTTCTACTTGTATGGAAACTCTTATTGAAAGGTCTATCTACCCCTCTTACGGCTAAAAAAATAAACCTGATAGCAACCGCGCTGTGGTGCTGTGATGTGTAGGCATATGGGGTTCTAATTCAGATTCTGAAAGCCCAAGAAAATGACGACAGATTGACTCGGCGTGGAGCTACATCTTTCACAGCACAGACTTAGATTCCTTCCTGATGCATTAGGCTAGTATTTTGCAATGTGACTGGGTCAATTATTTCGGAGTGAATCAGCTGGTCTTTATCATTAATCCGATGTCCGGTGGTATGTTCCATTTCGAGCGACCAGAGGCCGGTATACGGGGCACACTAAGACAAGTATTATTCCGACAATCTGCTTAATGCTTTTATATAATAGCTACCGGTACAATACTATTTCGCCAGCGCCTAATCATTCGTTGGTACCATGAAAACACCCGCAAAAATGAGCATACATTTGGGGTTCAACGATGTGCATCCTTTCTGCCAGATCGATCTCAAGGACAGAGCTTCCGTACAAGACCTATTAAAGGCCGTTCTAGATCCGTTAGAGCCTTTTTTCTCCACGCACAAGGCTCGGGTCAACTGTCCCGGCAACACTGCCGTCCGATTTGATCACAGTGCTTCTGAACTCGAAGGCTTCGCGCGTCCCCTATGGGGCTTGGCCTTCTTGCTTGGCGGCCATGGGGAATATGACGGCACAGAGTGGTGGATCCAGGGTTACAAGTCTGGAACCGACCCAAATCACCCAGAGTATTGGGGCGATCCGACAGAAAATGATCAGCGTATGGTGGAGATGTGTCCTCTGGGTATGTGCTTAAATGTGTTGACTTCCGTCATTGTGCTGATCTTGGGGTCGCAGGTTTTGCCCTGGCCGAGACGAGTGTGATCTGGGACAAGTTGTCCCGGAAGGAGAGAGAAAATGTGGAAGCATGGCTTGGGAATTCAATCAACGAAAAGAAGTACGGTGATCCCTTTGACTCTTATTTCTGCCCAGCAGCTGACAGCAAAAAGCATGCCAAACACCAACTGGCTGTGGTTCCGCGTCTTCGCGAACCTAGGGCTGAAGAAGAACGGCGGAAAGTTCTCGCAAGACAGGATTGATAGTGATATCAAGCACCTAGATTCCTTCTACCGTGGCGATGGCTGGTCCAATGATGGACCAGAGGGAATTCATCGTAGGCCATCTACAGTGCTTGAATAGATGCCAGGGCTAACCAGATGCAGAAATGGACTATTACTCTTCCAGCTTTGCCATCCAATTCCTCCAGCTTCTATACGCCAAGCTTGCCGGCGACGAAGACCCCGAGCGAGCGGTAGAGTTCAAGAAGCGAGCGCAGATGGCAGCTCTAGACCTTGTACACTACTACGACCATGAAGGTAGAGCTATCCCATACGGCCGCAGCATGGGCTACCGCTTCGCTACAATATCTTTCTGGGGTGCCTTGGCCTATGCAAATGTCGAACTGCCAGCTCCTCTTACTTGGGGTATGGTTAAGGGAATTGTCATGCGTCATTTACGCTGGTGGCAGAGCCAACACGCGATATGGACGGCAAGCGGGACCCTTTCCCTGGGTTACTCTTACCCGAACATGTACATGACGGAAAATTACAATAGCCCCGGGAGCCCCTATTGGGCATGCTTGGCCTTTGTATGTCTTGCTGTTGCCGAGACTCACTCGTTCTGGACTTCTGAGGAAGAGTCTTTGAGGGATGCCATCCCCAAGATCAAAGCCTTGAAGCACCCGGGCCACATAATGAGCCATCTTGGAGGCCACTGTATGTTGTTATCATCCGGACAAGCATGTGGCTATCCTATGAAAGGCACTCACGCCAAGTACGGGGCGTTCGCTTATAGCAGCGCTTATGCATTCTCTGTGCCCACGGGGCTCTTTTCACTTGAGCAATATGCGCTAGCTTCACAGCTAGGTCTATCTGATGATGGTGGTGAATACTGGAAAACACGGAGGACGAGTGAACATGCTGCACTCGAGTATCGAGGGGACACACCAATCCTTGTGTCTATCTGGCGGCGGTTCCCAGACGTCACAATCAAGACGATTCTAGTCCCCCCTACGGAGAATGCCCCTAATTGGCACCTGAGAGTTCATAAGATCAAGGCCGGGCGGGAAATCACGACTGCAGATGGTTCCTTTGCGATCTGCAATATTAATTCCAAAAGCGGGCGGTCCCTGGACCTCTACGACGCATCTATATGCGAAGGAACCTGTCCAAAAATCATTGGGAACTACGATTTGTTGACGGCGGAGGGATGGGCTGATGGAAAATCGGGAGCCTTTGCGGTATTAAAAGGTGCAGTCGGTATCAAAGCGCTTGAAACGCAGGATGGGCGAATGGCTAACCTAGTCAACGCGGACCCAAACTCAAACCTGGTAGAGAGCCGGACGGTGATCCCCACGCTCCAGCACACAGTGAAGAGAGGGGAGACTGTATTGTACATCACAGGAGTTTACGCTAAGCCGACAGGGCCTAGAGAAGCATTCCTAGCCGGGTGGGAGAGGCCCCCAGCGGTACCAGGATGGTTGGAGGCTGAGATGAAATGAGTCTTTGGTTGGCTGGTGAACTTGGCTGTTTCGTAATTCTTCTCCAGTACTCAGAATATGTGCTTTTGCAAATGCTTCCGTTGGCCATTCGTGACACCGCAAGGGAATATGACCGCTGCACTAGTTGTGTTTCTCCTGCATCCCTTGGTGAGAGAGTATGATTCGTGGGAGAGATTTGTCCGCCACAGGAGACTCACACTAGCCTGTTATAATCCACCAATCCAAAACCATTGTCGTCCATTTATTAGGTTGGAGGTTCACTATAGAGGCGTGATGTCAGTTGTGGCTATCTCGTTCAGCCTCCCTCCAACCCCAGCCCCAGCATCTCCACAGCCAGTAGCCTATCAGCAGAGACCTTGACTCAGTCCCCTCGTCTCCGCTGTGCTCGGAGGCGCATTAATTAAAAGGACGACTTTCCCCGAGCTTCATCTCTGAGCAGATCCATCCTACTGAACGCTCCCACGCCACGCGTTGCAGCGGCCAAGCAATTTGATCATAGGTGACAGGCCTCCATTGACCGGGCAAGAGATGGCGACTCCGCCGGCGAATGATATTCCGACTTGTCCTTCGGCTCCATCCTGCCATAACTGCCGCCGAAGAAAGCTGAGATGCTCTCGAGAGAAGCCGTCATGTTCCAATTGCGAACGGCAAAGTATGCGCCCAAATCTTCCCTTTCTACCCTGTTCTTCAAGCCGCATTAACATTGAAAGATATCCTCTGCGCGTACGACGCGAGAAAGGGCAAGCCTGGGCTCAAGACCGGAGCCGTTGAAAGCCTGACGAGACGAGTGGGTATGTGTTTTTCTGTGCAGGGCATTGTTGCATCAGCCCGATTCATCGGTCACTTGAGCAAGTACATGTATTGATGAACAGTTATCTAGAGGCTCTTGAAAGTGCATCCATTGCAGCGCGGCAGGTCGATGATGCAACTCCAAATAATGAGTCTACCGCTATCGATGGCCAAACCCAAACCCACCTAGCTGGAAGCCTTGGTGCGCTGACGACTGCGATCCAAACATTGTCCAACAAGATCGAGTCTCTCGATCATACTCCTTTAGGGAACAGTGGAATACCGACACTGACGGCATCAAAAAGGTATGCCGCTAGGGAAGATGACGAGAACGCATCAGAGAGACACCCCAAGCGTATAAGGGTTCAAGACGATCATCAAGCTTCCCCCCTAATTCCATCGCAAGACTCTTCTCCCTCCGCCGTCTGGGAGTCTTCCGCTCATCTACCAATCGAACTCATAAACGACGTCGTTCTCCTCTACTTTATACGGATACATAATTGGATCCCGATTTTGCACTGGAAACACTTCAAACAAAAGATCCGCCAACAAGAGGGACGCGAGCAGTTTACCATGATACTCGACGCAATGGTCGTCTCGACCTTGAAATTTGTGGCACGGGAGAAGTATAATCTCTCTGGTGATGATGTCCAGCGCATCTCGTCAAAGTGTCGGGAGTCTCTGCTTCTCAAAGCAATGCAGTCTTTATCTGTTGAGAACCTGCAAGCCTTGGTAATCCTAGTCTTTACAGATGTGAGCTCGCCGCCACCTCCTTCACGTAGAGCTTCCTCCAGACTCTTGGCGTGGCTATATTAACTATCAATCAAATCAACTGCTGACCTCGACCGGTTAGATTGGAGACGGGTCCCCATCCAAAGCTTGGCCGATCATAGGATCCCTTTCCAGAAGCGTCGAATACCTCCAGCTGAGCATCGAAGAAGACGAAGCACGATCACGACGCGTATTCACACCTTATTCGATACTCTCGGCACCTTCCGGTTGGATAGAAGAGGAGGAGAGGCGCAGATTATTTTGGGTCATCTTTAATCTTGACAGGCAATTCGGTTGCAGCATACTTCTTAAACGCGTGATCATGGATGCTGACACTGTAGTTGAAAGGTTCTGCTCAATTACTACCGGGTATGGCTCACCTCGTATATCTATTCTAATATACCAGCCTTCCATGGAATACTGATAGACGCTTTAGTTGGAATACAAGTTTGACGGCCGATGATGTCTCTCGCAGGTTGCCCGCCGATGGCACTTGCTTTTACATGGAAACCCCTGTCTCAACCCCGTTCTTTGGCATCTGGGACAAGTCGGCTGCGAGTATGGGCAATTCTGTTGCGTTCTTGCCTGCCATAGGATCGGCAACAGCCACACGAGACAGTAAAAATACCACTTCCACCAGCCCTGAAGACCTCGGCAATGATGGCGGCTCAAAGGTGCCCGCAGACTTGAAATATATAGGTGGGCTCGCATATCTCATTGAGGCTACGGAGTCGTTGAACCGAATAGCCACCTGCTTTCTTCACCAAAACGTCAACTTTGGCGACCAGCGGGAAATTGCGGCTTGGTTAACGAGATTCAAGGAATTAGATCTTCGCCTAGTGCAGTAAGACATCCCCCCTCCCCTCAGGTTACCTCCCCATATCATAATCTCGTATTGCTGATAAAACTGCCCATGTCACTGACTCGCTGCGTAACTGCATTTAGTTGGAAAATATTCCTCCCCACCCGATGGAAAGACCCAAACCGCGTTCCCAACACCTCTACGGGCCCCAAGTACCATGATCACGGCATGACCCTCGCACACATAACGCACAACACCTCAATAATCATCTTGCACTCATTGATTGCATACTCTGTTCCTCGGTGGTATAATCTTGTTCAGCTGCCCAGCTCTTCTAGTGCAGAGACCTGCCGGCTAGCCGCAATCGAGACAACGAGTATCGTGGGAAAGTATTTGAGCTTTTGCCCAGAGGGGCTTATAGTTGCCCCTCAACTTACTTTCTGCGTCTTTATCAGCGCGAAAGCGTTACTCGGCAAGAGCCATCCCTCTCGCTTTAATATCTTGGTGATTTTACTAACAAAATAAACAGCCCATAGCCATTGCTACAACGTGGTGCTTGCAGATGAGTTTTGGCACATCATCAAAATCTTGGAGCAGATGGCGCGACGTTGGGCTGGGCTCGTACGTTACGAGCCAAATTCTTGCCATAATCTGGCTGGGATGTACGCAGAGCGGTTGCGTGTACTTCAGTCCCGATGCGAAAAGGATCCAGGTTTCAGATTAGATGTGCTGGACTATTCCAGTGATTTATTCTCTACCGACACACAAGCGGATGCCGTTCCCTTAGATGATGGGGTTGGCAATGGAATTCAAAGTGGAATACGTCCCATACCCCCAGTCGGCCAACGCTCAGGTTTACCGGGACGGAGAGAGGGGGCTAGGACTCCAGAACGGCTTGCCGTCAATTGGAATGACCAACCGTTCTTCATGGACTCACCAGAGCCTGTGCCATGTGACAGTTCGAGTGTCCCGCCACGTACGATCCCCGCTCCCGCGGCGGGAGCGCAGACCGAGAAGCAAAATACATCCCATGAGATAGAAAGCGGTCCGGTGGCCATCTCGCAAGCCTTCATGGATCAGAGTTTTGCAGCGTTGGACCGAGTGATCGGTCTGGGGGACTCGCTCATGGGGGATGATTATATGGCTGAACAACTATTCACAATGCCATTGGAGGACTGGAGCCCTGAGAATATCCATGCCGTAAATGTCAGCGGAGGCGAAAATTGACTTGGAGCTGCTTTTGCTTGGCAAATATGATTAAACAGACTATTTTGAGCAAACATCCCCAACATCTCCTTAAGTATTGCTTTGCGCATGGAGATTCACCTGATCGGCAGGTTATGGAGATAACTTCAGGAAATGCCAGTTAGATTCACTAAGTCTGCGAGAAATGTGATTGCTGGAGTCAACAATCGTTCAACCAATAAAGATGGAGTGCACTCGCATCAATTGCTGATATAGGTGCAGTTTATATAGCCTCCATGTCTGACTGACACCAACGATGATAGCATGAAATGGAGCACTTGAACATCATCCGATCAGACCATCCGAGTTTTTTCACAAGAAAGCCCAAGGTGACGGGAGAGACACTGTTGTATTGTATGAGACCAAGCCTGCCCCCTATGTCTACTCACATATTGAGACAAAGCTGATGCCCCGGGACGAACAACGGTCTCCGTCAAACTTTAGGTGGACATAACGGGTGTTGTCAGAGAAGAATAGCAAACAAGCTTGAACGCTAAGTTTGGGAGTTATGTTGGATGAGACTATATTTATACTACTTTCCAGGAAGCATTATATTATGGTAGACTCTATACTAAGAGTGTCAGATTCCAGCACCTCGGAGATTGGACGGCTATCCGATGAGCATGTGGCAACATATAGGATGTTGGTCTTAGTAAATGTATCGGAAGTTGGCATTTTCCTAGTTTCAGCTGGTCAGTGAGGAAATAAAAAGTGCGAGATCAAAGCTCTGTCTTACCTTGTCCGTGATATCTTCAAAACTGTGGACCAGGTCGTCATCAGCAACAGCTCTTCCATCCGCGATCTTTTGGTCCCTTTTCTTGTTCTCGAAGATGTAATAGGTTCGCAAGGCCAGGAGAGTAATAACCAACACAATCCAACAAGCCATCTGCACGGCAAAAGCCGTGAAATAGCGAGGTGCATCGGTTGCGCGGAACACTTGAGGTCCAGCCGAGTTGCCCGCTGCCCAAAATACAAAGGTTGTGGCGATTACGGTTGCCTTTTTCGTCTGGCCAGCGATGTTGCGTGAAATGAGAGAAAGCAGGAGTCCAACGGCAACGTAAAACGACCAAATGCAATAGTAGGCGATGAGCAACCCTATGCGAGTATCCATGGACCAAGGAACAGTGAGGAAGACAACGGTCCCCGCGATGGCAGGAAGGGTCCCGCCAATCATGATCAACGTCACCTGCTTGAACTTTCTCTCTAAGTAGATGGAAGAAATCATAACGATGATTTGAACCGCCCCAGGGCCCATCGCTAAGAGCTGGGTTTGGATAAGACTAAACCCGAAGCTATTGATTAGAATCGCGGAAAAGGCACTAAGGCCACCGGAGGGAATCGTGGTGCAAATCTGAAGAATGCAGAAGGCATAAGCTATGCCACGTATTAGTTACTGAAACAGATGTGTTATAGATAAAACGAGAAAAGGTCTTACTCTGAGGGTCCTTGAATGCTTCCCACACCTGCTCCTTTCTGAAGATACGGTTCTGCACACCAGTTTGATTCTTCCGAACCCGTTCGATCATAAGAGCCTTGTCTTCTTCGGAGAAGCACTTGGCCTTGGTTTGGGAGTCGGGCATCCAATAGAGCACAAAGAGTCCCCACAGAACAGTCAAAGAGCCATAAGCCGTGTAGAGAGCTTGCCAAGATTTGATGGGTGACCAGGAGGGGATGTTAGAAAACCCGTATCCCAATAGCCCACCAACAATCTGCTGGAGACCAGCCATGACCAGCCTAGTTTTGCGCGTGTTAGATATTATTAATCAGGGTTACCATGGTGATGGCTAGATTTCTTCAGTCTCTACTCACCAAAGGATCGTAACGGCAGCTTGTTCCTCTCTTTTAAACCAAGTCGCGGACATCACAATAAATACGGGCTGGCAACATGCCTCGAGTGCCCCCAAGGCGGTCCGGGCGACAAGTATACCAGCAAAGTCCTTGCATACTGCGTGAAGGGCGAGAGTGATGCCCCAGAGGATGATGTTCGCCGAGAGATATTTTGCAATCGGGGCTCTCTGAATAATCCAGTTTGTGGGAAACTCGACAACCAGGACTGCAAGGTAGATACATGTTGTAAGCCAGCTGTACTGATAATTTTGTTAGCCAGAAATCAACATATAGATCCAGACACAACGCCACTTACCTGCTGTCCGACCAGGTGCAAGTCGTCACGAATACCCATAATAGCAACGAACGAAATAGTTCCCTTGTCAAGCGCTTGGAGAAAGTATGTGCCGATCATGACAGAAAGGACTCTCTTATTGATCAAGCCCCTAAGTCGTTTATCCTCAGCTTCACTTATCTCCACAGCTCTTTCGGAAGCATATTTCGCGATTTCTGGGTCAACTCGACTGTGGTCCATGCCCTTCTGGACATCCTCTCGGGACATTTTAGCCTCAAGATGGACCACATCTTCAAGAGCTCCAGGAGACTTGGCATTCTCAGCTTCGTTGGGAAATGAAACGCCCACAGTCTTTGATAATACCATTGCTTCTGTTCTTGCGGGTACTGAGGGAAAGTGATGGATTGGTTTGGTATGATGCGGTACGAGGGAGTAACAGCAACATAGGAGAGTCTCGTTGGGGACCTGGTTTAAATATAAGTTTCTATCTCCCGACAAGAAATAACTGAAGGTTCCCCAGATATGGGATGATTCTTGTGTGGGGATAACCGCGTGAATCAGGTGCCAATGGCTTGGAGATCGCTAGTTGCCAGGTCTCGACATTACACGGAGAAGATGAGGCCCCGGGTTTCTCCACAAGTTGATACGGGGCGTTAGCTGCAAAAGTTTTCCCGGGGCCCCAGGTCCTCCTCATTTTACTAGGCATGTCCGTCGTGGAGGAGACTAACTGGTCCCCCTCAATCTTGTTGCTGGGAGGCTGAGTACTGGGTTAGTTCGTGGCTTAATACTATCCCGCATCTTGTCCGAGCCCCGAGCATTAGCCCGAACTTCCCCGACTTCCGGAAGCATTCTGAAGACGTGAACTACAGAAAAATGCTTCTCGATTAGTCTTTAAATACGCTCTTTCTGATTAAAAAGACGAGATGTCATTAACAAGCTCCTCTTTCGCTCTACCTCCCAAATCCCGATAATATTGCGGCATACCTTCTACCGCAACCCACCATGTTCGAGCCTCAATTTATAGCCAGGCATCCTGTCCCGGGGGGTCTGAACCTCGTTGGCTGTCCTATTGTTGTTGACCAGAATGATTTCGAAGGGGTCAAAATTGCCGTACGGACATTGTCTGAAGACTTCAGCAAAGTCACTGGAGGGAAGCCGAATCCCGTGGTCCAGTCAACCCCCTTCACAGGAAGCACCGCAATTATTATAGGCAGCATAGCCAATTCACCCGTTATCAACACACTAATCGCACAAAAAAAGCTAGACGTGTCTAGCATCAAAGATCAGTGGGAATGTTACATGACCCAGCTAGTCAGCAACCCCTTGGACGGTTGCAAGCAAGCCTTGGTCATTGTCGGAAGCGACAAAAGAGGTACCATATTTGGCACTTACACCCTTTCACAACAGATCGGAGTCTCTCCGTAAGTAATCATATGAGAATAGCCCTGGAGTCATTCGCTTATAGTATGCCCCAAGATTCTATTTTTGGTCGGACGTGCCCGTCAAAAAAGCCAGCGATCTCTACGCGCTGGACACAACGACACGCGATGGCCCTCCTACAGTCAAGTATAGGGGGCTTTTCATTAATGACGAGTCGCCATGTCTGACTGAATGGGTCAAAGAAAAGATTGGCCCCAAGTATAATGTAGAGTTTTACAAGAAGGTCTTTGAGCTTCTGTTGAGATTGAAGGCAAGCCCACTGTGCTCCTGCTCTTTTTTTTATCGTTGTGTTTATTGCCTCGGCATAAATCTCAATCTTACCATCGATACAGGCAAACTTTCTGTGGCCCGCGATGTGGAATCATCCAGGCCAGAGCTTCTTTGTCGATGACGCTTTAAACCAAAAGACGGCAGATGAATATGGAATCGTCATGTCGACCTCTCACCACGAGCCCATGCAGCGCGCCATGAATGAATGGTTTCGGGAGCCTTACAATGAGCCTGAAGGTAGCTGGTCTTGGATTACAAACAAAGACAAGATAACGGAGTATTTCCAGGAGGGTGCGGAGCGCGCCAAACCGTTTGAGAGTGTGTTGACTCTTGGAATGAGAGGTAAAGGTGACCATGTTATTGATGCCAAGGATGTCACTTCAACTCTCCATGACATTCTCCATACTCAGAGGTCCATCATCAAAAATATTTATGGGAGCGAGACGGGCGAAAACCGTGAGTCATAGCGATTTCACCAACGCAATTTAGACTGACATGCAGTAGAGGTTCTCGCGCTATACAAAGAAGTGCTCACACAATATGATCAGGGCCTCGAAATCCCGGACGACGTCACTCTACTCTTTGCGGATGACAACCAGGGAAGTATTCGTCGGGTGCTCGTTGGCGATGAAAAACGCCGATCGGGAGGAGCTGGAGTGCGTATTGCTTTTGGGCTTTGGCAAAACTTGTCAAACAAATTCACCCTGCTGATGCTCTGCAGATATATTATCACTTCGAATTTGTCGGACACCCACGGAGTTATAAATGGCTCAACAGCAATCACTTGCCCAAAGCGTGGCATCAGCTCGACGAAGCATACAACAATGGCGTCGACCGTATTTGGATATTCAACGTTGGCGATATCAAGCCAATGGAGGTTCCTTTGAGCTTTGCCATGATGAAGGCTTGGAACACCCATGCCTTAACCCCTTCCCAGCTCCCAGCCTTTTTTGACGCATTCATCGATAATACTTTCCCTCTCAGCACTGCGGATGCCAAAGAATGCTCACAACTCTTATTCGAATATGACCAGTTGATGGGTCTTGGAAAACACGAGTGCATTGAAGATGATACGTTCTCCGTCATCTATTACGATGAGGCGGATACTGTACTACGGCGATGGTCCGATCTACTGGGCAGATCAACTCTCATCTATGAGAAGGCACCGTATGAGTTGAAGCCCTCCATCTACCAACTAATACACCACCCAATCAAGGCAACCCAGATCTACATCGCCTTGAGGGTGGCGCTGGCAAAGAACAAGCGTTTCGCAGAACAGCGTCGGACAATTGCCAACAAATATGCCCAGGAAGTCCTCCGCCTCTTTGAAGCGGACTTTGACTTGTCTAACGAATACCATGAGATGCTTGGTGGGAAGTGGAATCATATCATGGACCAACCTCATTACGGCTGTAGATGGGACGAAGACCTTGCGCCATTCCGTGATATGATACCAGGATTATGCTACGTCCAGAGCCGTCAGAAAGCAAGCCCCATTATGGGTAGCTTTGGAATTGCTGTCGAGGGGCATGCTGGCTACCGGACTGGTCTCTGCTGTGAGGAACACGATCTCCTCCAACCATCCCGAGGCAACCGGGTACCATCAGTGACGACAGCGCCATTAGAGCCTCTTGGGGCACCATCAAGATGGTTTGAAGTGTACTCTCATAGTTCGGAGTCGTTTCATTGGTCGGTCAAGTCGGACACAGAATGGTTAAGAATGTCGATATCATCAGGCTACCTGACGCCCGAAGATTCAGCTGCCCGCATCCACGTTTTCGTGGACTGGGCGTCAGTTCCCGAGCTTTTTGATGGAGAGGCTCTCCTTGAAGTTCGAGCTGATACGGGTTCGATTGAAGTCGTTCATGTACCGATCAAGAAGCGCAAGATCCCCGTCGGCTTCACTGGCTTTGTCGAGAGTGATCACCTCGTCTCTATAAATGCGTCAAATTTTGATGCCTCAAGTGTCGCACAACGCTCCTACAAGACCAACCCGTTGATAGGCCGCACAGGGGCCGGTGGAGTCTTGCTGGCAACCCGTGCTGATGATGCTGACAAGCTCGACTTTCTTCATTATTCGTTTTTCAACTACACGCCGATGACGGAAGCGACAGTAGTTCTTTACTTTACGATGACATTCAATACTGAGCCTTCAAATCCTATCAAGTACGACATCTGCGTGGACGATCTCCCTCACTCATCTTTCCGCCTGGTTCCGGATGCGCCAAACCCAGGTGCAATGCCTCCTGGTGATTTGCCGGCGGGTTGGATGGAGGAATGCCCAAGGCTGGTGTGGACGAGGAAGCATCCCATTGAACTCACGAAAACTGGTGCCCATGTTCTGAAGATACGCCTTAGACACACAAACTGTATTCTAGAAAAAGCTGTTATAGATTTAGGCGGCGTTCGACCAAGCTACCTAGGTCCGCCAGAAAGTAGGATGTTGGAGTAAATTATAGTTGTTAAACTCCATGGTTCTTCTAGTATAAACTCCATAGTCCTTCTACTATATATATATTTCTACATACCAAATTGAAATATCGGTGTTTTATTAAGATTAATTACAATCCGGCCCGCGATTCCCGCGCACGAGCGATTGTTTCCATCTGCAAACTACGGACGGCTCAATGACTCCCAAAGACTAGTAACCGAGCCGTCCTGGTACTAAATTACAAAATGTTCCTATGAATATGCATATTAAGTATGTCTATCCACTATACCAGTATTTCAATTCTGACAAACATCTGCTAAAAGACCTCAAGTTGTTGGGCCAAAATGCGATAACGAAGAAAATCTAGCAGTCATGAACAGATATTAAGTATCTCGGGAAGCCAGTGCTTCCAGATATGCAATGGATGAATGATTCGTCGCAGCCCATGCTTGTAACCACATAACTTCTTTTTTCTTCTTCTTTTTTTTTCCCCAAGAATGCTTATCATATGAGATGGATTATCGGGTGCTCGCCGGTGCGTTTCAGCTATCTTCCATCAAGTCTCGTTCAGCAAGCGAGGTGGGACCAAAATCTGTCTTCTTCGTGATTGTCGATCCAGTGGGATTCGAGGATTTATCGGTGCTGCTCTGCGAATTAACTCGAAAATATGGTCGAAGTGAGGGTAGGCAGGCAATCACCAGACTAATCGTATAATCCAAGGCCACAAAAAGCTCTATTGAATTATTGTCAGAAATGTGGTCAGTGTATGGGATTGCGGGATGTACTGTACGTAGTAGGCTCATTGAAGGTGCGCGTTTGGCAGAAGCAAGTTGGATCATGATGAAGCGGGTGAGAGACACGGCGATATCCACCAGTCCAAGAAGAAAAGTGTAGTAGATACCCATTCTTAGGCTTCCCTTCAGCTGCAGGTCGGACAGAATGAGCCAGGGGAGTGCGAAAACTATGACCAAGATCAGATATCCAGGACTTTCACCCCAGAACGGCCTTTTGTGCTTACCGATGAGAGATCCCGCGAAATGCAACCCCCAGCTAATCTGAAATAATCTCATACCCCCCTCGACAACGCACTTATCGCCTAACCTGCAGAAAAGTCAGATTAGTCCTGGCGCAGCCTTGTTTGCCGACATTTGTTCTGGATTTGTATCGACTCACCAATTCTTCTCTATTGGGATGCAGAGGCGCAGCATCTCAACCAAGGTGACAATGGGACACAGAATGATGTAACCGAGGGTAATCCAGAGCAAGATCCTCCTCTTGACCATGAATGCTGGAAATACTTTCAGGTATACCGTGAGCAAGGTTGCTTTGCACAACCAACACGTTATGACGAAAGGGATGGTGCTGCTCCACCTCAACTAGAAATAGTTAATGTCGAACATGACGTATCGCTTGTTTCTTTTGCATCCTACCTTTATAATAACTAATATGTCTGCCGGGTCGCCTCGATACCCTTCCATTGTGTAAAGCACGTCTTGGTCAAGCCCCCCAAGGAGAGCAATTTTGATGTCGAATGCCGACGTTATAACAGCAAAACACCAGGTTACACACATGAGGATGTCACTAGTGAGTAACCTTCGTTTTTGGATATTGATCCGGAGATGAAAGAGCGCTATAAGGATGCAGAGAGCGATGGCGATGAGGGTCCATTGTGGCGCCTGGATCAGTTAGCAAGAGGGCGAAGAATAGTTACTCAGGCGTTAAGGAGAACTTACAAGTACACCAGCAGGACCAGGGGATGCGAAAGCCATTGTAGCCCGAGACATGATTAACTCAGTTCACGAGATCCACGTTTTGAACGATTGGAAGGACTCGAGAGAGTGGCAAGCGATGTGTTAGGAGAGCCATTTGGCAGCGGAAGGGGTAGTCAGCAACTTAAATCGCAACCGGAATTCTTCAAGCCTTATCCAAGTAGCTGGAGCCAGCCATTCCCGACGAGTTGGGTGCGCGGGATATTTAAGATTTGTGAGGTGGAATGTTAGAAGCCACGGCTGAAATTTCGGAGCGGGGGCAGACAGTTCACAATCGCTTTCGGGGGCAGTCCTAACCTTTTTTCTCTCCCACATATTTAGAGATAAGATAGCTGTAATATTGTGATTATGGTTATTTTAGAATTAGAAGATATGATTTCGAGGGAGCTGTGTGCTGTTGTTGAGCGACGTGACTCGCGAATAAATAAAGGTAGCCGCCGCGCGTAATGTGATGAGCTGCACATGGAGGAGTGGGAATTCGAGTACATCGCTACTTGGGGAAAGATACAATTGTATCAAATTGCCGTATCTGTTGATTTCTTTGTCTCTGTATTCATTTGATAGTGGTAGCCGTAATCACGATACCCTTTGGGCTGAGACAAAGAAGGACGGCCAGCTTCTGCAGGCTCCTTTGGCCAGTGATCGTCGCCCTTGAGGCGTCAAGATACCGAATTCATAAATTCAGGCTAGTCGCTGAATAGAAAACATGCATAGCTTGAGATTTAGTCCGCGGTGGTTCTATTGACCACGGCTGTGGCTTCTATTCATCATGAGGCTCGAAGCGCTAAACACTCCCCAACCACACGCTAGAGAGACACACTCGATTGTTCTTACGACCTAGACTTGCCTTTTGCGCTAGTAATAGCCTAGGGCATCCCGTTCGGTCACATGAGACGCCTCTGTTTAGGTTCGGGGCCAGTCTAACTGTTCACTGGCATACCTTGGACAAATCGCCCATGTGATTGATCTCAGTAGATCAATCCACAAAAGGAAAGGGCAGACGCAGACGGGTATGTGAACCAGGGAGCCGGGATGGAAGGAATTCATGCAAGGCTGGTCGAGGCTGAAGGCTGCAGATCGTAGGTCTGTTAGGTTTGTTAGGTTTGTCTATTGTAATTTTAATCGATGGGGCGATCTCAGGCCAGACCGTCCAGATCGACGCTAACTCCGACCAATGGTTCTGTTATCCCGCTCTTGGCTCTACGCTACAGTTGTATTTGGGTCGAGGATAACCCACGAGAAGAGGGCAGCTATTCCTGGCACGAGGTGGGAGGTTTTACTCTACCTGAATGCGGACATACATACATCAATGTGCCAGTAAGCTGGCTAGAGCAGCATCAGGCCAGGACGATATAGTATTACTTCAATAGACAGTAAGAGAAAGTGACAGTTCCACTAACTGATGACCCGGATACGAGTAGCTAGTTAGATATTCCCATTACGCAAGCTTCTCAAACACACTCCATAGTCCCCAGTGTACACATCGGACTACTTCTCCGTCCCTGACAGAATGGCGCACCCATGTTGAAATCATGCCGCTGGCAGCGAGGATGCTCCAACGGCCGGGCATACCTCCATACTGAAGCATTCCCTCTTGGTAGCTACAATACACTTGCTGGTGGCACGGTCGAAGGCCATGTTTTGACCGCACTGTGGCGTATCTGTGGAGATACAAGCCGTTCCTGATGGCACCAGCGGCGGTGTACATTCAGGGCCGTTCCTGGCGATGCACGAATTTCCAACGGGCTCTGTTCCATCAGGACAGTCAGGCCCGCTGTCAAGAATACACTGTCCACTCTTTAAATGTGACCCATCGGGACAGCCGGGTTCAGCACTGGCAACACACTTTCCATCCCCGTCCATAACATGGTCAGTGGGACATTTGGGTGTCTCCTCAGATTCGCATCGCCCGTCGACGATCTTGGTGCCTTCCGGGCACTTGGGCCCGTCCCGAGACACACACTTGCCCGTTGCCTGATCGAAAGTCAAGGTCCCCTCGCAGCGAGGATCCTTGTCTGAGATACAGTCGTTGCCAACGCGCTTGTGGCCATCGGGACACTTGGCGCCGCCAATGATGACGCACTTGTCGCCAACACGCTGGAGAGGCGCCACGCACTCAGGCCCTCCATCCGTGCGTACGCACTTCCCGTCCACGAGCCTGAACTTGCCGTTGCCATCACACCTGGGAGGATCTTTGGAGACACACTCGCCGTTGTCGTATCTCTCCCCTCGCTCGCAGACCGGGTTGTCGGGCCAGATACACTTTCCCTTGTGCAGATACGTGGGCCTCTCGCAAACAGGGTCGGAAGGATGTCTGCATAGACCATCCGAGTAGAAGTAGCCGTCCTTGCACGTCGGGTCCTCATCGGCAATGCACTCATTCTTCTCAAGGCGGAACTTGGGTGGGCAGGAGGGCTCGCCTCCAAGACATTTCCCATTGAAGAGCTTGCTATCGCCGGGACATTTAGGCTTCGTGGTCTTAACACATTCGTCTTCAACTAAGTGGAAGTTTCTGGGGCAGGTTGGAGTCTCTTTAAGGATGCACTTTCCATTATGGTAGTCACCCTCCGGGCAGTCTGGGTGTGTTCTGGCCTCGCACTTGTCGCCCCTGAGCTCCATAAGTGGTGGACATTTCACAGGTCGAGGTTTGTACTGGCACCACGCGCCATCTTCTTCGCTTCCAGGCGGGCATTTTGCGTTCCCGCCTTTCTCAGATCGGCAACCGACACCATTGTATGAGGTGCCTTTAGGGCAGCACATGTACCTGACGCTGTCAGGGTCTTTCGAGAGATCCCTGTCGCCGTCCGTACATGTAGCCGGGGTTGTCCTGCTGCACATGCCGTCCTCAAGGGAGTAGCCGCTATCACACGTGGCGTCCTTGACACACGTCTCCCCGTCGGGTTTCCCATCCTCGCATATCGGGGTTTCCTTGGTCTCACAGTTGTCGCCATTGAGAACAGCATCGCCCTCACAATACATATTCCCCTTGTGGCGACATAGACCCTCAACGTGTTTGTAGCCTTCCTCGCAATCTGGCTCCCTGTCCCCGACACACCGCCCATCTCTGGTAGATGTACTATGCTCGGGGCAGCTTGGACCGGCGGGGTCGATGCAGACGCCTCGTTCAAGCATCTGATCCTTTCCCAGGCACTTGGGAGGCACGCGGGACCAACACCAGCCGCCTTCAAAGTCGAATTTTGCTGGGCAGCTTGGGTCATGCTTGGCAACGGTTGTAGTCAAAGGCGGAATACGCGCATTTTGGCTTGGACTCAGAGACGCAGAGGTTACCATCGGGTTTGGTATCCTTGGGGCAATGGGGGCCCCACGGGTCTGAACAATAAACACCGTCGAAGACCAACCCATCAAGACAACGAGGTGTGCTGACGCACATATTTCCCTCAAGTCTGGACCCTTGGGGACAGACTGAAGACTCGGGGAAAACACAGGCGGTGCCGTCGTTGATTGTTCCAGGGGGGCAGCAACGGCTGTTACCGGTGCTGTCCAAGGTAGGGATGAGGTCCTCGAGGCGGATTTCCCTGACCGGAGGAAGAACATCGCCGACGGCAGTTTGGTTCTCAGGGACGGGGAAGCTTAAGGAAGAACCACCAATTAAACGAGCTGCGGCTATCTGGATCAATTGACCCAAGTTGCTTTGCTGGTCATCAGCTTGAACGCCGAGTGCAAGACTCGCCACGAGTAGAGTCTTACACAAGATCGTCATATTGACGGAAATGGAGGAATAATTAAATCTCCGGAGACTTCAAAATTGAAAATGGCAATGTTCGAATGTCTGCCCCCAGACCTGCGAGGACGAGCCTCTTTATCACTTGACAGCCATGCACCACAGTTCCAAAAGAGAAAACACTCTCCCAACACTATACGTACTCGTTTCTTTTTACACTTGGGTCTCGCCAGGTCTATCTGCCAATACCCCGACTGTTAGTCGAAGCATGCTCGTCCAGTTGACTATTAGAACGGATATGATATAAGTCTAGCCCCAAAACAGCCCCTGTTGGTGGCAGAACACCTTAGCGAGGACGTCAATGACACCTAATGGAGATGTGAACCTTCGGTCCCATAGCTATACCTTGTGTTAGGATGATCGCACAACATACAGATCTAGTTAATCACATATTACGGCTTGAATAACTGGAAACTACGTCTCTTTTTTAGCTTCTTATAGTAACACCATACGAAGGTAGACGGCAAGAAAACGCTTCACGAAGCAGACTTGGATCCGTTCCAGTTCTAGTCCAACATGATACCTATGTGAATGATGACAACAAGGATAGGATACAGAAGGCCATTGATGGTCCTAACAGAAGCTCATGGAGCGGTAAACAATCCAGCTCGGCGTCATTAGCCCCTATCAACTCGTCTCCCACTGGCTCATCCGCCACGGAGGTATGTAATAGCCAGCAATTTTAACGAGTGTTTATCCGATCGCTTATTATCCGAGCTACTGTGTAATTGGCAAAAGAAAGGAAGATCCAGTAGTTGCCGTCGACCTCGCTGACCGCTGCTGAGAGCCGCGGGTCGCTACTGGTTCCTGCTAGCCACTTACAGATCTATGATGACCACTTTTACCCAGCTCTCATCTTCGGGTTTCCCCACGGAGGCCACGGCCCGACCCCAACCTGTTAGACTTTGTAGATGCAGCCAAGGTGGCGTTAAAGGCATCCCCTTGTTTCAGCCTGTCGGAGGTCGCCTGTTCTGTCGCTCTGGATCTAGATGGCCGAGCTGAGAAATTAGCCCCGTTCCGATGAAGCCATGCTTGGAATGAATGGTGAAATCACTGATAGTGCCTGGATACTGTGAGCTCCGCATACCCAGATACCGTGGGATATCATATTTAATGCGGGTGAGAGAGTTCGAGTACAAAATGAAAAACAGCAATGAAGGCCCAGATACCGTATGACTCTAATTGACAAGCTGCAACCCCCATAGACGCCACTTGTTTGGCCTATGTGCGCAAGTTAAGTTGACAGCGGCACTGCTGG